AAGTCCTGGTCTTGGTGGTGCAACAGTTAGACGGCCTTGGTCTTGGTCTTGGGAGGTGCAAGACCGATTTTGAACAACACTACTTTTACCTAACTAATACTGGTTTTTCAAAGTAACTAAAAAGCTGTACGTTAGAAGTAATGGCTCAAAATGATTGTTTGGTAGAAAGACGATCAAAAACTTAGACAGAGCATTACATCGTTGTATTAGGCATGCTACAAAAAATGGACCTAAAAAAAAATGGCCATAGAACAAAAATTACGCAGTTTTATCGCCTCATGAAAATTTTTAGTTTTTGTTCTTACAGGCTTTTGCAGTATGGCTGTCGATATTTCAAATAATTCTAAAATCCATGAATTATCATTTGACCAGAGGGTTATATAATAATTCTATTTAAATTAATACGGGACTTAGAATAAAATAAATAAAAATATGGATCGGTTGGAAAATTTATAAAATTATAAAATAGGTGGAGCATCTTCCAAGACATGGATGGAAGCAGGGGCTGGGAAAATCGATCGGTGAGAACCCTTTCAGGCTTGGGCCACGCCCTGAATCTCCTTCACTTATATAGTCAGTATCCATCTTAATTTATTTAGCAAATATAATAATAATAATATTAAAATAAAAATCCAGTAAAATTGAATTTATATTATTTTCTGAAGTCATATAAGTATTCACATCTTCGAATCTACTTATTAAATATAATGAAGTTTAGCATTAGTTGAATCCTAAAAACGTTATACTGGGTCTATCCTCCAACGTTTATACACCAACTAAAATATACTTATATTTTTATAGGTTGCGGTGTGCTTATGCAATGTCAAGGAGATCTAATTAATGGTTTGAAATAGTCTTGAACAAAAATTGATGTAACAAATATTTTTTTTTTTTATTTCTCAGAGAGAGTGATGCAAGAAATACAAATTAAAACAATAGTCTATTGGAATAATTATGATCTAAATCATAAAATTGATTGAAAAGGAGATAATAATCCAAAGATATTTCGTTTAAGATAAGAGTTTCCGAGGAAAATTTAACATAATTTCTTTCAATTAGTTATAACATTAATTTTTTTTTAGACCAGCATGTCGTCATATAAATTCTAGCAAATATTTATATTTAATTGCCAAACTCAATTGGGTACTATTGCATCCAAAAATAAAAACAATACATCCACAACAATCCAACAGGTTCACCACTACTGAGTCAATAACACATATTCTTATAATCGTATACGATCTATGAATGCAATAATACTCTGAGTTTCTGGCCAATAAATTAAATTATAGAACTATGTTGGTTGTTTTTATTTTTATTTTTTTGTGGCGACTTAGTAATGAGTAACTTTAATTTTGTATGAGTAACTTTGATTGGTTTATATAATGTAATTAATTACTGTAAGTGGTAGTAAGATCCTTGCCAAGGGAAGAAGGATCTTACAATCATAGACGCAGACTTTCGATATTAATTGGGGAAGGGGATGGTCCAAAACTTTATATAATAAGGGTTGGAGTTTATATTATGATTAAAAATTCACGAACAAATATAATACTGATTATTTAAATATGAATTTATATATATGCTTGTATAGTTGTAGGATATACTTAAAAATACCTGAACAAAACGATTAAATATATTACGTACATTTACAGAACTTGTTTCAGCTAAAAATGAATAATGTTAAAAACTGAAAAATATTTTTGATTTCTTAGTTTTCACAACCTCAAAATAAAAATACATTTTCATTGTCGGACTAGTAATGTGATAATTTCCATAAAAAACATTATCTATATTTACATTTGTATACGTATACTTATTAAATATATTTTCTTATTATAAAATATCACGTGAGATGAAGAGGTAAATCCAAGGGGTGAATGAATAATAAAATCCTAGGCTATATATTATCTTTGAACATAAATGAAAAGTTATATTGAGCCGGCTAGTCGACTTTTGTTATTTTCTTAATCGATTTTAGTTCGGATATTTTATTCATTCATACAGCTTATTTATTAATAAATTTGATTTTTTTTTTTTTTTACTTATAATTATTGGAAGGGCGAAACAATATTCTTGCCCTCAATATTTTGAGAAGAAGATCGCCCCACCCCCTCGCCTTCCCGAAATCTGCGCCTATGATTACCATTGCAATGATTTATTGATAGGATATAGTTCAAACTACAGACAGCCCTCCATATTTGAATATTACACGTCTATTATCCATGCAACTAATTCTTTACAGGATGTTGTTTCACAGGATGCTGAGCAGAAGCCAGACCAGCCCGGTACCTGGGCAAAGGAAACCTCGACGCAGGGTCGCCACCATAGCACAGCGCAGGGCTGCCAACATCAGGGAGCGACGGAGGATGTTCAATCTCAACGAGGCGTTCGATAAGTTGCGGCGGAAGGTGCCAACGTTCGCCTACGAAAAGAGGCTTTCCCGGATCGAAACGTTAAGGTTGGCCATCACCTACATATCGTTCATGAGCGAACTACTCAGCGGAACACACAAGGAACCTATAGGACAGACCTCGCCGATCTACCAGTCGCATAGAGACTACATCCCGTACTCCATAATGTCTTAGGACGAGGACTGCTTCCTCGCCAAGTCGAGGAAATCAGGAGCGTGTCTCTTCGGCTGATTTCACCCACTCTCTTCGTAAGAACAGGACTTGCGATATGGACAGTGCTATTCGGGTGTGACAGCTAAATAATAATTACGGTGCTCTATCGAACCTATTGATTACACTCGAGATGACTACTCAATTGATTACTTGGCCATTTTTTTATAAACCATTTATGTATTTCTAAAATACAGTTGTGCAGAACCAACAACATTCAAATTTTAAGATCAACATATAATAAAACAAAAATAAAAAATATAGGAATATAAAGTAATTTAAGGTCAACAACATAGATGTAAAGTAGCGTACACCCACCTTATCATTAAAAAAAAAGTTAAATCAGTGAATCATCAACTATTCCACATTACGAAACAATTCGCCTTATAATCAATTTATTATCAACAGTTGATTTGGAAGAACTCTTCGTAAATTGATTCATCATTTGTAAATTTCTGTTGAATTGATTCGGCTCTCCACTCCCTACACCAAGCGTATTGAAATTATTTCAACAAAGTTCTTATTATCGGTATAACATACAGATAAAACCGGTGCGCTTGAGTTAAAAGACGTCATACCCACATTTTTAACAAAATAACTTATTAACTAAAAAAAAAAAAAATGTAATATTTTCAAAGTTATGGAACAGTAGTTCTCCTGAAAAAATACAAAAATGGGTAAGGCGTTCTTAACCTCCGGGGTACAGAAATAAAAAAAGTTCGATAAGAAATTATATAAAAATGAGTACAGTAAATTCATATATTCTTTATTAGTTTTTTCGGAATCCCTTATGACACAGCATCCTCCCTAATTTTCGATATATATTTCTTGATGGAGTAAGTTATTGAAACGGTCATACTTTAACTATGACAAGAATGTCATTAAATGTTCTAACATATAATATTTATGTATATTGCTTTATTCCAACGGAGAAAGGATTTTTTATTCATTTTATTTACGGTTAAGGATATCCTTTTCATAAGTTAAAAACACAATTTAAAACACCGCTAGAACATTATTGACCGTTAAAAAATGCCAAAAAATTCTCAAGTACCAATTCAACGTAATTTGTAGTTTTTTTTTAGTGAATATTTGCGTTTTTAGACATATTGGCTAGTGGCCAGAAAGAAGTTTTGTTTGCTAATATGCTAGCTGATTTACTCTTAGTGCGTAAAAATTAATTACAAGAATTAAATAAAATTGCTATCCTTATTATAAGAGATTAGAAGTATATATAGCAGAGAATTTTAAAGTACAAAGGAAAAAAAAAATTAAAATCAAACATAATACACGTCTTTCAGCCAAATCCAAAATTGACAACATTTACTGTGAATAATTATTACATTTGTATTTTATGATGCATTACTTTCTGTTAATAGAAAGCTGTATATAAATTATATAACATGTAAAAAAATGTTAATTTCACTGTGAATTTTGTGATAAAAATATAACATATACATCGTAAGTGTCACAAGTGAAAGTATTATGTATGTAAAGTGTGTGTTTGTATTTTATTTATGATTTGTTTATGTTGTTATTTATAATTTGTACAATAAACTTATATTCAACTTATGGTTGTTATTAAATTCCATTAGTTCAAAAAAAAAAAATTACTTTCCGCCTCTTATAGGCTTTTAATAGATTTCTATATATTTTTTCATTCAGGCAGAGTATAACCACAGCTATTTGATGCATTATATATATTAAAAAAAAATTGCGCAATAATTTATGATTTCCAAATATTTACATATGAAATATAAACTCTGTTCCTTGTCACTCAGAGAAAAGTTAATAAAATATGATTGAGAACAATCGATTAATCAATTTATTTTTTCATCATTAGCAATTTTCTAAGAAATATAGGCAATAATCTAGATTGAAGTAAGATTTTCCAAAATACAAAACAAAGGACACTGGTACATCGGTTGAGAGGCGACACGGGTTTTTGGTCTCCATCTTGAAAAAAAGGAGGAAAGGTAATGCCCAGTTCCGAAGATCATCCTCGGATGCACTTCGACAGTAATACCGAATCTCAAAAAAATCGGTCAAGTTGTCTTGGATAAAAACCGCGGGTGTGGAACGGATTATTTTTTTATTATTCCTATTTGATTCCTAATATTGATTATGGAAAATAATAAATCAAATATTATTTTAATTCAACAATACTGCGTAAGTTAATGTATTAAACATTGTTGAAACTATCAAGGATTCAAGGATAATCATAATATCGTGCTGAAACCACCTTTTTTGTGCGTGTATTGTTTTTAGCACTATATCAGCAAAGAGCCAATCTATATTTATTTATTTTATTTTTTTAAATACTTCAGACGAATTAATTTTTTTTTTAAATATTGAGATAACGTACGATGTGATGAAGCTCTAAAACCAATGATAAGCATAGAGTGATAAAATACTGAACAAGACGATAAATTTAAAAAACATTTTGTGGTTTATTCCTTAAGAGTATATAAGAGTCAATTGGCAGTTAATTTTTAAAGATAATAAATTTTGAACCAGTGCATTTTAAGCTTTCAGTATGATCACAAGGCTGCCCTCTTTTATAAGTATATTTCTTATTTTCTTGCAATTTTGTTACGGGCTACAAATTGTACAGCAACAAGACGATGGTGAACTGATCTTCACTAGCATTGTGAGTATTAATAAATTATTTATTTCTCTCTTAATAAGTAATAATATAAGTAATAATGTTTACAAGGAACGACCAGTGGTCGGAATTCTGCCACAATTACAATATTACTTTAATTTCTGATATTTGTTTAAAGAATTAATATAGGTCGATTAAAAACGATCACTACTGAAAACAACAAACTAGAGGTGCCCAACCAAAGCTCCTTTCATTCTTTTTTTTTTTAACTGAATTTTTCCGGTGTATAAAGTGTATTTTAAACTAGGAATGTTCAACATTGGTAACATAACTAAAATCCCAGGTCATATAAATTAATAGTAGAACTAATAGTTATTAACAACTGTTTTCACTATGTATATATGTATTCTCAAAAATAAAAATATGGAAAAAATATTTTTAAAAATAAGCACTTATACAGTAAGGAAATAATTATTGATCAGGTGTGAGATTACAGAGTAGGGGAGCTACAGAATAAATCAGTTTTATTTTTTAATTTTTAGTATCTTTTACTGAAAGAAAAATAGTACATTCTGTCACAGTCAAGAGCAGTAGGTATTATGGAGCTGTGTGTACGTTCTTACCATACAAATAAATACTAATTAAAAAATAAATTAAAATTTTTATATATAATAAAAATAACAATAAGATAAGTAAATAATAATAATAATTATAAAATAAAAAATATTTTAAAAATGATAATAAAATATTAGTGAAGAAATTAGCGATGTTGATAAAAATATCGATATTTTTTGTTAAATATATAGATTTTTTTATATCTATATTAAAATTGGACTATCGAAAACCGTATTTCTAAAAATAATTGCAGTAAATCAGGCCTAGGCAGTATTTTCACATTTTAAGGAGTAAAATATAAAGTAGATTGTTTGTACCTACATTTTCCTTTTAAAATACAAAATAAAAGTATTTGTATTTCATTTGCAAGATACTAAAATTCAAACGTTTTTAATTTATTTTGTATTTTAGATAAAAAATTACCAAATAGATGAGTAGGTCATCATCCACCAGTATTTTGTTTAATGTAATTAATTTTTCTGAAAACAATTTAAATATTTTGTACATAAAATAAGTGTATTTGAAAAACAAATAATACTTGGTATTTTAAAATAATAATTAAATACTTGTTGCCCAGTTCTGTAACACAGAAAAAATAAAAATAAATTCTCTATAATGAAAGCCACCTCACAGATGACGACATGATTATTTTTAAACACAATACCTGCAAAATAATCGTTTAATTATTTTCTATATATCTTCATAAGGTGTTCTCTATTTTATTATTTAATGAATAAGAATGATCTTTGTACATTTGCAATCATTATTGATTCGATTTTTACTTTATCCTTCTTTTTTATGTTAAACTATTCAATTCAGTTGTAATACTTTTATGGATTTCTATTAATCTGTTCGATTCCGATATCTTCTTTCCTTTTTATTAATTTATTTTTTTAATGTGTAAGACATTTTACTTCAGTCCCTAATAATAAGATTTTTTTCCTTGTAGAAAATTTGTCAAAAAAGGTATACGTTTATTAACGTTAATAAATTAATACTTTTTTTTGCGACAAGCAATATATATATATTAATATTTATTTGTTGATTGTTACAAATCTGAGACTTCCACATTCAATGTCTCCTGTTTCTCCCTGCCCGATTCTTTCAAAGTACAAGTTTAAAAACAAAGCTCCAAGATAAAAACAGGCAAGAATTGTTAATATTTTAAGTAGAAATTTCAATGTGGTTTTACAACTTCCGGCACTATATCATTGTTCTATATTTAAATCCCTAGGCCGAATAAATATTGAGAAAAAAAAATAGTCCTGATATATAGAAATGTCGATATTTACATCACTAGAATAAAGCGCAATTTCTTTGTGCAATCATTGCTAATAATTATCCGAATTCGATGAAATTTTATTTTCTGGGGATTTAATCAATTGGATATGCAGCATATAATTAAATTATTTTTTATTATTTTATTTTATTTTTTTAGATATTTGCAAATTTTTCTTGGTCTTTCTGATATATGGATAGTTAAAATTATAATTATAATAAACACTTTCGACAAGCTTCTTCAAAATCGTTGGAGCCCTTTTACCTTTAATTTAGTATACAAGAATTTAAGGCCAATAATCTACATGAAAACAAAACAGTGTAGCTCTTTACGAGATAATTGCAATACAGACGAATTTTATCTCCTTTAACGGCAACGAATCCTGGCCTTGGTTTGAAAAGGTTCAAACTGCATTTAGTATAATTTTGAGAAACAAAGCTTAAAAGTTAAAATTTACTATATTATGAATATTTCCCTAGAATTATACTTTTGTTTCTACCACTTATTAATACAATTTACAATATTGAAATTTTGCAGTTAGAACTTTGTCATTTCAGAACTTTGTATTTTCGTCGAGTAAAAAAATATGTTTAAAAGACGTTTGGGTTTAAAATTTGCAACTAATTATAAGGTGACTTGTCTTGGTCTTGCGTAGCAGTCTTGCAGTTATCTATCAGCTTATTATTATAGAGATATTACTGAAATATTTCACATAGGGAAAATCTTACTAAGCTCGAATAAAACATTTGGAGAGCAATTAAATTATTAAATGTAAAAGTATATTGGTTATACCGATTCTTTGCGTATAGTAATTATTTTGCTTTAATTTTGATTCACAAAAACGATCTTTTTAAAATCAGACTCCCGATTGGCTTAATAACAAGAACTGCTCCCTTTCTACAGAACTAGAGTTGGAATGATAAAATAGAATGATCATTTTATCAATCGATAATACAATGAAATAGAATTGGAATGATCAAGTGACATATTTGCTCTTTTTTCGTATATTATTTTTAAAATATATATTTTTGTAATCAATCAAGAAAAAACTCCCCTCAAATTTGGGGTTTAATGTTCAATGAATACGTAGAATATATATACGTGTAATCCAAAAATATAATAGAAATATCCACCATTAACCACACACCGTTTTTCGTTTTTATGTATTTCTTTTTTGATTTCATTATATCTTAACTCGGAAAGTAAAAATAATACAAACTATTATAAAATTTTAGGGTCATCATTTCATGGAGAGCACGCAGAATTGAACAGCCGAATTAAATAAAAATATTTCGTACTTTATTTATTTTAACAAATAGATTTATTGAATTATTTTATCATTTTTAAGTTAAATTAAATAAAGGCTATTCTTTTCAGAAGCAACACTACTTTCAAGTCAATTTCTATTTGGTTACATACAAGAAAAAGGACAGAATATGTTTTGTTTTGTTTTTTTGAGGAAATAACTCTGGTGTTATTTAAAAGTTCAAAAACAGTTCAATGTTTTGATCATCTAATGATATATGCATTGTTAAACCATGATATAAATGATGTAAAATTTGTTCATTTGCAATATATATGTATTTTATAACAGCATAACATAGATTTTTGCGTTTTTTTTAAATCATGAAAATATCACAAACGTCATTCTGAAATAGTCGATTAAAATATATAATACACATAGAACTGACCATTACTAATAATATAAATGATATAATTTCATGTTAAACTCTGATTAAAATAACTATAAATCAAGTGATGTATTGCAGCCAGAATCTTCTAAAACCAATTACCTTCAAAAGTTGGCAATAGTTAAAACTATGTCAAACTGCTAATTTGCGGTCTTTTTTACTTCGTAATCTCAAATCACTTATCATTAAAAACAAGTGCTTTACATAATCGTTAATAACTATCGTTGCGTGGTTATAACCTCATTTTCAAATAAAGAAATAAATAGGTACATTTTTTTAACCAATAATAAATAAAACTGACAGAATTGAACGTAGTAATTATAACAATGAAATGCAAACATCAAAATTATAATTACTCTTGAAGTAGTCTCTTATGTTTTCAATAACTGCAAAGAATTGATTTTGTATTATATCTTTGCTTCCTCACTAACGGAGGTAGGGAAGCATTGTGTTCGAGCGAGAGGATAAAAAAAATTTTGTGCTCAGAATTGAAAATTTCCACTAGCGTTTTACGTTTAATACATCAAGGATCAAATTTGGTTCGGTGTCTGTCAGTCAAATCGATATGAAAGGGCTCGTTAGATTTGGCTCAAAGTTAGATAAAAGGTAGTTAATGGTGAAAAAATAATGTCAATTTTATTGAATTCTGTTAACTCATTTCTCATATATATGAGCAAACGTGTTTTCCTTCATACATCTATATCTCTAAAACCGCATGTTTGATTTGGCTCAAATTTGGAGGGAAGTTAGGAATTGGTAAACAGATAATAAAGTAGGTATGAATTTTATCAAATTTTATCCACTTCTCCTAGAAAAAATACTTTCGCTTTTGGATCAGCAAATGTATTATTTGGCAAGCTTATAGTTTAAAAACTGCGGTTTCAATTTAACCCAAACTTGGAGGAAATTTGGTGAACAGTATACAAATTACTTAGTATCTAATTCATTTAACTCCATTTAATAATTAAAATTAATATAAATAATTATAAACACTATAATGGCTCTGAAATGAGGAAGACACTGATCATATGGAGTGAGAGTTAGGTTATTACAATATTGTTATGTGGTTATAAAATTTTAGGTTTTATTCAAAAAGTTAATTTATATTGTATTGTTTAGTAGATTCCAAACGTTACTGGCTATACACATATTGCCGTTACATAGATTTCGTGTAATTTTCAGAAAATTTGATGCTCTCCTTTAAAGCAATCGATTTTTACATACGTCATTTGCATGAACAGTAGCGAGATACATATTCAGTATGCACTAGAATTTTTTTTTTTTTATTACGAATTATCAAATATGCAATCTGCAAATGTGGAACTTTTTTCCCATTTTAGTATTTGCTGATAAACAAAATTCGTGGATATCAAGCCCGTATATGTTAAGGGAGTACTGAATTTCTGAATACGGCTTCTTCCTGAGATTTTATTCTCATAAGAAAATGTTTAGACCTTTTAATATAGATATTTTTTAGCAAATGAAAACGATGAGGAAGCTATACCTTTTTTACGGTGGCAGACCTTTTTTTTTTAGTATCTAAACACGCCAGAAAATATACAATAAATAATCCAATCGGTAACAGTTAAAAACAGCTGAGCCACAATCATATGTTTTTATTGAAAAGTGATTTGCAGAAGCGAAGTAAAAAAGACCCCTAGTTTGTTTACTTTTCAACTGACGGCAATAAATTTCATTAGATTATTTTTATAAGTAAATAAATAAGGAATATAATACTAAAGGAAAAGTTTCCATTTTCTGATGACCATTATAGTTTCAACACTGTCCACAACGTAATGTGATTGTGAATTTGATGTTTATTTTACTATTAATATAAGTAAAACTTGTTGCAGTTGTACAGGCATGGCGAACGTACACCTGAAGAGCCTTATGCGAACGACCCATACAAAGATGACTCCTACTGGCCAATCGGATGGGGGCAGCTAACAAATGTTGGTAAAAATAATATCTTATCGAATATTTTTTAATAATAAAATAATAATATACACAACTTCCATGACCGATCAATATTCCAGAATGGAAAACGGCAGCATTTCGAGCTGGGGAAATGGCTGAGGACGAGGTACACGAGCCTCATGCGGGGCGGCAGATACTCCAATTCCTTGGTCTACGTGAGGAGTACAGATTGGGACCGAACTCTGATGAGTGCCCTATCCAACCTGGCTGGAATGTTCTACCCGACTCCAGCAGAGCTCTGGAGCGATATCAAATGGCAACCCGTTCCAGTCCACACCATACCCAAGCAACTAGACAAGGTTTGTTAATTAGCCCTGGAGTCAGTGACTAAAACTGGTACTTATAAAATTGCAGAAGTTTTAAATGTAAATTTCGAAAGCGTGTGTTATTCTATGTAATATAATGTTTCATTCCAGAGCCGTTGTTTTCAAAATGGTGGCTGATTTTAAGAATAATAGGCCAGTAACTTGAGGATCAAAACGATATTTAAAGTTTAGTTACTTATTCACTGCAATATTAATTTGTTAAAGTGTAAGTTTTTCGTTTTGATGAACAGTCCAGAAATTATAGTTAAAAAACAAAATTAAAAAAAGAGTGAAAACCGTGAATATTTTTATGTTAAAAATATTCCGTAGAAGGTCTGTGTTAGTAATTTTTTTTTTATATATGCGAACCCACATAAATAAATAAAAATTTGTCTCCTACTTTTCACAATCTATTTCCCGTTTCGATTCTCAAGTTACTGGCCTGATTTTTTTTTAATCAGTCGCCATTTTTTAAGCGGCTGAGGAATCGCAGACAAGATTTATTTTACTTCTGATAACCAAAATTTCGTAATTTCAATCAAACCTTCTTCTGCGATGAATATCCTCTTTAGATCCTGACTCCAGCACTTAATTAAAAGTAACTCTATAAGACAGTTTTAATTTTGTTTTCAAATTTATTTAATTTTAGCTTCTTGCTATGCAGTATCCCTGCCCTAAATATCGGGAACAGTTAGAAGCGTTTTACAATAGCGGTCTGATGAAAAATTACAACCAAAAGAACCAAGCATTGTATGATTACCTGACTAAGCACACTGGAGAACCAGTGGATGATCCAATCAAAGTCCAATACCTGTACTCAACATTGTACATTCAGGTAATTAAAACAAATTCTAATAAGTATTGTTTGATATATTAAGCATATTTCCATTCTAAATTCTAGTTATAGTCCTGATTAGGGCAGTAGTGGATTAAGTTTTTTTTTTTTTAACGGTAATTACTCTGGGAGGGGAGGGGAGGGAAAGAAACTATATAAAAATATCTCTAAGCGAAACTGGAAGACTTGTCACAAAAAAGAAAAAAGAGAAAACTAATATAATTAAAGGAACCATAATACTTTTAAGATTTTTTTTTTTTTTACATGTACCTATTTACATTTAGTAGGTAGGTATATATAAGTTATAATTTAAAAAGGATATATTGAGATTGTTTAGGTATTTAGCTTAGATCACTCACATAAATAAATATAGTCCAATGATTTTTTTTTTTTTTTTTTTCAATTTTACGTGTTTCTGCCCGAACGCTTCCCACGAGAACTTCTAGCATGTTAGGATGACTATAGTGAAAAAGAAAGATAGACAGGATAGATCGATATGTCGAAACAATGGGTTCATTAATTAGCAATTCGCTACTTAAAAGTTATCCCAAATTAGTAATTGTTATAAATGTTTTAAGTAAATATTAAAGAACTGAAGAGGCTTAACAAATTTAAAATAAAAAAGTGGTCCTAGAGAAAAGCCAAATGCTATGTTGTTAACAATTTACTTACCGTTTAATTTTTATTTAGTTTTCGTGGCGAACCTTGAAGCCATAATCTTATTATAAATAATCTTTCTCTTAATATAAACCCCATTATAACGCTGTGCTGGCTGACCTAACAGCAGTAATGTATAAAACACTACGTCATTTGCATCTTGGAACCCATAAATGTTAAAAAAAAAAATTACAAAAATTCCATTACAGACTATGGTTTGATGATGAGTAAGTCCGAAGCTTGCTTAGAGTTTATTATACGTAAGAAATGCTCTTCTAGGCCACTATCAAGGAGAGAAGACACTGAGAATACACTATGATCTTCGAATCGTGTGTGATGATCAGTGCTGTTCGTATCGTGAAAAGTAGAGGGTGCTATAATCCAGCCTGGAGGACCAATTATCGACTAAAGCGCAAAACCCGGTAGATGGGTTCTTTATCTTATATCTTCACCATGACAAATAAATACCAAATAATAAACTATAATCAGACCCCTAGCACATAGAAGCTATCACAAGATAATATAACTATTCACCATAATATCTATGATGAATTGATTATTGAAATTGAACATAATAATTTGTCTTTAGACATTAAACAATTATACACTTCCTGCATGGACCCAGGGTGTATTTCCTGACAAAATGTACGACATCTCTGCTTTCGGATTCAAAATGCCAGTATACACAAACACGCTCAAAAGGCTATTCGGAGGTATGAAAATTATTCATTAATCTCATGTATCTGAACCATATTGTCTTACTCACTTCATAATATTAACTTTTAGGTCCATTATTAAAAGAAATAATACATCACATGAAAGCAAAAAAATCTGGAACGCTGTCTCCGGACAGGAATATCGCAGTCTACTCGGCACACGACACTACGGTATCTTCTTTGTTGGAAACCATGGGCGTTTTCGAAACTCACATGCCTCCATTCACAGCAACAGTGCTGGTCGAGTTAAGGAAAAAGAATGATCAATATACTGTATCTGTAAGTATTATTATTATATTTTCAAAAGGATTTACGTAATTATTATAATTATATACTGTATCTGTAAGCATTATTATTATATTTTTTAAAGGATTTAAGTAATTATTAAAAAAGATATTAAGAGTAATGAAAATAAAAAAAACCTATACCACTACAATCCATGAAGAGTCTTGGGTTCAGCACTTACCATACTCTCCAGTAACAAAAAAAAATCGACTAAATGTTTTATAACAGTATTTTGTTTCAAAATAAATAACATTATTTTATAACATCAATTAATTTTATTGACTGAATCAAGTTCAAAATGCAGAAAACAAATTTTTATTTAATCTAAAAATAAGATTTTGTTTGGGAAAAGTCATCTCCCAAATTCTGTTCTATTAAGAGGAACATACAGAAGCTTTAAATATAGTTAAATGTCTAAAAATAAAAAATATGTTATATTATTATTATTAAGATTATAAATCTTAAAGTAAGTAGCTGACTTATAGAATAACAATATGCATAGCTAAAATTTATAATTTTAGGTTTACTACAAGAACTCAACTGCCGAACCGACCCTACTTACCATACCTCGGTGTACACCATCGTGCCCTTTGAATGAGTTCGAGGAACTCTTGCAGGATGTCATCCCTCAGGATTGGGATGCTGAGTGTAAAACATTAGTGAGGAATCCAAACTTTGATCAAGGGTTACCAGGTAAAAATTAGTTGCTATACTTGATGCTTACAACTTCGATTTCATAATTTACATAAAACAATACTTATATAAATTATTACAATAATACTTCATCATTTCAGAACTAGCAGAAAATGAACCTAGAAACATCAGAAGATATATTACTACGAGAAATCGTAATAGTTGGTGAGCGGACGAAAAAATGGAAACTCTTAATGAACAAAACAACAACATGGAGTTGAAACATTAGTCTATGATCAGACTTCTGAAAATAAATTTTCAGATGGATGTGTATAGTTTCATAAATAAATACAACGGTTCTACAGTGATAAATTTAAAGCTATGTTTAATTTATTATAAATATAATTTATGTAAATATTAATTAGTAATTATAATGAATATTTATAAAAAAAAAATCACTCATCCTTGAATGATAACTGATTATTTTTCTTAGTTCCAAAAGGAACTGCATCCTTATCGGATATAATAACAGGCTGCATATTTTCTAATTTCTAATACTGAAAAATCATCTGAGGACTCAACTTATTCTGCTAGGAGATAAGCAGTAAATGTTACACGGAACTAGAGCAGTTTACATTTGTTAATAACGAATATTGAAAAATAAAATATTCAAGTGTATTTTCCAGCAATTTGAAATATTGGAAATTCCTCAGAATTGAATAATTTTTGTTTTTGAAATTGACGAGTGAAACCATATTTTGGTCGAGTGATAAATTTTACTTGAGTGCGGTTTATGAATTCAATCATAGGAATAAATTTATAGTAGAGGAAATCTCTCTTTCTCCCGTTTTCTTCTTATTTTTCAGCCTGATATTACAATTTCCCTAAAACAGGAAAACCGAAGAGCAATGCTCTATTCTCTGTTCAGTGTACTTGGAGTCTCAGATAGTTATGGAGCATGGTATACCTCATGCCTTGAAAAATTAAGAGAAATTTTTAATATTGTAAAATCTATTTTAGAACATAGCTTATTAAAAAGATGGGCTCCGTCATCTGCGTTAGGTATTCTAATCCCGCATTACAAACTGTTCCAGTTATGCAGTTTACACGTTATAAAATCATGTTATAACAATTCCAAACTGTATAACAATCGAGCTAAGGCAATAATAAATCGGTGGCATCTGTTTATGGTAAGTTAAGTGCAAAAATCGTATTTATGGAAAAACGCAATTGAAAATTTGATATTATCACAGGTGCAAGTTGAATTTCCGAGTTTCAATCCAGTATTCACAAAGGAATATTCATATATGTACTTGCCGCATAGCTTAGTCCAATAGATACAATGAAAGAGAGCCGTTTAGTGATACACAGACAAATTAAAAAAATTGTACTTAACACACTTTTCATAGGTGACAGAGAAATTAAATACAATCTTAACGCTGGCAGAAACATTTTTGTGCCGTCAAGTATTGATAAATAAGATACCTGAATAGGAACAATCATATTTAGAAGGAATAATATCTGAGAATTTTAACGAAAGTGTGGTATTAAATAGTTAAAAAAAAAGAAAGAAAAAACTAAAAAATGCATTTTAATCTCGATTACTTCACACATACCCGAATCGCCCAAAATAATAAACTTTATATAGCTGCAAGAATATCTTTAGACAGAGACTAACTTCAAATCCTGATTTTTTTACCTTTCCAACCCAAAGGAAGAATAATAGGAACTTTATCCTAGATCAATTATCATATTAATATTCCTCTTGAACCGCGTATTCGGTGTGAGGAGGGAATCTGCAGAAACATAAGGGGGTTCTGAAGAGGGTTGCATGACGACAGTAATGCCATTAAAACATTTGGGGAAAGAACATTTTTATGGATCTTTGAATATTTGATATGTGAAGAGCACATTTTTACAAATTTCTTTTCTATAGGTCTTTCCATAGTATCTTCTCACATAGTTATGTTCCTCGTTTCCTCAAATATTTTGTTGAATAGATTAGATAGGCCATCCTTAAAGAAATTGTATGTCATGAACAATTGTATTCATATTTCGTACAGCTGTATGCTTCATATTTTTTCTTTCGTTTCGAAGATCCTTCGAATTGAAACTACAAAAAAAAAAAAAACTTTTCCGGAGAAAAATTTCCACTACGAAAATTCCTAACGCCATAAAAATTTGCCTCCCTCAAAAATTCAAAACCACGAAACAATTTGCCTTACTCAAATTTCTCTTTTGGGAACCAGCGAAACGAGGCGTAACAGGGGAGACATTTATGTTTCTCATTAGAGCATGAAATAATATCGTGCAATAAGTGAACAAGCACTAAAAAGGTAAGGTAAGTAAATAACACGTTCATTTCGACAAATTAATTAATAATAGATAAGAAAAGAAAAATGTCAAACCTATTAATACCTCATACATCAATATTGTTTAGTTTTTTTATTTCTAATTTATAAAAATAGATACGAATCCGATCCAAAACGGATTTAAGAGCTATAAATCCGTCTATTTGTTCATGAAATTAAAGAAAACAAAAGAGACGGTTAGATGCTATAAGAGAAGGACCTTGAAACAATCATATTTTCAAATGAGAGTAAAAAAATAAAAATCTCCGTATTAGCATAAGTATTCAATGTTCATCCTTTGAATTAGCAATTTTAAAGGAAATAACAGTTGATAACATTCCATGCATTGTAAAATAACAAGATACAAATAAATAAATTAAAAAAAAAAATTTAATAAAATGCAATATGCATGTAAATATTTGAAGAAAAAAAATTGAATAATACGCTATTTCTAGAAAATATATCAACTGATCATTAAAGAAAATAATAATAAATTTAATTTTAAAAAGTCTGAAAATGTATGTAACTTATTATTTTATTTTATTTGATTATTATTTCAATATAACAACATTTTTATAACACATACGTTGCGATTTTCTGAATCAAAACTGTTTTATAATTATCAGCGAGAACATTTCCAAAAAGGTTTCGCTTAGATTTGCAACGGGGTACACGCCACGAGGTTCCTTGCTTCGTTTGAAGTAAGTAGTTGGCACAAAAAAAAAAAAAAATAAATAAAAATAAAAGCTTAAGACCACAAATGATCTCATAAGAAATAACAAGGTATACGAAACATAAATAATAATTCTCATATCTTGTTATCTGGTTCTTTTCTTAGCCCTGATGAAGGCCTGAACTTCAGGTCGAGACGTCGGCATATGTCAAAATAAATATTATTATTAATTTTTGACTGATTGCCTTCTTATTTCTGACTGATCACCCCAACCATTCTTCTCAAGTATATAATAATTTTATAATATTAATTTTAAGATATGATTTTATTATAACAATAAAAGAATTGTATTTTTATTTTTCAACACTCATTATAATTCATCCTTCTTAGGTTAGTTGTAATGACGTTAGTAACACCAATGCAACCGATGGACTCATTGGGATGCATATTAGGTTTGTTCCAACGGATAACATCCATAAAATGAGATTTTATGCACTAGTGACCATAACAATGAAACATGGGTTGCATTCAAATTTCAAGCCAGTCAAAAAATCATCTGTTTCTTCCTTCTAAATTTAAAGTACAAGAAAAAAGATTTTGTAGTAACCTTAGTTTTTTTTTTTTTTTATTATGATATTTTCAATTGTATTAGTACAAATACATCAAGTAAATCTGTACAGAGGAATATAATCACATGAAAACGCTTGTAGAGAAATTACCCATTGGTAGTACTCTAATTAACATAAGTTGAAGTAGAAAAATTACAAGATATTTCATTATACATCTGCCTATATATTTACCGGTATTATAATTTTTCCAGTTAAAACAGATCTTTTGCTTTTAGTTAGGATACAAATATAAAGATATAGTTTGAAAATATAAATGCTCTTATGTAATGAAGAGCATAGATATACAAATAAAAAAAAAAAAAAATGATTTCTAAGTCTGGCCGTTGAAAAATATAGCAAACGAAAATTTATATTTGAGTTTTTAGTTAGATTTCATAAAAGTTTAGATTCTTTAACATGGCATAAGAAGTGTTTTTTTGTTTTTTTAAATTAGCAATTTTAAGAATGTAGTTCACAGAAATCGGTTTCTCATCAATGAGAACCATGAATTTATTCATTGAAACAAAAAACATTTATCAAAATAAAATCATTAAATTCTTCATGAATGAAAATTAAACTTATGGATAAGTTAACAATAGATTAAAAGATGAAACTATATTAAAGCAAATAAGAACGTAAACAATACTAAGAAATCTATCATACCCGAACATATAGCACAGGATCTAGTCCTATATTATCATTCGGTCACCTATATAAAGCTGAAAAATGACACAATTGTGATCATATTGTCAAGCTTATCAATACCAATCAACCAAAGGCCCTTCAAAGGATTTTTCAAGAAATGACGTAAAGATTTATTAAAATAATTCAAAATCCATTAGCGTACAATAAATCACTCATGCAATACTTGACGACTATTGATAAGGGTAAGATTGCCTGATAAATGACTAAGGTGTACGCCTTCTGTTAATTCTAGCCAGTATCAAACATTAATTCTGTTTACCGCGATACACGAATTAGGACCATTTGTTGTTTATCAATAAATCATTTAGTCATAAATGCCATTTAGAAACAATAGTTCCAAAATGAAAGATTTTATTGGGTGTGCTTTAGTATGTTCGATTTTATTATTTAATTGCGGTAACGTTTTAGGTCAAAGTCAGAACCTACATAATGACACTGAAATAGTTTTTGCCAGTATTGTAAGTATTTATAATAGATTGCTTTGTAATTTTATGTTATTTTTGTAATTTAATATTAATTAAGAGGAACGTTAACATGATAATTAAATCAGGAAAATCATTTGGAACATTGATTTATAATAATGTGTCCATTTTGGTTTATTATTTTCAATAATGAACCATTGAGATCGACCAAAAAATTCAAAAACTTAACCCTCTCTCAAAACTTTTGGTTTTACGTTTCAGGATAGAATTCGAAAAACGAATAAAATTTATTTTATCCGTCCGCCGTCCGCGCATTTTCTCCGAAACTACTGGACCGATTTTTTTTCCAATTTGGATATAAAATCAGAGGTAACCCGAGAAAGATCCTAATTCATCGGCATTACTATCTGCCTTTTATTTTCAAAACGGCGAAAAACCTACGTTGCTATAGACTGTAGCGCGTAAACGAATGTACCGGTTTCAATTAAACTTCGCTAAAGTCGTTTTCTCGATGCCTTTTAAATTTATCTATATACCACACTTCAACGAAAAGAAGCTTGAAAAAAAGTTACGAGGGATGGTAAAATTAAATTCCGAATAACTCAAAAAGTATACACTTTTTTGTCGATATTGTAATAATGTTTCAAAGGTATTTAAATTTCCTTAAAAATGAAATATTACCAAACATAGACAAACAAAGAATATAAATATTACACATGCGCACACACACAAACAAGGGCGCACGCAGCCACCATATTAGAGGAAGGGCAACAGTCAATGTACAGGGTGTCCCGTAAATAGAGGGAAATTTTTATAGGAGTGACAGCAGACTTGAAGAGCTACAAAAAAAGTTCATACACACAACGGGTCAATTTACAATACAAAAAAACTAGCAAATCCAAGTTTTGTGTTTTTTTAACTGAGACATGTTTTTTATTGAATCGAAAGCAATAACTAAAGAGATATATAATATAAGTAATTAATAACTGCTTCATTGTAAACAAGATGAAATTTACACTTTAAACGAACATAGAGTTTATCAATGTTAACACCATTTACAGAGGACTTTTGAACGGCTAAACTAGGCTAAATTCTGTTATAAAAAGAAATCATAAATTATTCCCGATTTTTTTTTTTTTTTTTAATCAGCTTCCAACAATACTGCTGTTACCAATTTTACAAAAACTTCTTCGTTCAATAATATTTAAGTTCGTATTAATTAAGTTGAGGATTATTAGGGAAAACCTTGAGATTCACCTCAAAGTGTGTAAAAAAATGATGATATTTTTTATCTTGTCATGTAAAAGTATCTCTGTTTTGAGCTAAAATCAACACAATTAATTTTTGTTCAGTTTAATTAATTAAGTTCAAGGAAATAATTGTAGCTTTTATTTTCTGTTTCTTTTTTTTTTTTTATGATCTGGAATGTATTATAATAAACCCAATTCCTTAACCACACATTTTACAAATAAAAAATAAATCGAAAAGTACTGAATTTTCAAATATTGTTTGGATAAATTGGTTATAAACTGTGTTTTTCACCCAGATCTTTACATAGGAATTAGTGTGTATTTGTGAGCGACAAAATAAAATATTCTAGACCTAAAATATATGTCTAAAAAAATGCATCCTGATTGCTTCAATTCTTTTAATATTAACGTTTCAATTAAAATAATTAAAGGAATCAGCAGTTTTTTCTATTTTTTATTGCAAACATAAATTTTAGGACTATAATCTTTTATTTTGTCACGCCCAGGATCGGAGACATTTAGTTTTCACTTATAAATAGGGATCGATTCCTAAAGTAGAGATCCGGTTGAAAAACTCAGTTTATAACTGATTTACCTAAAAAAATATTTGAAAAATCAATATTTTTCTAATTAATTTTGTTACTAATATATCTTTATGCAATTGGGATTATAAAATTACATCTAAGATCGTCGAAAAACAAGAAATAAAAGCTTTGTAACAATTAATTGTAGTTATTTTTGCTTAAGACAAATAAAAGTATCCCCTTTTACTTGACAATATAAAACATATTTTTTTTACAAAACTGGAGCTGAATCGCGAATTTTTCCCTAGTAAACCTCAACTTAATTAATACAAATTTAAAGCATATTAAACGAAGAAGTTTTAGTAAAAGTGGGGTAACTGTAGTATAGTTGGATGATGATAAAAAAAAATGGCGAATAATTTAAGATTTTTCTAAAAACAGAACTTAGCTTAGTTTAGCCGCTCACAAGTCCTCTGTAAATGGTTTTAACAATGATAAACTCTATGTTCATTTAAAGTAAATTTCATCTTGTTTGCAATGAAGCAATTGATAATTATTAAATTAAATATTTCTTTAGTTATTGCTTTCGATTCAATAAAAAACATGACTCAGTTAAAAAAAAACCACAGAACTTGGATTTGCTACTTTTCTACTGAAAATTGGCCCATTGTTTATATGAACTTTTTTTGTAGCATTTTAAGTCTGCTATCATTCCTATATGAGCGGGGTAGCTCAGTGGTAGGGCACTGAGCTTCCAATGCAAAGGTCCCGAGTTCGAACCCCGGCTCTTGGCACAAAATTTATTTATCTGTTTCATTGGCCGTGGGGCGACCTTGGGTCAGGAGTCCCTTCTGGGGCACACCCAGCCTCTATAAAGTGGGCACCCTTATTTATATTATAATTAATTAAGGGGGAAAACCTGGCGGTTGAGCGTGATCTCGGTCAAGTCACCTCCTTGCACAACCGTGGACCTAGAAACAGTACTTTCCCTAAATATTACTGAATCCTCGACCCTTCATGGGTTGTAGTGGTACAGGTTTTTTATCACTCCTATATAAAATTCCCTCTACTTATGGGACACCTTGTACAGTAAAATATCAGAAAGATAAATTATTTCAAACTCTAATATTGTATTAAATAGATTATTTTAATTAGAATTTATTCGTACTCAAAACATATTTTTATATGAAACACTATATACGCATTTTTTACTTGGATTTTCGGCAAACCTTTTGTATTATATTATGTTTTATTTTATTTAATTTTTTTTAGTCAAAGGCTCCTCTTATTTAGCTTTACCCCCATGCTGACAAATATATAAAAACAAACACATATATTTTCGCATTTGACAAATAAGGCCAAAATATATACAGGGTGTATCAGGGTTAAGTGATCAAACTGCAAAAAAGAAATAAGGACCACAGAACAAGAAAAACAAATCCCCGAAAGATATGTCCGCAAACCCTTTGTTTAGAAGATATTAACACCTAAAGATTTTCGTTGCTATGAATTATTTACATTATATGAAATAAATAAAACCTATTTATTTGTTTTAACTACTTTATTAATTAAATGTAAACACTAACATTCATATTAAATGTTGTTCAAAATGAAGGTATGTAATGATCTGTTTAGGCACGAGTTGTTTTAATAGGCACGCTCTCCAGAGCTGACACCACAGATTTTTTTTTTTTTTTTTTGGGTGACATTAAACAAAAAATGGAAGACCGGTCAATGACTTTAATTCCTTACGAAGAAGGATAATTGAATCTTGTGAAACAATAACACATATCCAGTGCCGTTCTGCCACAACCTGCTGATGAAGAAAGTTGCCGAGCCTGTCTTAATGCTCAAGGAAATCACTTTGAACAACATTTAATATGAATTGAATGTTTACGTTTAATTAATAAAGTAGTTCGAACAAATAAATAACTTTTATTTACTTAATATGACGTAAATAATTCATAACAATGAAAATCTTTAGGTATGAATATTTCCTAAACAAAGCTTTTGTTGCGGACATACCTTCAGAGAATTTTTTAGTTCATATTTCCAGTTTGGTCACATAATATATTTTCGCACTAAAAAAAAATTTTGCTTTTGTGTTTAATGACATCCTAATTTATAAAATACTAGTGTGCTGCGCGAATAATTGGTATAATATATTCTCCAGAGGTAAATATAATGGTAGTATATTATAGAAGTAAGTATATAATATGCATTATGAGAGGGAGGTATTCATTTTTATTTTAAAAAGTCAACTAAAAAATGTGCACAAATTAAAATTTCTTGTTGTGGCTAAAAATTGGTTCAGTTTCGATGCATTGCATTTTTTCAAATTTCAAATTATCATGGGTATAATAAACAATAAAGAGCCAAAGGATATTTTAACTCTGGCATTAACACCCCATTTCACCTCCAGCCCGGGAAAATCCCGTATAGCCCAAAAGGCGAGTAAGGGAAGAACAAAAAAAAAAAAAAAAAATGCAAGATATTTTGCTCAAGACCTACATGTTTGCAGCAGATCTATGATATGTAATTCTTACAATTATTTAGAATATACAAGTCTATTACTGAGAGTATAGAAGCCATACCTGGATTTTTTTTATTTGTTAAAAATATCGTTGAATTCAATTTTTAAATATTTTCCGAAGTCTCCTACGAAGTAGGATTATAGTACCATTATCTATAGAGATCATAGTTCTCCTCCCTTTACCTTGTGAATAGATTTTTAGTTCATCGAAGACTATCATAACTAGCAATATTTCAATTTTTCAAATTTCAACATGCGATAAGTATCCCACGTCAACCATAAAAATAAAGATATAAATAATAATGAGTTATTTTGAAAACGGCAAATGCCTTTAAAACGCAGGAACCAGTATAATTCCTCAGGAATGTTCGCTTCGAAATCATAAAAACAAAATTTATATCGTCTCAATCCGACAACTTTTGAAACCATCTGACTTTTAAAACCACCAAATTTTTTCAATGATTTTTATTATAGTTTTAATAAAATTTTACGTTTTGAGATTCGTCACTTCTCCACGAAATTCTCCTTCGTTAGATACCTCAATCATTAAAATCTATCGCTCCTGAGCACACAACTAGATTAGATAAAAATTTGATCAAAACAAAAATAAAACCCAACAACAGGCGTTGGAAATAATTAAGACATTAGTTAAAGGAATCTTTACCGTATTATATATACAGTAGATATAACTACATAGATATGTTTTCTATAATATTTTCAGGTTTTCAGGCATGGAGAGAGAAATCCGAACAGCGTATGCCCAAATGATCAACACAAAGAACTACGTTACTGGCCTGAAGGCTTGGGAATGCTCACGGATGTAAGTTTACAAAACGCTAATTTGTATTCTAAACCATTTTTTTTTTCCAACAAATATATTTAAACTAATATTATATTCCAGAGAGGTAAATTACAGCACTACGAACTCGGAAAATGGCTAAGGAAAAGGTACGATTCTTTGATTCCAGGCGGTATATATTCCAAAGATTTGATTTACGTCCAAAGCTCTGACTGGGACCGTACCCTGATGAGCGCTCAGGCCAACCTCGCTGGGATGTTCCCTCCGACCCAAAAGGAGTTCTGGAGCGACCTGGACTGGCAGCCGATTCCAGTACACACCATACCCAGTAGATTCGACAAGGTAAAGGAATGATATTTTCTCACATAGAAATAATCCAGTCAACGAGTATCAAAAAAAGGGCACAGAGAGAAATGGGGAAAATAGCATTTATGACGCTGGAACTAGAAAGGAGGTAAACATACTAAAGTTCTCACTCCTACAAGATGGGCCACGAAAAGAAGAGTGTTTTATTTTTAGGAATATTTTAGGAAAACTACGAGCCCTAGTGATAACGACATTCTATACGAAATTAAAGCTCATAAAATTTGCAACGGTATCATTGACATTCTTTTTTTCGATATGTAGCACAATTTCCGAGATATCCGTGCTAAATATTCCCTAATTTAAAATATATATATATATATATATATATATATATATATATATATATATATTTGGCTCACGTTTTAATCTTCGTTTGCCTTGCCAACTCTGTATCTCTTCATTCTACGAAGAAGTCATAAGAAGTTTTTGAATTTTTTTTTTTTAAATATATGTAATTTTACTATCGTACATGGTGTTAACTAAAAGTTATTTGTTCAAATCCTGTACTTTGGAATCACATGTGCCTATAACTTTGAGGAACGAATTCTTAGTTAACATATATACTAACTATACACTTTATCAGTCGTGAATCCAGGACATAATGGTTTGATTTGAAGATAGAGATACCACACACATGAACTTTTTTTAATACCAAACAATATTACTTTTAGATAGGTATTAATATACCTGAAAATATACTATATATTATTTCTAATAGGTGTTTTTTTTGTTGGTACGCCATAACTTCGCTAATTCTTCATCAAATCCAATGATTGACCACTCATTTTGAAGATATTCGTCTCCTTCACATACGAAAAACAGTCCTATCTCACCGAAATTTCTGGGGAAAAAGTTATGAAGGAAATGAAACTTTATTTGCGAATAACTCAAAAAGTATGCATTTTTTTCTTGATTGTACCCATCATGATTAGAAAGATTACTTAATTACCTACTAAAAAAAAAAAAATCGTAAAAATTGATTAGAAATATGTATAATTTAAACAGTTCGTATGGTAACGGATGGAGTAAAGTGTGTTGAAATATTTTTTAAGGAGAAACAGAGTTGAAATTTGTATTTCGCAGCTCAAAAGACCCTTCGAATACGAATTTTCATTGCGATCGAACATAAATTATTTTTTTATACAAATTTGACCTAAGGCTTCGTTTAATTTTATTTCGAAAATCGCAAAGTGTTATAACTTTCAACCACCTATTCACACGAAATTTTGCAGGGATATAGGACCTTATAAACTATACGAAATGACACAAAATGTACCTTCCTAAATAATTTAGAACTCAAGTTATAAAATAAAAACCCATCACAATTTTTTATTTATTTATTCTTTATATACGTGTTAAATCAAAAAGATATGAAGGAAAAGAAACTTTATTTGCAAATAACTCAAAAAGTGTGCATTTTTCTTGAATGTACCCATGATAATTAAAAAGCTCACTAAATTACTTACAAAACAAAAATAAATCGTAAAAATCGGACAATTATTAACAAAGATACAGTCCATTAGTTTTGGTATACTTAATAATGTCTTCCTCTTTAAAAATATTACATTTAGTAGTAGAATAGTCGACTACACTTTTTTTCCTGGTTGATATATTAAATTTTTTTTTTTTTAATAATTTAGAAAATCCCATGATTGGGGCATTATTTTGTCTTTATTACTGTTATTATATTTTATGTCAGTGTTTAAAAATAGGTCCTAGCAAAGCAATTTGTACAAATATTTTGGTCTATTATGTTAAAATGGAATATTGTAATTGACCAATGAAAAAATATTAATTCCTTCCTTACATAATACATAGGAACTACTTATTTCCATATTGTTTTGCTATTTCTTCACTAAACAAAAGTTTCTGCGAATTATTCGCACGGCCCACCTAGTACTATATAATACATATTACTTATTTAAGTACAACTTATACATATCGTAGGTATTATTATATTTAAATACGCAAATACTACATATAATAATTTAGCTAATAAGTAATTATAGTAATTAGCTAATAAGTAACTGCAAGACTCTTGCGCGAGACCATGACCATGAGCGAGATTGAGTTCGCAAGACCAAGATTCGTCTCGGTCTCCCATTTGGTCAACACTAATAACAAGTCCAAACAGAGTCTTTAAGTCAAAAATTGTGTTTCTTCCATTTCTCTCTATAATCATTCATTGACTGGCAAAAAAACTGGAATCAGCAGAGAAGCGAAGTGTAATAAAAACTTTTATTAATTTTTTACAGCTAATAGCAGTCCATCACCCTTGTCCGAAACTGCTTGAAGAGAAACACAACATCATGCATTCTCCTATCGTAAAAAGGTATAACAAACTACACAAGCAGCTGTATGCAAAACTGACGAACGATTGCGGCGAATCTATTAACAACGCCAATAATGTTGGAAGTAAATATACTACATTTCTGATTGAGGTAAATAATTTTTGACATTGTTATCACGAATTCTATATATATATATATACATGAAAAATGGCGTGTGTTTACTATCCGAATTTGATTTACATATAAAACGGATCCGTTAGAAATCAAACACATTCCTAACTAGCAGAACTTACTATTAAGAGTATTTAAGGATAAGAAAACAAATTCAAGACAAGGACATAGCGTGCAACCGACCGTCTAGTTTAGTCTCGGGTAGTGAAACTAGGTTGAGCGTTAAACATCGATGTTGTATGCTTTTGAAATAAAATCTGGAACACTGGCGGAGCAAATAAATCAATTTTGGAAAACACATACTGGTGTCAAATCACTAACTAAAGTAGATACGGTTACGACTGGAAAGAAGTTTAAATATACTAGAGCATACAATTAAGCATAGATACGATCAAAAAATATAGTACCATGTATTTTGTTTTATATATATGTTAAATTATTTCATTCCTCTGAAATATTTATCCATTATTATTTAGACATAGAAAGAGAAAAACAACTTTATTCTGTGATGAAGTCCCTTAAGAATAAAAGAATATCACGGGAAAAAAAATTACTTCTCGAAAGATGAACTGTTACATTAAATAAATAAATAAATAATTTACAAAATTGGACTAAATTAAGAAATGAAACAAAATAAATGAAAGAAAAATAATAAAGAAATAAAAAAGATAGGAGGGAGAATAATAAATATAAAATAAATTCCTCTAATAGGTTGGCATCAAGTAAAAAGTGAAAGTTAAAGAAATAAAAATGTAGGTATTATATTTCAGTAAAAATTAAAACATATATAACAAAGATATCGGGAAAATAAATAAATGGAATAGCTGAGCATAGAATCCTTGTAGAACAGAACCGACATGGTATGAAAAATATATACATAAGTTCGTAAGTACAAATAAGTATATACAAGATCCTGAGAAGAAACAATATATATAGTGTATTTCAGAAAATGTATATAAATTAGTCTTGTTGATATACTTTAAATTGATAAAACAAAATTAATAGTACTAACGCATTGTAGAGAATTTTTGAATGGAGTATTCACTGGCGCAACTTAAAGGAATAAAAAAAATATGGATCATTCGATTAATTCAATGTCTAGAAACAATTTATTAAATAAACAATAAAGTAAGATTGCAGATATCAAATCACAATGAAAACAATAACGCAATCTTGAGTGTTGCAGCTGCTAAGATAGTTTGATACAATGAAATCAAAATATGAGTTATACTTTTTTAAATAAAACATTAAACATTAGAATAATTTATGCGCCAAAAATTATAAAAGAGATAAACAATTAATAATTATTTATTGTTTTTTTACTCAGACGCTGCACAACTACACGATTCCTAACTGGGCAAAAGATGTGTATCCAGACACGTTGTACCGCGTTGGAACGTTTGGTTTCCAAACGCGCACGATGACAGACGTAATGAAAAGATTAAGAGGAGGTGAGCAATATTAGGATAAACCAACTTTAACGTTTGTTGTCATAATAAATATATATGTATGATATAAATTTTCATTTCTAAAAATATTTTCATTCCAGGTCCACTTTTAAAAGACATAATCTCACATATGAAACAGAAGAGGGATGGAACCCTCAAACCAAACAGGAACCTGTGGGTGTACTCTGGTCACGACACGACCGTAGCAGCATTCTTGGACACGATGAGGGTTTTCAAGCCCCACATCCCTCCTTTCGCAGCAACGGTCATGGTAGAGTTAAGGAAGAACCAAGACAATCAACATTTTGTTTCGGTAAACATACATACAACAGATAATAGTAAGTGGTATCCTGAAGGTGAACTTAGGCGGCATTAAAACGAAAAATAAAATAACATTTTGTTGTTCCCTTGACAAGATCACAGTATTTACATATTTGTGAATGAAATCCTTGGGTATTCCAGATGCAAAAAGCTATACTTGGACGCAGTCAAGAAAGTATTGAGAGGCTTGGTAAGAATTTGATAAGAAAAGTACAGGAAAACGGCCAACAAGTAGATTAAGATAAAACGAAATATATGGAAGTAAGCCGAAAAACCCATCTCGACAATTAAAATACCTCGGTTCCACAATAACTCAATGAAAGAGAAATGATAAAGCGAAAAGGAGCTTCCTTCTCTCTTTTAAAGTTATTAAAATCTCAAAAAATAATCAGTGAACTTTAATTAAGGGAGTATAATGCTACTATAATGCTAGTTTTGAGATAAAGCTTGGAGACCTGTACTGTGTCCAGCATGTGAGAAAGAAATCTGTTCTCCTCACGATAGGATCAGAGAACTAGCACCTGGAGGAGATAGTACCAATAAAAAACTGCTTACAGCAATTGGTAAATAAATATCTCATAAAATGAAAGCAATTAGGTGATAGGCTGGACATGTAGCTTGCAGCAATCCATTAGGAAAGCTCTGAATAATGAATGCCCCAATAGCAGAAAACAGTCCAAAAACCAGAATGATATACGAATCAACAAAGATGCCGTTTAGTAGCTAATAGATAACTGAAAAGTACAAAGTGCGGCTACGTATAAGCCACACACGCCTTATAAATAGCTGTGTGTGTGGCTTATACGTAGCAGGAACCTGATTTTTTTCCGCCCTATTAAATTCTTAAAGAGTGCGAAAGGTGTCCCTGATTTTTCTGTGCTGCATTGCTGATTTAGGATAGAACAAGCCTTTTATCTAATATTTAGTAGTTTTATTTAATTTTAAATAGTTACATAAATTAAAGTATCAATTGATTCTCTCAAAAATATCATATTAAAAATTCATATTTTAGTCAGTTAAAGTCAAGTTTTAAAAACGTTAGCTTCTCATGTAGCTAATTATTTTTTTTGCATCGATTCATGATGGAAACTAAAGTTAAATATCGGTTACCTGATGGACCGCGAATCTCCAACTGAGTGTCTGCGGATGTCGGCTGACAGTGAAGCATTTGCTGACAGAATGTAGAGCTAATGAAACCGAAAGGGCACTTTTCAATATCCCAAACCGAATTTATTTCGCATTACATGACAACACTAGCGGATCCAGGATTTAATTTTGAGGGGCTTCAGCCTGAAAGATTTTTTTTCATGTATATAACGATAATTAATTTGAAAAAAAGAAAAGAGAAAGAAATGAACTACCTATATGAAATGGTGTTTAAGTGATTCTTGAAGTCCTATTAAATGTAATTACTCGAACAATAATACTTTAAGAGATAGTTTTTAATATTTTTTTCTGTAAAACATTTTACCTTTTTCGGGGGGAGGGGGAGGGGAAGCTTCTGCCCGAAAGCCCTTTCCCCCCGTAAATCCGCCTGTGCATGACAATGCACAGATCAACGATAAACTTTTAGATTTCCTAAAACAGGCCAAAATGTATTCCAAAATTTAAAAAGTGACGCGAGGCGTTATGACGCCTTTATAAATAAAAATAATCCAAAAAAAAATAGCAAAAGATCTACAAGGTCTGTAAAGACAACAAAAAAAAAAAAAAAAAAAAATCAGAAGGGGAAAAACTAAATGTTAGTTTCAACTTACTGCCGCATATGTTCGTACTCAGAATGCCTCCTAATTGTAGTGGAGCCATTGCAATCACTTCTTTATTTTTTATTTCAGGTGTACTACAAGCGTACTACTGAGGAACCTGAGCTACTCACAATAGCGGGCTGCGAACCGCTGTGCCCTTTGGACAGATTCGAGTCACTGTTGTCCGATCTCATCCCGGTCAACTGGGAGGACGAATGTAAGACCACAACGTCTGTAACAGGATTCGAGCCAGTTGACTATGAAGACGGTAATAATTAACAGAATATATAATGGGACTATGGTTTGGCACTTTTCGAATTTAGTTCAGAGATTAAATTTTATTTTAATAACCAACATACCTATTAGTATAAACAAGTAAATAGTGGAATAAAGCGAAATTACATTAATTACGTTACCGATGATCCTTTCTGGCTCCGAGTGATTAGGAAAGAAAGATTCCTAGGCAGTGTTAGCTGGAAACAGCCACTTCAAGACCCCTTTCCCTCCATAAAAGTTTGTTCAAGTGGCAAAGTGTCGTGTTTAAATATCAACGGTGGATCGATATGAATTGATACGTTCAAAAGCTGAGAATTTTAGTGGATGGTTGCAGCTATATCAATGAATAGAAAATTAGAAGATTTTTTTCCGCCCTATTAAATTCTTAAGAGTGCGAAAGGTGTCCCTGATTTTTTTGTGCTGCATTGCTGATTTAGGATAGAACAAGCCTTTATAGGTAATATTTAGTGGTTATATTTAATTTTAAATAGTTACATAAATTAAAGTATCAATTGATTCTCTCAAAAATATCATATTAAAAATTTATATTTTAGTCAGTTAAGTTTTAAAAACGTTAGCTTCTCATGTAACTAATTAATTTTTTTGCATCGATTCATGATGGAAACTAAAGTTAAACCGAGTTTAAAAGCCACGGGAGCAAACAGTGCGTTAAAGAATCGTTTAATCTAAAAGGAGCGTTCTTCCATAAGAACTCACGATGGATAATCGGACGGTTTTTTTTCTTCGGGTAAAATTCTTAGTAGCTTTACTCACCATACCAGCTAAAGATATTAGACTGTAATAATTAGAGTGTCTGGGAAGCCCAAGATGACTCAAATGAAACTATTCATTAATATCACTAGCCTCATCTGAAGGTTACCAGACATCATAAACTAGACAATAATGGAGGCACTAAGAACTGATGGGCCTTGGTCTTGTGTAGTGGGGGCATGGAACTACGATATCTATTTTTTTTTCTTGTTATTATTGAAATTTACAACTGTATTAAATGATAAATACAACAAGTAACATAACGTGTACAACATGAAAAGAAACTACCCATTGGTAGCACTCCAATTATATTTCTATATTAGAAGGTCCCGAGTCCATCTTCTTTTCAGACGCCTCGGAGGGTTATCAGGAATAGAAGAGGAAGCAAGGTTAGAAACAAGAGAGTTCGGATGGTTCAGAAGTTTATTATGGAAGGATAGGTATCTGGATTGAGCTAAATCGGAAACATATGGTACATTAAAGTCACTATGGATGATTTTATTTGTGACAAAGTAGAAGGCATTGAGGATTTTACGAAGGATTTTGGATTGTAGAGATTAGATACGAGACGAATTTAATGGTTTACTAGCTCGATCCCGTAAGTCCAAATAGGCCTTATTATAGTAATATATATGAGTCTTTTGTAAATAGTTGGATGTTTAGAGCGTTTGTCAAGTAAGTGCTGCAGTAGTCGAAAACGTCGGGTGGTTTCTAGTCGTTTCATTCTGGTATCAGGGTACGGAAGATATCTTGAGAAGAATTTGATTTTTGAATTCCAAATCCGGCGAAAGCGCCAAAATAAAATTTGATGTATACATCTTGTTTACTTAATCACATTTTTTTTTTTCAGAATGAAGTATACGCAGAAGAGAATGACAAGACTTTTTTATTTCACAGAACAGATCTAAATATATACGTTCATTTTAAATAGACATGGATGTATTAAATAAATGTTTTTATAAAAAAAAGATTACTAATGAATGCCTTAATTAAATAAGCTCAATAGTTTCCTTATCATTAATCAAAATATATAATGCATTAGGAAACCGTCAAAATTACCAATTATTTTCTGCTAAGAAAGAAAATAAATAACAATTTGAGAAAAATATTTTTAAAAAATGTATATTTACATAAATATACACAAAAAATTATTCAATATGATCTCAATATTATTGAATATTATTATTGAAAAATATAACCGTAATAACAACAGGTTTAGCAGGTATAAAAACTATCTATTGAAGTGACTGGTTACAAGCAATGGGCAAATGCTACTTAGTGTACCGAGTACCAAGTATTTTACTCAAATTGAATCACTATTGAGAATTAAATCACTACTACTGTTAATCGTTTGACATAAAATAGTAATTAAATTCTTTGGTACTCGAAAAAGGTCAGTGTATGAGTAAAATACTTGGTACGCGGTACACAGAGTATCATTCGACCATTTCTACTGGTTAGCACTCTAATGATCCTGAAGTTAAGGTGTTATAGTTTTCTTTTAAGTTGCTCCATATTGTTAGCAGGAATATTTTGGAACACAGGGTTATGAAGTAGTTTTAAAATGAAAGGGTATCAATTTTATTTTGATCTAGAGTATTGGACACCACGATACCATCGAACTAAATCGTCTGACCTGCACGACTTTAATTTAATTTAAAAAAATGAGACACAAAAGGAACACATATTTTTAAGAATTGACATCTCTTAGTCTAATTTTCACCCGGTTGTATACGTACACAGGAATGTAAAGAAACATCAATCATTTCATAAAGACAAAAACGTTTATAACAAATAAGTCAAACCACTTAAAATTGAATTTTCTAAATGGAAAATCTTTTTTTAAATCAATACTCTGAGTGGTATAAGTTGAACTTGATGTCTAAATGAATAAAGAAAATAATAAATAATACAACTGAGTTGATACCCTATGTGATGTATAAAATCGCAACCTGATACAACCTTTGGGAGGTGATTGAATTAGAGTGAGGAAGTAGAACTTAATCCTTGAAAATTTGGATTGTCTGTTTCAAAACTCTTTTATTTCATGATACTACAATAGTTATATTTCGTAGGGAACATCTCAGATAAAAAAAAGTTTATTTATTATTTATTATAATGTAAATATTCTTGACTTACAATAAATTTGCCATCTACCTCGGTATTCAGCAAATATGATATCAAGGAGAAGAAATAATAGCATAAAAAAAAGTAATAGTAATGACAAAACAAGAAGACAACAAAAAAAAAAAAAAACAGTCGTAAGATAACTCATAATAACACACAAACAAAAAAAAAAAAAAAAAGATAATGCAGCAAGTAGCTCAATGCAAGAAGTCTCTTGGCCAGCGCCTCAGCAGTCTTCTGGGCGGATTATATGGATTTGTGGCAGTAGATAGAGCTTGAGTAAGTGGATTGGAATTTAGAGTCAGTCTGTCATGAAAATTATTAAAGCGGTCAGTGCCGTGATGAAAGGAATGTTAAGGTCAGTGTGTAACGTGAGGTTTGAAACGTAAAAGGGTGCGTCTACAATTTTCCGAAGGACTTTTGACTAGAAAAAGTAATAAAATAAAAATATGGATCAAGTTGGCTGGTAAAATTGCTAATACAACTGTTTTACAAAACATTTTTAGTTTCCAGAAATAAAAGTTATTATATTTCAGGATTCTCTAATTTATTTAAGGTAAATGATCTTTCTTAGTTAATTCGTAGAAAATATTATTTAAATTTGTACCAGTAATGCGGCTGAGTGAGAGGAGTTGCGATCTCCTAGAATCTTGCCTTTCCTCCCTAGGAGTGTGAGGTACCCTTGGAGTTTCCCTGAGCGAATGAATTTTGTAAATATTGTATAAAAGTATGTTTGTATTAAAGTTGTTATTTGGATAGGTTTATATTTTTATTTTTATTTATACACACATTGTGTGAATGAATACTATAGCCCTAGTACCAATGCCCTTCAGTGTGGCAGACTGTATTAATCTCAATAAAAGTTTAAAAAATAAATTTTTATTTATATACATTTAATTTTACATATATCATTTTGCTATTTAATTTATTGAACATAGAGTGTGAATGTACTCTCTGAACACTATTATAAATATCCTTTGAGACAGATTGTACAATATAAACAAGTCATTTAAATCTGTAGTGAATACATATTTGATAATATAATTTTAAAATTATTTGCACATAGGATTCTCCAATATTAATTCAATATAATTCATATAAAATAAAACGACTATTAACGACTATACATAACTTATTTATACTTATAAATACAATTACACATAGTTTTAGCCAATACGGGTGTTCCCAGCAGTGCAATGTCATGCACGCATGCGTTACAAACCATAATAGCAATTACACTAGTTCACAATCACTCTTTTTCTTGAGGTGTGCACATAGCTTATTCAATTCAATGAAAGTTTGATCTTAATATTCATCAGTTAGACCATTCTCTTCTACTTCTCTGTCCGTCGCGCTCTAAGAAACAACTGTTAGTCTCCAACACAAAAAGTTGATTGGAAGGACGAATATCTCTTAATATTTATAAATGGCTTGAAAAAAATAAAGTTCTGTTTGATTATATGCTGAGAGAAACCGACCTCCATCAAAACATTAAGTTCTGTCACAACTTTCAAACAGGTAAAAACAAAAACGTCAACTTTTCGAAAATCCAGGCACCACTTCGACAAAAAATAATCTACAGCACATATATATATATATATATATATATATATATATATATATATATATATATATATGTATATATATACGTTTTTGTTTTTACCTGTTTGAAAGTTGTGACAGAACTTAATGTTTTGATGGAGGTCGGTCTCTCTCAGCATATAATCAAACAGAACTTTATTTTTTTCAAGCCATTTATAAATATTTTTTTTGTATTCTATTATAATTAACTGTTAATTTTTATATATATATTCAAGTAATTTTTTTTTTTTTTTATGAAGTGAACTCATTGTATCTCTTTTTCGTTCTTCATTTCCCAAAGTGTATGTTTATGTTGTTCAACCCTTAAATATAATTTTGTTCACAGTTCAAGTGATTCTTTCATAGTTTTAATTGTTTTGTTCAAAATTTTAAATGCTCTGCACATAGTTTTATCTGTATTGTATATAGCTTGTGCACCTAAGGTTTTCTTTACTTTTTATTTTATTTTACCAATTTTATTTATTGTTTCAACGTTTAGGCCAATAATATTCTATTATTTTGTACATTATTGTTATTCTGAAGGGACTTAGTCCCAGAATAAAGTTTTTTTTTTCTATCTATCTATCTATATATATATATATCCTCCCACTGAAGTCCTACACTGCTCCTATTGTTATATTAAAGTATAATGGAGATATAGATAGATGTACATTATTATTATTTATTTATTTTTAAATAAATAATATTTTGGATTCTTCAATAAATTTGCACAATGCCTTAATGGTATCTCTATCTAGATCCACATATTTTTTTAAATGCATACTTTCGTCTTAACTTACACATGACCACATGTTACATACTTGTAAGCAGCGATTTACATAAAACAAATATTAAATTTTGAGAAGTTGCAGTACTTTCAAGGTTAATGATCTCCGGCAGATATTGTATGCAAACATTTATTTAATCGTAGATAACGTGGCGTGAGAAATTAGCATGTTTGCCCTAATCCATGCAGGAATCGATAATTCTTCTTTTAAAGGATAGCACATATACTGAAAATGGTTCAATCTTTATTTATAAGATGATAGCTAGAAATCAAAAAGTAAACCCTACAAAGCGATAAATCTAATCGTAAATGTAAGGCGGCGTGGGTCCAAAAACTGACAGTTTTTCAACAGAAATGAAGATTAGAGATGTCTAGAAGATATCATTAACATGCGCTGCATCAACAAGTGCCTGAGGAATAGACCGAAGCGAAGGTGGGAGGATTGCATTTAGGTTGATCTGGCGGTGTTGGGTTTGGATAGTGGTCAATGGAAGGATGTTGACACCGATTGGCCTTATCTGTATCGAATCTTCGGGTTCGCTAAGCCTTTTTTATAATTATTATTATAAGGTATCTCATTTCATTTGAACTAGACTTAAATAGAAATATGATATAAAGTGACATAAAGGACGTCAATAACACTACAATAAATCAGGTCGATCTAAATCTAACGACCTAATTTTGATATTATCTATCTTCCATTGAAATGATCATTAATTCATAGAAAATTCTTTATTGGCTTATGACTGGAAAATCAATCGTACTAATATCAGATTAAAATATCGAAAGGAATAATTTCACAATAAGTCGTAAATGTCCAAACCAATTTCAAGCGTTTCAAACTATCTTAAAATGTCCACAAATAAGCTTGAACCTTGTGATATAACTTCTTGAAAGAATAACTTCTTATGAAAAGTTCTTTTATATTTAGAAAAATATTATTTAAAAGTAAACTTATGTATGATAAATGAACCCGTTGGTACGCTAAATTTTCTTCTACAAGGAAATGTTTTTTAATTGTAGGTTGTCACAGACCTGCCTGATCCCATTCCAATCTGAAATGATTACATTTATAGACGAGAAATTAAAAAGGCAATTTGAGCACAGTGCTGACAATAAAGTGTTCTACGAACACCATATGGTGCAATTAATGCAAGTACCTTTAAGATACTTTAGGAGATGTTTCATCGCTAATAATTATTATTTAATGATTATCATTAAAAGTTCGTAGCATTAACATTCAATTTATTTCCTTCGAGTATAAAAATAACCTATATACTGCCTCTTTTAGAGCTTGGTTACGCAAATGTTCTAAAATATTAGTTAATTAATAATAGTAAACGAAGCATAATGGGAGCAATAGCCGATCCGGGAGGACAAAATTCATTAAGCATAATTTTCGATTGGAAATCACGTATTCGTCATAAATAAAACTTTTACAGTGGTAATTAAGTCAACAAAACTTAAGTTAGTGGCTAAAATTTATAATTCCTAAGAATTTATAAAAAATATTAATAAAAAGAAAAACAGAACGCAAGTATTCAAACTTATTTAATAAATTTTCCTCAACCTCATAATCATTAGACAGTTAACTCTCTGGCTGAAGTCCCTCAACCTAACTGTAATTTAAATTTTCCTTTTATTTCCTTCGTATTTTCTTTCCTTGTCAACACAGTCTGAAAATATTTGCACTCTTCAAAAATCCATAACCCCATAAAAACGTGCTCCCTCAAAAATTTGTGGATGCCATGCAGGCCCCTTCTGAGCACCCCTCCTATATTACATCCTTTACTTTCTGCTCATTAGTTTCTCGAAGCAAACAAATAATATTATTCGACCTCCCTCGAAACCTAGAGAACACTGTTAGTTGTTACCAATCGTCATCAGATCTAGAAAATATGCTTCAGCTATGATTCATTTCTTCTAAAAAAATATATATATTTTCAAAGCATTTTTCCGAATCTCATTTATTTTTTATGTAAATAGGGCTACATTATCTTTCAAACTTGTATAGATTTTATTATGTAATTCATAACGTTTTCATAAGATTAAATAAATTTGATTCTAAAACTTTCATAAACGTTTTTATTAAAAACGAATATAAAAATTGCTACAAAACGAAAAAAAAAAAGCGTTGGGATACCGGGAAGGATATTTCATAGACTATAAAAGTGTTATTTATGTATTTCAAGGAATTTATCGGAACTATTTTTTATTTTTATTTTTTTTATTTCTTTATTGAGTATTACAACAATCTGTCTCTTGGATATTGGTTATAGTGAGGTAGGATGACATTCACACTATATGTACAAAAAACTAAAATAAATAGAAACAAAATAATAATCAAAATTATATACAATAGATAATAAAATAAAATAACCTAAAAAATAAGGAAATTAAAACTAAGCAAAAAAAAAAAACATACGCATAACTACTATTTTTTAAATGTAATTGTAATCAACATCAAACTGGTTGAACCTAAATTAATCCAGTGAAAAAGAAATATAATTAAATGAATTATCAAAAGCAGTCTTAAGCAACAAAGCGCACTGGCATTTATTTAGACTCTAAATAATGTAATTCTGTAACTATATGTCAACTGGTGGTATTGAAGGACTGCTTGCTCAAACTGCCCTCTTCCTTTTAAGTGTGAGATATTAAATGAACCTTGTAATTTTTCTAGGTCACTTTTTAGATCTCCAACAATATATAAAAAGGATGATATATTACGTTTTTCATATTTTGATATTCCAATATTTTTCATTTCTCTAATTCAATAAACTAAATTCGTCATTGTCCTTAACTACTATCAATATTTAGTATCTATAGTTTGTAGTTATTACATATTTTTTTATTTGTATAAGATGACCTTCTCCCTCCACAAAAAATGAAAAACTAAATTTTTGGACAGTAAAAAAAAGGACAGCAATCCATCATCATTTTGTTTTCTTATGAAACTTCAAGCGGTTATCTTATCTTTTTTTTTCCTTTTTTAACAATGAATTCAGATCTTATTAAAAATTTTGTCAATAAGTAATTTGATATTAACATATTTAGATGTTTGCCATATTAAAAAAAAAAAAGGCTAACTCTCCTTTCAAAAACAGTCCCTTTCATGAGTAAATAATGAAATATTGTAATTTGATTACTTATTATAGATTACTTCAGAAAAGTATGCTGACAAGGTGGGTCAGTAAAATAAAAATATATTTTTAAGTTAAGAAAACACCTAAGTATGTCAATATTTATTCAAAAACTTTATTTGTATATGCCCAATAGTGATAAGTTAAGAGGGGCTGATAAACATAATCTGTCGTCGGCTTGGCTAAGGTTTATTTCCATTAGACGCAGCCACATGAGTGAATCTCAGTGACTGTACTCAAACATTTCCAAAATGATGGATTTGTTTACAATATTGTTAATTATCAGTCTTACTTCTGTCTCCAATTGTAGTCTAGCTTTGAAGTTGGAAGACAACGACAATGAACTGGTTTTTGCAAGCATTGTAAGTATGTAATATGTAGTGCTTATGAGTTTGTTTATCAATGTTAGCAGTGTTTTGTTTTTTTTATTATTCGTTATCGGGAAATATTCGGGAAGAGTGATTGATCCGAAAATCATATTTCTTATTTTATATTTAAAAACCCAAACCAACCGACTTGTTTGTTGTTACTAAAATAAATAAAAATAAACAATAATTTTAAACAAAATATTCTACACAAAACTCCTTAGGAATGAATGAACATTATAATACAATATATTGATATATTCTAGAGAGTTATAAATTAAAAAACAAAAACAGTTAATAATCCGGGAAATATATATATTTTTTTATAATAAAAACATTGAAGACCAATACCTGACACCGGACTAGAATAAACATATAAATTGATTATGAATTTATTATCCACAAGAAGGTTTCAAATACTCCTTAAGGCTAGACAACAACCCAAGTTACAAAGGTTGCAGGAAATTAAATATTTTTTTTGTATTTGTATTGTAAAGTTATCTGTGCAGAAAACCTTTGAGTAATGTAATATATACTCGTATATTTGTTTAAATAAAAAGATAAACAAACGATAAATTTCGGAAGAAATTTATTTTTCTATTGAAGCCGAAGAAGAACATTTATTTCAAACGTTTTTTAAAAGACCAAGTCAATACAAAATGTTTGCATATATTAGTCGAAGGTAACCTCAATAATCAAATTTTACATTGTTATTTATCTGTTCCTTATATTAATTTTGAAAGAACATATTTCGTTTACTATAACAGTATAAAAGATCTATGATACAATAAATAAAAACGATGAATACAAAATTGTGTTTTCCAAATATAAATCCTGTTAAAAGTTGTATTTTCTCAGGCTATTCACGATAATTTACATTTGTATTAGAAAGTAATGGATATTTGAATTATTAATTACAAAAAAAAAAAAAATCATCCAAAAAATAAAGCTTTTTTTTTTAAATTTATTTATTGAGTGATATAACATTCTGTTACATAGACAGTGGTTATAATGCGATAAGACTACCTTCAAACTAAATATACAGAAAATATAAAATAAACAGAAGCTAATTAACAACAACATAATAATCAAAAAGTATATACAATAAAAATAGAACGACTTTATGATAAGTAAATTTAAAAAAAAAAAACACAAACACGCCTACTTACATTAAAAGCATTAATCAGAAATATAATTCAAAAACATATTTACTGTGGATACCTACTTATGTCACAAGTTCTATAAATCCAAAACCTTACGCAAACAAAATATCTCAAATACAATTATAATACAGAAATGTGTCCCTTATTTCGTATGTAGATTTCCGATTCCGCGTTTTCGCATTTTTTATTATGGCGTAATTATTTTATGTTTGTTTTTGGGTAAGTTCCTTAACTCAGCGCTAATTCCATGTGATGGAGAGCGATTTATTTAGGAACAATATGCTAGTGAAAAAACACCGATGGAGGGTTAAAGAACACATAAAAATAAAAAATATATAGAAAATATATATATTTACAAAATAAACTGAATATAAATGTGTAAAGTAAATTGAGAATTAACAACGCTGAGGTTATAATGAAGTTGCGTACAGAGGATCCATCGAACTTTGAAAGCCGGTGATTAAATCGATGATTACACGAACGATTTCCATATCCATCGATGAGTTTAGGAACGGCCGGATGGATTTCCGATGCCTACCAATGATCTCAGCACTGAGTTTAGGAAATTGCCACTATAAATACTTATATTCGATCGGAATTAGAGGTAGCATTATTAAATTTGTGTCACTGATACAGTAATTAAAAAATATGAAGGAGTTAATAAAAGAGATTTGTACAAAACTTTTACATAAGAACTTAACTAAATTAAGAAATCTCGTATATCCTCTTCCCTAAATTGTTTATAAAATATTAATCCAAAATGTAACAATTTTTAGGTTTACAGGCATGGAGAACGGAACCCAGATAGTTTCTACACTAACGACCCATACCAAAATTTGTCGTATTGGCCGGATGGCTTAGGAGCATTGACAGATGTCAGTAACATTATGTCTCATCTTTTTTTTAATTTTAGTGTATATAGTTTTTTTTTGTGATAGAGTATTACATATTATTATATTACATTATTTTTAAATTATTTAATAATACAAGATTCCAACTAAGATAATATACAATATGCAATTGCCACCCCAAAGTTTTGAACAAAATATTTCAGAAATTTTTTTTTATTCTTCAGTAAATGTGCTTAATTACATGCAGAAAAATGAAATATATACATAACAGATGGTTTTGGTTTTAATACAAGCAGCACCGTAACGTCGGGGACAAAGAAATCGCGGGTTTGGCAAAAATTCGTGAATTGGATAACGTTAAATTACTAACAGCATAGATAAATTACCACTTTGAAAATTCAGAACATTGTACCCTTGTAACTATATTTGATATATAAAAGGGTTTGTGTCATTTTAGTATACTTACTGTATTTTTATCAAAAATATGGTCGAAATTCTCAAAAACGTGTTTAAAAGTACAGCTCCATCAAAAATGTACTTAGAAGGGGTGTCCAAAAGGAGGTTTCATGTCGCCAAGTTGTGCCATCAAAATTTTTGAGGGGGATACATTTCCTCAGGGTTATGATTTTTCGGAGTGAGAAGTTTCAATCCAGGGAGGAGCATGATGGACTTTACCGCCGCCAGTGTGTTTGTATATGATCAACGGTTTTTCTAATTCTAGTTTCGCTTGGACTGTTTTTAAAAAGAAGGGAGCAATAAAATGTCTTGGGAGGGAGGGGATAGTTCATGCAACATCGACCTTGGAGGGGATAGTTTATGCAACATCGACCTTGGAGGGGATGGGCACCACTGGTACTTAGTGACTTTTTGTAATAAAGCCTATAATATTAATAATAATGAACTATAATATTCTTAAAATAGAGCTATTTCTACTATTTTCTGATTAATTTTTGTTTTGGTTTTTGAATACCACAAATTGTCAAGTATAAATTATTATTCAAACAGTGATATACAAAGGTAGATCTGGGTTTGGTTCGCATAAGAAAATAGGATTTGGAAGGTTGTGAGGAAGTCGCCTGTTGAATTTTATCTATCCCGAAGAGGTGGCTCTGAATATTTAAGATTTAATTTTGGTCGGTTAGTTTTTTTTTATTATTTAATAAATAGAGAAAAAACAATATAAAATAATGTTTAACTGGTCCCTAAAGGTCTACCAAAAAAATAAATAAATAAAAAAACTCTTTACAGAAACAATACTGATTTTCGGGATTCTGTTTTAATTGTTTTTGTCACCTACTTGCATTCATTAGATAAAATACATGCATTATAATTTAAAGAGAGTGCAAATATTAATTGTTGAAGTATTATATAGTTCAGATTGCACACTGAACCAAATATTGATCTAGGAATCTTAAGGACTGAAAAATCTTTATTACAAGAGGCAAAGAATAGTACATCACACTTCAACTACCCATAAGTCCGGCAAACCAAATATAGACAATTGGGGTTTGGTGTAACCAGTGCTAAATCTCTTAAATGTGTAAAGTCGAGAAAATTATTTACGAAATCTGTGTTAAATATGGCCGCTAGATTTTAACGCAACCTAGGATCCTGAAAAGTGTTGCTAACTTCGTAAATACAGGGAGAAGGTTGTTGTAAGGTTTTGATGTGTTTGATTCATTGTTTTTTACATTCACTTAGCTATACATGAAATATATAATAAGGGGAAGTATTGAGATCGTGGATATTTTCGAATCTGTTTTTTCAATTGAAATACATGTTTTGAGGTCTCCTGAGTTCAAATAACCAAATCTCACAAAATAGTCTGTGTGTGTATGTATGTCAACAGCCTAGCTCAAAATCGAAAAGTCATGCGAAAGTAAAATTGCATATTTAAGTTTGGTATATACATCAGATGTTACAATTTTTTCGTAAAAATCGGCTAACCGGAATTGCCACTGCATATCAACGGTGAAACACATTTTTATAATTTTCATTGTATACAATATCATTGTATAATTAAGTGGTCATTAATATCATTTAGGTATTATCCCCATTGATGTCAATTTACAGAGCTTAATTGCCCAGTGTTCATATACGTCTTCCCCTAAAGTACCTTTAATATGGTTTATTTTAAATAATTAACTATCTCTCATTATTAAGAGTTACGAAAAAATGCTAAATAAAACTTTTGAAAGAATTTGGTGATTGAACAAAAGAGAAAACAATAAAAATGCTTATCCAGGTCGAAAATGAATCTCCGAATATACTAGCCAGAAGGTATACGTATAATATATTGTTGGAAAGTGAAGAATTTTAGAAAAACAATATCTAATCTAACAATATCTAAAAGTTGTAGAAGGTAACGGAGAGTGGCGAAAAAAATATAAATAATTATTTTTAAAAACTAACATTATTTAACGTAAATCACGTGTTTTCAATAAAATTAAATGAAATTTTCTTGCTAAATGTAAACTTTAAAAACTGTAAAACTTTAAATGTAAACAATTTTTTTTTTTAATTTTGAAAATATATTTAAAATCCATGGATTCAACGCAATGACATTGTTTAAGATAATATTTCATTGTACTTGTGTGAAAGAAGAAGTGAAATATAAAAATATTACATGGAGATGTTTATAACCTATCTATGACAGAGAATGCAAATGTCTTAATTCCATTATAGTAAACTTTGTAATGGAAAATAACAGTTTTCCAAGTAATAGTCGAACAATTCATAATCAACGGATCGTACAATCCAAAACTGTGATATAATAAATATGACTTTTGTTATTTTAATGGTATTTATGATTTGTTAGCTGTATGATTTTAGCTTTAGCTCGGTTAAAAATGCAATTCAAACATTTTTTAATAGCCCAACATGGCCAGAAAATAAGTTCTATTCAAAATTAAGCGGTAAGTGAAAGTTGTGTGTTGCGCGCACCAGATTTTTATACAATTAAGTACAATATCCACAGAAATGAAATGTTTCACAGCTGTTATTCCATCTATGTATTCATCAAGTTCTTTGCCTTCTGAAATTATAGAAAATAATTTCAAATAATTTTTAACCAAATAATCCATCAACTAACATCTTTTCACTTCGATTTGGAATTTTAAAAATGAATCAAAACGTTAGTAAATAAATTAAGAACTCAAAAACTTTGTTTACAGTACAGGCATAACCTTACTATAACTAATAACACATTAGCATGTTAGCACAGACAGGTTATTTACCATTCATTCAAAATTAGTGCCGACTGCTTAACATGATAAGCACATAACATAAAGCATTTGCAATAAGTGCATAAACACACCTAGAATATTACTTGCAGCCTTCGACAAATACTGTAGTCAGTACGTACCTAGACAATAACAGTAGGCGATCGGTCTCTATATGGGTATAATATATTTAATGGGTAGTTGAAGTGAGGCGTACCATCTCCATTCTGCATCAATATGATGTACAGAAGAATTGGCATATTGTATTGACTAAATTAAAATAAAATAGAATATATAGTTTTTAAATTTCAGAGAGGAAAGAAAGAACAATTAAAACTTGGGAAATGGCTGAGAAGGCGGTACGACCCCTTGATCGTGGACGGAAGATACTCGCACGATCTCCTGTACGTCCAGAGCACGGACGTCGACCGTACCATAATGAGCGCTCTTGTAAACCTAGCTGGCATGTTCTACCCATCTCAGCAGGAGAGGTGGAGCAGCATCAACTGGCAGCCCATACCGGTACACACCGTTCCGAAACACCTCGATAAGGTTGGTTGGTTGTGTAGCAAAGGCGTGAAACCTGATGGTCATCAACGCCGTTAATTAAAATTATATATTATTATATCTTTTGATTATGATTATTAAGAATTGGATAAAATTTAAAAAAAAATTAAAATGCACGTTAAGGTTAAAACTTGTTTATTGTAATTAAAGTTTAGTTATTTAAAGTTCGCACGTTACGTAAAAAAGAAAGAGGAAAAAGAAGAAAAAAAAGTGGTGATAGGAGACAAAAAAAAAATGGTAAAAGCAAAAAAGAGGTGGGGAGTGCTGCGTGAGAGGTTCAGAGATTTTTTAAGATTCCTTCTTCAGAGAGAAAACATATGATTTTGCCTAAGATTTTTTCATCATTTCCCAAAGCAGCCGGTTTATTTGCTGGTATTCCCCTTATGTTTAATTCTCTAATGTAAAAGGCACAACTCTCGAAGATATGGACCACTGTCATTCTCTCTCCACACTTCCGACAAATGGGCGAATTTTCTTTCGTAATTAAGTGAAGATGAGTAAGCCTGGTATGACCTATTCTTAGCTGCGTAAGGACAACTTCCTCTCTGCGGTATGTTTTTTTTTTTTTTTTTTTTTGTCCTTCCCTTCCTCGCCTTTAAGGCTATACGGGGTTTTCACGGGGCAGTGAGTGTGGGCGGGGATTTAAAAAACTCCCTCGGCACCGGGACGCGAACTCGTGACTATTTTTGTATCATTTGATTGATATATCAGGTTGCCGGGCAACGGCGGTGCAGTGCACACGCGTTAGCCCATTCGGCCACCCCGCCCACACGTTTCCTCTCTACGTTTATTGCTCCATGGCTTCACTTCTGTTTTTATCGCCTTTAATTTATTTAGAGTGCTGTTGTCCCATAGTGCCTCCCAATCATGATGTATGGCCTGTTTCAGGGGTCGCGCCAGTTCGGACGCAGTCAAGTTCTTTTGCTGATCTGTCAAGCATTTTATTACCAGCAATGCCTGCATGACCAGGGGACCATAAAAAATGTACTAATGTTCCAACGCTACTTAGCTGTTTTATGAGCCCCAAAATAGTACATATACCTATATGGTCTGGATACATGTTGTTCATGGCTTCAAGTGCACTCAATGAATCAGACACCACAACCACATTTGCAACTGGCGAATTTATCACATGTCGTAGAGCCATTGCGATGATATTAATCTCAGCGGTATATATGGAACACAGTGGATGTAGTTTACATTTATAGGTAGCATCAGGTGTGACGGAGGCGGGTGCTGTTGATGTGTCCGATTTAGAACCGTCGGTGAATATTAGTAAGTGTTCTTGCAGAGAGCTAATTGTTTTATGGAATAGTTCTTTATATTTTGCAGGTTATGTATTTTCTTTTTTAAATTTTGAAAGCAGTAGATTTAATTTAGGCTGTATAAAAGTCCGAGAAGGTATGTCATTTTGAATTATATTTAAGTTGATCTGTTTCAACTTACATATTGCAAACATCATCCTTTCTTCTAATGGCAGTGTTGTATTATTACCATTATTACCTTGATAAGGAAAAGTATCTTAATTACCAATTATTTACTTTTTTAAATAATATTAAATTTACAATTATTAAATCTAAGTTAATCTATGGATGTTTTAGGAGCTTCTTATAATGCTGACTAAATGTCCGAAAATCAAAGAGGAGGAAGAACTTATAAAAGAGAATCCGATTGTGAAGCAGTACAATGAAGAAAACAGCCGTATGTTCATTGAACTGGCGAAACACACGGGCGAAACTACTCCTCTAAATCCATCAAAAACGCGCACAATATACACCAATCTCAACATAGAAGTAAGGATAAGTTAAATTAAATAATAAAATTCAATAAATAATCATTTATTTACAAAGAACAAAAGCGAAAACGAACTGAAATGGCAAACATAAATACAATAATTGAAGGAAGTTAGTCGACTGTCCTACATTTCATGGGTGATAAATATTCAGGACGCAGACAATATAAAGTTTTTATTAGTGCCGACGTTTCAACCCAAACATGTGGGTCATCATCAGGGCGTGTTTCGAGCACTCTAGTGCTAGGCACTAATAAAAACTTTATAATGACTGCATTCTGAATATTTATCACTCAGTAATAAATAAAGCATAGCTGAACTTAACAATGTTGTCTCTTAATTTATTTATTGTTTTCATGCAATAGCATAATGCTTAACATGAATAATATGAATTGGTTAAAGGTTACTTTAATCAGGATCATTGTAAATCTAGAACAAGGTAATAGATTTTGGTTACTTTTATAACCAATAAAGAAAATAATTATCTTTATTCGTAAACTCGATTCTATCTTTATATTTCGTTCTCTGAAGAATCTGACGAAAGAAGAAAACGAAAATAAAAATAGCTATAGGTACATGTCATAGCTGTGTGTGAATTTATTTTTATTATAATACCTCCCAGGTAATGAAAAAAAAAATTAAAGCTTTACGACAATTAATTGTTGTCATTTTTGCTGAAAATACTAGTCTGTTAGGTAATCACCTAATCACTGAAGCATTTCTAAAAGTGTATATGTAGTATAGTTAGAGGAAGACGAAAAAAAAAAAAATCACATATAATTTATATATTTTTTTAAACAGAGTTTAGTTTAGTTAATAAATAACATTAAAATAAAATAAAATCTGTTTTTAAAAAAAAATCATATATTATTCAAGATATTTTTTTTTATCACTATCCTCCAGCTATACTACATATATACTTTTAGAAATACTTTCTTCTGCAATAAGCTTTAAGTCCATATTAGTTAAGTTGAGTGTGTATTATGATATAAATTAAGATTCATCGCAAATTTTGTAAAAAAAGAGGTGATTAAGTACCTAAAACAACTAATGTTTTCAGCAAAAATGAAAACAATTAATTGTTATAAAGCTTCATTTTTTTTTACATTACCTGAGAGGTGTTACAACAAACATAAATTCATATACACACATACACTCAGCAATAACATGTATCTATAGCTATTTTTATTTTTGTTACAGTTACTACATTATAAAAATAAACAAAACCAGCGAATCGCCAATGTACAATTACTGTTTTTTTTCTTCTTTTCTTTTTTAGTCCCAGACACTAATTAACTTCAGCATTCCCTGTTGGGCGAAATGCTATTATCCCGAACCAATGAGCCGAGTTTCTGTTTTCAGTTTAAAAATGTTGACAATGACGAAAACACTGAAGAGACTCAGAGGAGGTAAGTTTCTTAGGGTTAGATAATAAAAAAAAAATCTGGTGTGCGCAACACACAACTTTCACTTAGCCCTCTGTTTTGAATTGAAATTATTTTCAGGCAGTGTGGGACTATTATAAAATTTTTTCAAGTGTATTTTAAGCGGTGCAAAAGCTTAAAGCTTACAGCTAACAAATTATTGAGACAACTAAAATAACAAAAACCCTATCTGTTATATCGATATTCGGCAATAATAACCTCGTTATTCCACTTGTTTTTGTAAACAACATAACTCCAGTCTCTGAGATCCATGTGCCCTACAGTTTAAAGAATGACTGACTACAATTTTAACATTTTTGAGTAATGACATTTTAGAGATATTTTTAGTTGAAAAATTTATAATATCCATATAGACAGTAAGTTGATTCCAGAGTAGATGATTGGAGTGTTGAAATATAGATCTGTGAATAACGATATACATTTTTACACTAGAAATATCAGTAAAATTAATAATACAAAATGTTGAGATTGGAGTTAGTCATCCTGTCAACAGAAAGGCTCAGATACACCTAGAAAAGTTTGAAAGTAAATTTGTATACTTAACATGTAAATGATTATGGATTGTACGACTATTAGTTATTAAACTTATTTTTAAAATTACTAAAATAAAATTACGAGAATTTCATTGCCTGTCATAGATAGTTCAAAAGTTTTCACACTACAATTAGTTACAATTAACTGGATAATGATGGGATTTCAGAAAGGAGAAGTTCATGAAATTATTCACTAATATAACTTTCGAAAAGGTTACATGATTTTCTGGAATAGAATCGGAATGGGGGCGATAGATATTTATTTAATTATTTAAATATAATATCAGATTGGAGTAAAAATAAAATTACGAGAATTTCATTGCCTGTCATAGATAGTTCAAAAGTTTTCACACTACAATTAGTTACAATTAACTGGATAATGATGGGATTTCAGAAAGGAGAAGTTCATGAAATTATTCACTAATATAATTTGAGTGGGTTCGCTTATGACCTGGATGTTTTGCGCCTAGACATCGAAACAAACAGATTGGAGTTATTAAACTACAGTAAATGTATTTAAGGTTATAAACATATACTTTATACATTCATGAAATATTTTTATATTTCACTTCTTTCACACGAGGACAAAGAAATAGTATTTTAAACAACGGTATTGCCTTGATTCGGTGAATTTTAAATACTTTTTTCAAACACAAAAAAAATTTTTAAAGTTTACTTTTAGTAAGAAAATTTCAATTAATTTTCTTGAAAACATGTGATTTCCGTTCAATAATGTTAGTTTTCAGAAATTATTATTTGTCTACTATCCGTTTTCCAAAGATATATTATTTCCGGTGATTCATTTTCGAGCTAGAAAGCAATTTTCTTCTTTATTCAATTATCTAATTCTTTCAAAAGTTATATTTAGCCTTCTTTCATAATTTCTAACAATGAGAGACAGTTCATTTTTTTTAAAATAAACCAAATTAAAGTTATTTTAGAGGAAGACATATTGCATATTGAGTATTTAAATCCTATGAGGCGACATCAATGTGGATAAGACCTAGCTGATATTAAAGACCTCTTAATAATACACTAAGTTTAATCAAAATCGGTAGCAATGTTTTCAAGAAAATTATAAAAATGAGTAAAACTGATTGTTTTAAGTGCAACTTTTGGTTAGCCGATTTTGGCAAAAACGTTACTGTAACATCTGAGGTATATACAAAACTTAGATATGCAATTCTACTTTCGCTCGACTTGTCGATTTTGAGCTAGACTGTTGACATACATACACGCACAGACTGTTTTGCGAGACTTGGTTATTTCAACTTAGGAGACCTCAAAACATTTATTTCCGTTGAAAATCAGATTCAAAAATATCCATGATCGCAATACTGTCCTTTAATATATATTTCATATATAGCTAAATGAAAGTGAAAATATATACTTATAATTGTTTAGAAAATAAGAAATTACTATATTTCCATTTACAGGGCCATTATTGAAGGAGATTATAACACACATGAAAGAAAAAAAAGACGGGAGTTTGAAGCAGAAACTCTGGATGTATTCGGCTCACGATGTAACTTTAACCTGTTTGCTGGATGCGATGGGAGTCTTCGAACCCCATATCCCACCTCTGTCAGCAACCGTTATGGTCGAACTGAGAAAGAACAAAAATAAGGACTATTTTGTTTCGGTAAATTAAAAATTAAGAATACATTTATAATTAAATGAAATAAAAATGATAATTAATTATTCCATTATTGATAACTGCAGGTACACTACAAGAACTCCACTGAGGAACCATTCGTGCTCGAGATTCCGGGATGTATACCATCTTGCCCGTTGCACAAGTTCGAGTCCCTGCTGTCGGATGTGATCCCAGAAGACTGGGAAAAGGAGTGTCACAGCAATGAGCCTGCTGATGTCACTTTCGAAGATTACTGGTGGTATGAATATCCTTCATAATCATAATTGGATAAATGAAAAATGAGGTTAAATTGGGTGATGCAAGAGAAAATAAAGAAGGCCGTAGCCAGAATAGAGGAACTAACTGAAGGCTACTTTTAGGTTAACGTTGCGTATTTAGCAGAATAGGAGTATCAAAATTAATTTCTCGGGGCCACCGAGAAATAAATATTAACCAACGCAATTAGGAATCGAACCCATAACGTTGGAACCGGATACTCGAATATCCACGCTCAACGTCCTAGGCCATCGTGTCCTATAAAATACTGATAATCAACCTTCTGCTGTTATTTTCAGAAATTAGTTTTATATATATATATATATAGGAGTTAATGAGTCATAAAACAGTTGTAACTACGTTTTAGCAAATTCTGGACGCCTTTTTTTAGAGACTAAAATATTTTAACGGGAAAGAAACAATTTCATTTATCATCTAAAGTTTTGTGAATACGCACTCGCACGCTGCCTAGCGGTAAGTTGCAGAAACTCAGATATCCTTCTCAGATTTTGCAGCTAGATGCACGGAAGGAAAAACGTCAGTGACAGTTTCCTGTAAGAAATTCCGTTATGCCAACGAAAATAGTGAGAGAATTCGTTTTTACATTACATACGTCTTCCTCGTGCCTTAAATACAGTCCACTAAAATATTAATTCGTACGTTGCCTCATGTTCAACTCAATAAAGTTTCTTTTTTTTTCTCAAAAATTATTTTACTGCCTAAACATCTAATATTACTTTACTCTTTTTCTCTTAAAGGCCTACTACATAGATCTCTAGCGGATACATGGTAGGAGAATGGGGTACCTGGACGGTGAGAAAAAATGTTATTTTTTAAAAGTAACTCAACAATCGGCACTTTTATTACTTACTATTATTTTTATTAAAAATTAGATTGTATAAAAAAAAGTTTACTTTATACTAAAAAACAACAAGTAATTTGAAAAGTTAATATTTACATCAAAAATTCTTTTTTATTGGCGATATATTTGAATATTATAGCTCAAGGTACTTTGATCCCTTGGAAACCATTTTAATTCGATTTGTGGAAAAAAAGTAGGAACAAATGTTGTGTTGTAGGTTCACTGACATCAATTCTGACCGCCATTTTGAGGATGCTACAACTAGACTAAACAAAAACACATCTCTTTTCATATGTATATATATATATATATATATATATATATATATATATATAGAGAGAGAGAGAGAGAGAGAGAGAGAAAGAGAGAGAGATATGTATGTGTGTGTGTGTGCGTGTGTGTGTATGTATTTATATAAATGCCTTTGGTATATGGAATTCACCTCCTTCCCTCTCTTTCCTCTCTTTCCCCTCCCTCCCTCCACTAACCACCTCCCCCGCCGATCAGAACATTCCTGGATCCACCACTGACATAAAAAATTATATAATACAACTATTATAACTGATTGCACACATAAAGATCATAAGATAGTGAAGTTTGGGCACCTTCGTTCTATTTTATTATTTTATTTTTTCTCATTTCTATTTTACCTAGTTCATTATGAATTATTTACTTCACCCAAAATTGATTTATGTATTCCATAGAATTGAAAAATATATTGCCATAAGTTAGAGAAAAAAATTGCACTTGCAGGTTAATGGAAGAACATTACTACAGTAATATTTCTACTGCAGCATTAGAATGCGGAGCTCGCTCACGTGGTTCAAGAAAATAAATGTTAGGAGATTTTGATGTCTTATGCTTTATACCTGTAAGATATTTCTAACCTAGTAAACAATTTTATTTATTTATTTTTTGGTGCATTAAATATCAATTTTATATCACAGTAATTATACACTGACAGGCAAAAAATTCCACCCACTTGTAAAAAAAGTTGTATTTGTATATAATACTAAGTATTTATGGAATTTTATAATCTTTTTTACCTTTAATAATCAAAATGTGATTGGGTAAGAAAGATTAAAGAAAAAAAAAATAGAAAAACGAACCATTATTATTCTAAAAGAAATTAATTACATCATCGTTTAGTAGCGCGTGTTTCCTCCTCTTGCCTTCACTACTTCTTGAAGACGCCTCGGCATACTTTCTACCAATCGGAAAATGTCTCTTTGCTGGAGGATAGCCCATTCCTCCCGAAGAGCCCTTTCAAGGTCCTGCAGTGTATCAGGAAGTGTTGCACGCGCTCTTATTCGTCTTCCGAGGTTATCCCATAAATGCTCAATAGGGTTCAAATCTGGAGAACGTGCTGGACAGGCTAAAACCTCAATATTGTTCTGTTGAAGGAACGTCTGCTTTATGCGGGCGACATGTGGGCGTGCATTATCGTGCATTAGAATAGAACGATCGCCGATTTCGTTGAGGATAGGCAACACATGAGGTTCCAAAATCTCATCTGCATAGCAAATGGCCGTCAAAGACCCACTACGAACAACAACCAATTCTGTGCGGCGCTCCATTGAAATCCCAGCCCACACCATTAAGGAACCACGTTGGAAAGGTTGGCTCTGGGAAAAATTACAGGCTACATATCTTTCGTTTCTTCTTCTCCACACCCTTTCATGTCCATCTGGAGATCGACGAGCGAATCTTGACTCATCTGTAAAAAGTACAGCACTCCATTCTTCCATAGTCCAATGGCTGTGTTCTCGAGCAAAAGCCAGCCGTGTTACTCTGTGAGTTCTGGTCAAGTATGGTCCTCTTACTGGACGAAAAGCCATTAATCCACACTCATTTAATCTCCGAGCGGTACGTTCAGAAATTTGCACACCTTTAACTTCTTCGAGCTGATGAATCGCTTGAACAACGGTAAGGTGCTGGTTTCGTAAAATTCTCAAAGTCAAAAACCGGTCATCCCGTGGATCTGTTACCCTAGGCCGTCCAGAACCGGGCCTTTTATTGTAAGAACCAGTTAGCCGAAAACGCCTGACGGCGTCTCGTAAAGTTTCATATGGAACTCCGATGGCATTAGCTGCATATCTAATGGAACGTCCATCATCAATAAGTGCCACACCACGCGCAACATCCTCAGCACTAAGAGGCATTTTTAAACTTAATGTTGAAAAAATTAAAAGCCGGAGACTAAGAAATGTACTGCAAGAAACGGCACTGAACTAATGATACTGAATAAACATTTTGATTCCATAGAAAGTAAACATTGGAATATTGAATCATTTCATTGAATTAAGGATTAAGGGCTATTGTCCTCTATATTAACATTCCTAATTGAAAACAAACAAAAAGATTGCCTATTTATTCATTAAAAACGATAGACCAATCCAAAGCAGAAATATTTTTAGATGAAAACATGAAAAAATCAAGTGGGTGGAATTTTTTGCCTGTGAGTGTATAACATAAACTAGTTGGCCCGTGCGAATAATTCGTACAGTATATTGGTCAGTGATAAAATGACAAATTAATAGGAAAAGAAAATTTAATGAGCTTTAAAACCAAGGGTCCGGTAGTTCCGAATGAATTAACCGAGTCTTAGTGGCCGCATCAAAATCTTAAAATCCCAATATGTCACGTATCGATCCACTGACTTACAGCCGTTCCATTCTAGCGAAATGTTTATATCGACTTTATTTAAATTATAAATAAAAACAACAGCGGAGAGTACGATTCCCTAACCCCCCCCCGTTAAATTCTGTATCCAACAGTAACCCATTCATTACATTTTAGCATGACAGGAGCTTATATTTACAAACTTATTTCTAATTATTGCTGTAATAATATATATGGGGATAATCAATAACCTCAACTAATGAGAAAAATTAATGTTCACAACTAATTATTATTTTTATAAAACAATAAACTTTCAAACCAATTTCCTGAAATGTTGGGCTTTTGAATTTACCTACTTATATACTAGATTTAACATATATAAGCCTATATTTTTGGGGGGGGAGGGGTCCTCCCCTTCCTCGCCGTTAAGGCTATCCGTGGTTTTATCGAGCCAGGAGGTGTGGGCGGGGATTTAAAAGACGCGTTTGCACCGGGACGCGAACTCGTGACTAATTTTATATCATTTCATATATCAGATTGCCGGGCAACGGTGGTGCTGTGCACAACGCGTTAGCCCATTCGGCCACTCCGCCCAACCATATAAGCATATATTAAAGTAATAATAGAAATTTAAATGTTGAACAGGGATAACCGTCTCCCCAAAATCAATTGCGCAAAAACCTACCATCTCCCCCTCCCAAGATATTTTATTGCACACCTTTTTATACAAACAGAGCAAGGGAAAGTAGAATTAGAAAAATCGTAGATCACACACAATTATACTTGCTGCGGCCTGTTCCACGTTTTCTTCTTGCTCTTTATTCTGAAACTTTTCATTCTCAAAAATTCATAACCCCGTTGAAATTTGCCCTTCTCAAAAATCCAAAAACCCTTAAAAATATGCCACCCTTAAAAAGTTTTATGGCGCAACTTGTGCCATAAAACTCCCTTCTCGGCACTCCTAATGTTGAAAAAAGTTATTATTATGAAATTGATAAAATAAAAGCTTCTTTTTTTTTAATGTAAAATAGTTACAAAAAAGATATATGACTCTATAACTTTTTTTCAGACTATTGGAAGGAAGTTACTCATCTATGCTACGCTCAGGTCTTATCATTACTCTATTTTTCGTTTTCTATGTTGTATTATGTAAGTGTATATATAAACGTTTAAGCGCTTAAGTGGATATATTTGTATATTGAAAAAAAGAAAGAAAAATAATTATAAAAATTTAGTTCTAGTCCTTTAAAAATATCAATGTGATAAATGCTATAACAGATTGAGAACTTGGTCAAATAAATTGCATGCATTGAACCATTTCTCTTATACTTTATTACTAACATTAAACGTAAATAAAAAAAAAATATTTAAAAACATTCTTAAAATTCTAACCTGATTACTAACTAACAAATTGTAATTAGCAAATATATTGGAAACTAACACTGTGATTTGTAAATCTCACGCCAAATTTATTTAATAATTATATTACTAACCAATTGTAGTTATTCAAGAAATTTATAAAAAAATAAAATAAAAAAATAAAATAAAAATAAAAAAAAATAAAAAATTGAAAAAACAGAGATGATCAATCTAAAAAAAAAAAAATACTTGTAATCTATTTGAATTACTAGATAAGTCTGGTATTAAAAGATCGCGATCTATTAATTAAAGCAGAAACAGCATTGTAATCACAATAATCTAGCACGGTCCATAAAAAGTATTAACTTTGATTTACTAAGTATGTATAAAATTATTATATTATTATTATTATTAAGTTATATTTATCTCCCTATATATTACAATTAATAAATATGCTATTATGTAAAAAATAAAAATTGTGAATATATTATGTAAATTGCATGCGTTATAAAATTTTGTATTGTTTCTAAAAAATAAATAAGTGCACTTATTATCGCTTTTGTTCTTAAATGAATGGTTCCTTTTGACTTGGATGCACCTTTTGGAAGAATTGATATGATGACAGAAACATTGATATGATTTATACTATTTATTGCTATCTTGTTTTAGAAATGCACTATACAATATAATAAAGTAAAATTTAACTTAGGCTGATTAATAAAGAAAGAAAATTATAAAACGGAATCAAACAAAGAGCAGGTTAGAAATCTAGAATTTTAATTAATTGATGGTGTATTCAATTAAAAATAAATAAAAAAATATATTCATGAACGCTTAAGGCCAATTATGCATATAGGAAAAAACTCAAATCAACATGTATTTCTTTAGAAAATTGCTTTAGGTAACAACTCTCATTAAGGTGAACTACGTCCAGTGCTCTTACCGACTAACGGATCCAGGATTTAATTTTTTTTTTTATAAATATAACGATAATTACATTGGAAGAAAAAGAAACACACTAACTAGTTATATAAAATGGTATTTAATTGATTCTTGAGGTCCAATTAAATGTAATCAGACGAACAATGATACTTTTTTAATTTTTTTATTCATAGAACATCATTATTATTTTAACATTTTGGAAGGGGGAGGGATTAAGCGCGAAAGTCCCCCTGTGCTCTTATCTACTAATGATTAAAGTCAAATCTAGTAGCTTGTATATATTAAATTAACATTACTGTAATTAAACTAATTTAATGCCTATTAAATAGCGGCAATAGAATACGAAATAGCATAGAATCCTAATTAAACAAATGCTCAGGTAACTATAAAGACACGCTCGATAATAATTGGTATATTTCTCCTAACTCCATGGATATGCCAAGTTCAATAAAACCATTATTATCCGACTATAATTTAAAAAAAATCAGACAGTTTTATAAATACGCGTATCTTGTTTAATATGGGCCAATTATCACAGCAATCAATCAAATTTTGCTAACTTAAATTTTTCATCAAATGTTGTGAAAATGTAATAGTGGAAGTAGCATTTCAATTTTATAATAATTTTTATTTTTTTAATGATAAGTAATCAAAATCAATATAAAACAAGGAACAGGAAGAAAGATTCTTATACTGCATATCTATATTTTTTGGACGAATAATAGTAATCATAAAGTTAAGAATCCTTCATCTGGTCTATCCTGCTCCATTATTGTTGAATCTTAGTATTTTTCTACAACTAAAATAAAATCGTCGCTGGATTTTCATGGTCGATTTTTCTCCAATTTCGTACCGGTCACATGGCATTTCAAGATGATCCTTGGGACAGGGTTTCATATTAATATAACAGTATATTATTAATGTCATAATAATATAACAGGATATTATCCTTCACAATTTCGTTCAAAACACGGGCGGATCCACAGGGGGAGGGGGCTTTCGGCTCTGAAGTCTCCTGAAGCCCTCCCCCCTCCTCCAAATGGTCAAAAATAACCATGTTTTATGGAGAAAAAAAAATCTCTTAAAAGTATTGTTGTTCGTGTAATTACATTTAAAAGGACTTTAGGAATCACTTAAACACCATTCCATATAGGTAGTTAGTTTCTTTCTTTTTTTCCAAAGTAATTATCGTTATTTTTATGAAAAAAAAGGGCTGAAGCCCCCTCCCCCAAAAATACATCCTGGATCCACTAGTGGTTCGAAATTGGTAGTCGATTAGAAGTTTGATACCCTCATATTTCGGCCATTTATGAAGATAATTATAAATTGGTTCAGAATCATTATGACAAATACTTTAAAAAAGAAAAAAAGCCTATATAAAATTTGTAATCCCTTCAAGAGAGTAAAATCTTTTTTAGTTTCTGCTGCTGGGTGCAACCCGGAAGAAGTTTTCCAGGGAGGAAATGCGGTAAAATAAATACTAAATTTTTAAAAAATAGTATATTTAATTGTTTCGCCGACGTTTCGAACCACCCTCAGGTCTTCAACAGGGCTACAAAAGATATAAAATATAAAATGTACATTGTAAAAATAAAATAAATGAATTATAAGTAGATATTAAATAAGAAACAGTTCTCTGGTAAAGAAATAATATGATGACATCGGAGATAAAGTGGGTGACAGTGTAGTTAACATATCAAGTATTATATGTACATAGAAGATACAAAAAAAAAAAAAGAAAATAAGTATGAATAAAAATAGAAAACAAAGGAGAACATAGCATTAAAGTTAAAAGTAAACAAATTGTGATAAAAGAGAAGAAATGAGTGTATAACAAACTGGTAAAGATTACATTGAATAAGATTAAAAGATAAAGAAAATGAGTGTTGACGAATATTTCAATTTATTTATTCATCAACACTCATTTTCTCTATCTGTTAACCTACAGTTATTCAATGTAATCTTTACTAGTTTGTTATACACTCATTTCTTATCTTTTATCACAATCTGTTTACTTTTAACTTAAATGCTATGTTCTCCTTTGTTTTCTATTTTTATTCATACTTATTTTCTATTTTTGTTTGTATCTCCTATATATATATATATATATATATATATATGTGTGTGTGTTAACACTGTCACCCACTATATCTCTGATGTCATCTTATTATTTTTTCATCACACAACTGTTTCTTATTTAATATTTACTTATAATTCATTTATTTTATTTTCACCATGTACATTTTATATTTTGTATCTTTAGTAGCCCTGCCTGCGGTGGGTCGAAACGTCGGTGAAATAATTAAAAATACTATTTTTTAAAAATTTAGTATTTATTTGACCGCACCCCCGACCAACTCCTCATACAATTAATGTAGTTGTACCATGGGCCACTCTATATCGTACCTTGGGCAACTACTAATACCCAGGGCTACGAATTGTATCTTGGGCAACATATGTTGTTATAGGAATCATAATTATTATTCAATAATAAGTACCACTTACCTCAACTGGTAACCTAACTTTCTCATGTCATCTTTTGAAAGCCCACAATATATCACGCTTGCAGTCAGTAAATAATCATTTATAAACTTCTTCAGTAAAAACGATGGATCAAGGATTTATTCTCACAAGAGTCATATTTTGAAATTATATTAATGTACTTTTGGCCGGCCCAAGGTACTTTACATAGTACAATGGTATAATTTTATTTTGTAGCTAAGTCCTAAAGTATTTTGCTTAGAACCTGCCTTCCAAAGGAGTTAAAGATATTATTATACATCAATCGACAAATCATTTTGAGCATGTTAATATGCTCTTTTGAATAAAAATTATTATATCAAGTGAAGAAAAATTACTTTTACAATTCTAAAACGCTCTTATCAGCATTTTAAAAAACGGAGCGGATCAGAGACACCAAAATCAGCTAGAAAGTGTTCTGGCAGCCTACTCAATTTTCAAAATCCTAAATTTCTCCTGCTGGAATTACTTATTCTTAGGGTGGCCCAAGGCATTTTCCCTATAATCAAAATGAACAAATTATTCAATTTATAGCCTCTGAGTTGAAAATTTTCGGGAGAGAGGGAGGAGCCTACAGATTTTTTTTCTGGTTTCATAAAATTAATCAAAAGATCCTAGGGTTTCAACAGTATTCGATATCACTTCTAATATTCTAATACCTGTATACGATGTGAGGTGTTGAGGTTAGTTTGGATTTAAACCCTGATTATCACGACTTGCGAGGTCAATATGAGTATTAATATTAATCTATTACGATTTTATATTATATAAAATATAAAAGAATATTAATTTAAGAACGCTAAAGCTACTGAAAATTGTTTCTATCTTCTTTCAACTCAGGTTGGGTCAAAGTTAAAAAAATATAAATAAAAGAAGTACAGATGTCAGCTGGACCTCTCAGCTTTTACTTGAGCTAGAACAAATTTACAAGACTTCTCACGTTTGAACAGCATTTCAAATTTATTTAAAATAACGATATATATATATTTAAAAGAGCTTTTTTCATAAGAAGAGTTGATTGAAACAACGTAAAATGAAAAAAAGCAATAAATCAGTTCGTCAATGACAAACACCATTTAGAGATAAGTATATAAAAGGCATTGCACCGTATCTAGCGTAATCAGTCTTAATCTAGGCCTAGGAGGCCAACAGCAGTTGTACATCACTGAGTAATAGCACAAATCAAAATTTTGTATCTAGATTCACTTTCTAAAATTATCCTATTATTATTGATTTATTTTTTTTTTTAATGAAAATTCCAAGTTTTATGGCATTGATTTTTTTGCTATTCCTAATCTGCAATATAGGTCATGCTTTAAGTCTTTACAGGGATTCCTCGGGCAACGATACTCGACTTTCATTCACAAGCATTGTAAGTGTTATTTTATTTTAATGCCAATTATTTATTTACTAATAAGTATTTATTTCTGTATTTTATATATGGGACTAGCTAATTTTAGAATATTTGGAATAGCGGATGCTAAGGGGGCGGGGACTTACGGGCTGAAGCTCCCCATCTCAAAAAATACTTTTTTCTTTGATCAATCTTTCTAAGAGTGATCACAGAAAAAGAGTTAAACTATTAAGATATATTATATTTTTAAATTATAACGTATGTACTTCAGGTACTAAATTTAAGCAAGTGTCAATAATGTTTTATAAACAAAATATCCCTTAAAGTATATTGAGCTGTTATTAAATAACAAAATAAACCCTGAATCAGCTAGTGATTCATAGTGACCCAGAACAAAATAAATGAAAGAAATGGCTTATGTCAATGAACTATCACAAATAGTTCTAGCCTTTCGTATATTTCAATATAATATTGAATAAAATGCAATATCATTATTAAAACTATTTGAATATAATCTCTACTACAATTAGTGTTGCCCAAATGCGAGACCGGGACGAGTCTTGGTCTTGCAAACTGAGTCTTGTTCATGGTCTTGGTCTTGCGCAAGAGTCTCGCAAAGGTCTTGCAGTTACTTCTTAGCTTATTACTAAAGAGATATAACTATAATTTTGAAGATAAAAGAAACCTAACTAAGCCAGAATGAAAAATTAAAGAAGTTAAATGCAAAAGTATATTGGCTATAGCATGTATTAACATATAGTAACTAAGATTGTCAAGTATTAGTAACTATTTTGTCTTAATTTTTATTTAAAAAATCGATTTTTTTAACAGGTCTAGTCTTGGTCTTGCAACAGTTAAGTAGGCTTGGTCTTGGTCTTGCAAAGTGCAAGACCAAGACCGATTTTGGGCAACACTAACTACAATCAAAGCTATGTGCATTATATACGTGTTTAAAAATAATGTTCAATTAAACATTTTGGAAATTTATTTTTAATATTCATATCTAAGAAGTATATAGAAAATTAGAAACCAATCAAGATCCACTTTTATTCAATAACCCGAGAGTGCTTTTAATTGGAAAATCAAATGTACCAAAAATTAATAAAAAAATGCTTATTATTTACAAAATCTCGTCACAATAGAAAATTTCTTTGCTTATAAAAGAATCCGAAATTCACGAGACTTCATTCATTCTCACAGATTGTTCCAAAAACAGCGTATTGAGTTGTCTTTTTATATACAATGCACCTAATTTTGCACATTCGCATAGTTTCCGGTTAGCAATTTTTTAAATTGTTTTATATAATTTTTCTATAACATATCAAAGTTTGCTAAGTGTTAATTCGTTCTTATTGAATAAACATAAGATAAATTATTTAAATCAACTATCCTTTTCTGGATCAGAAAAGCAGTTACTAGTCTTACATAATAATATTTAGCACATAAGAATGATAATGCAGGTTATCCATACATTCTAGTTCGATTAATGTTTGATTTTAAAGTTATTTTAAAATTTTAAACTGATCTTAAAATTAGAGTAATAAGTCAACTCGTCTTATAATGCTCAACCACGGGCGGATCTACGGGGGAGGGGGGAGGGGCTTTCGGGCTGAAGCTCCCCCCCAAAATGGAAAAATATAACCATGTTTTATGGGAAAAAAAAATTTAAAAATACCTCTTAAAGTTTTATTGTTCGTGTAATTACATTTAAAAGTATTTAAGGAATAACTTAAACACCATTTCATATAGGTAGTTAGTTTCTTTCTGTTTTTCCAAAGTAATTATCGTTATTTTCATGAAAAAAAAAGGTTTCGGGCTGAACCCCCCCCCAAAAATTAAATCCTGGATCCGCTAGTGTGCTCAACTATCCCGTCCTCAAATGTCTGCCTAATCCTGATAGCATACAAATATTATAGAATTTCAGATTGATAATAATCAAGAGTGAAATAACCCAGATATGGTCTTGACGGCTTCCTTATGTCGAGCCGGTTTTGGTAGGAATTCTGACCGGATACAATTAAAAAAAAATAAATAAATATATATATATATATATATATATATATATATATATATATATATATATATATATATATATATATATATATATATCAGTAGTTGAATCGAAATTTCGAGAGACTATTGAAAAACACTTTTAGTCACACAGCGTCATGTGGTTCATCAACTCCAAATAAATCTTAGTATTGCAAGAAAATTTTGCTTAAATTTGAGCTGCAATTGAATTCAAGTGATAATGAACTTTTAAAAAAAAATGAGATCGCACTTTTTAAATAATAAAAAAGTTTCGTAAGTAGCAAAAAACTGAAAAAGTGAGGGTCTCGGATATGTGGTGGGGACTGGAGGTGTGGCTAGAATCCACAAAGCGTGACCTACATAGGTTTATTATCATTCAGTTATAAAGGTAATAAAATACATTTTAATCTAAACAACTATATTCAGAGACGGCATGGTGAGAGAAAAAACGGAAAGGTATTTCTTGCAGGGAAGTTTTGAAGCTGGGAACAATAATATGAGCTAATAACTGTAATATAATCAACGGCATGAGCTAGACTCTGACAACCCATGGCGTAGCTACCCCACTTTTCTTTAACGCTAATAATCTAAAAAAAAAGATATAAAATCGGGACTTTTTGCGTTTATTTTATTGTAATCTTCATCGAAGAAAGAATTGAAAATTCATTCATAATCGGTATTTCAAAAAAGTCAAGACAATACACAGACGTGTTGGAGAAGTAAAAATTAAAATTTAATATTCTTCCATACAATCAAATAATTAACTTCTACAAATTTATATTGATGTTTTGTATTAGAGTAACTCGTAAGAAAATGAAAGAGACAAGCTAATTAATTGATATATATTTTTTTATAACGGACAATGGAAATCAATGAAGATGATCGAAATTTTTTATAAATATTCATCTCTTAAATAATATTTCATTTCTAATATCACGAAGTATTTTTGCAGCTTTTCAGGCATGGTCAACGAAACCCCAATGCATTCTACCCTAAGGATCCTTACATAGACATGTCGTACTGGCCTGATGGGTTAAAAATGCTAACGAAAGTCAGTAAGCAAACAGTGCTTTAGCATAAACAAATAATCACATTTTAAGAAAAATAAAATATTATGACATTTCAGAAAGGTAAACTTCAGGAATATGAGCTAGGTCAATGGCTAAGGAGGCGCTACGAATCTCTAATACCAGATGGGAAATATTCTGAAGAGTTAGTTTACGTACAAAGCACAGATGTCGACCGGACTTTGATGAGCGCCCAGGCAAACCTTGCGGGACTTTTCTACCCTAGAAAAGAAGAGATGTGGAGCGATCTACCTTGGCAGCCCATACCGGTACACACTGTTCCAAAAAAACTAGACAAGGTAAGGATTTAAAAAAAAAATTAAATAAATAAAAAAAGTGTGTTAAACTTATCCATGCTGTATTACATAGCTCTTATCAATGGGATTTCCATGCCCAAGATTAATAGAGGAAGACCACGCAGTGAAAAAATCTGACTTTCTCAAGAAGTACAACGAAGAACACAAAAAACTCTACAAGTATCTAACAAAATACACAGGAGAAAAGATAAAAGACCCCAAAAGCTGTGATTTAATTTACACTAATTTATTAATTGAGGTAATTATATAAGTTAATTTCATGAATATGTATCTTATAGCATTAATATTTCAACTAGGTATTTTTTTTTTGGTTAGGGACAGGTTAGACTTTAAATGTAAATAATAAGCTTCCTTACTGATTTAAAGGTTTCAGCTTTTTCTAAATTGAAGAGCAATATTCTCAATTGACAACTGCATGAACAAAGTTCCCAGAAGAAATATATAGTAAGGGAAAGTATTGCAATTGTGAAAATTTTCGAATCCGAGTTTTCAACGGAAAAAAATATTTTGAGGTCCTCTGAGTCCAAATAACCAAGTCCCGCAAAATGGTCTGTGTGTGTGAGTGTATGTGACCAGTCTAGCTCAAAAACGAAAAATCGTACAAAATTTATAACACGTATTTAAAACAGGTATATGTCTTAGATGTGACGGCAACTTTTTTCCTTAAAATCGGCTAAACTTTAAAGAACTTCAAGGGTTCGAACTCCAGCCTCATATACCATATAGTCCAGACCTCGCACCATCGGATTACTACTTATTTAGATCTATGGCCCATTTTCTTCAAGTGAAAAAAATTGATAATTTTGCAAAAGTTGGAATTGTGGTTCAAGAGTTCTTTGACAGTTCTCAAGAGTTCTTTGATTATCAATTGTATTTTATACCAAAGATATAATAATACAAATATTGAGTTGGCAAATAAGTCCTTCCAGTTTTTCAGGGTTAAATAAAACTCAATGTATTATAGACATAAAATTTATTTTAATCTACAATATATTGACCAGTATTTAATATGACTTTTTCCCATCTTTCCACTAACTGCATAATGTCATGTTCATAGTTTGTCATGTCTGGAGTTTATTGTTAAAAAACTGATTCAAGTGGTTTTTTATGTCCTGTTCCTTTCGGGATTTCTTTCCATTCAAGGAGTTCTGCAGACACCGGAATAAGTGGTAATCACTTGGAGCTAGGTCCTGGTGCATAGGGAGAGTGGGAGCAAAAGGTCCCATCTAAAGCTCAATAATTTATTGCGAGCGACCAATGAGATGCACTAGCGGATCCAGGATTTATTTTTGGGGGGGGCTTCAGCCCGAAACCTTTTTTTTCATAAAAATAACGATAATTACTTTGGAAAAACAGAAAGAAACTAACTACCTATATGAAATGGTGTTTAAGTTATTCCTTAAGTACTTTTAAATGTAATTACACGAACAATAATATTTTAAGAGGTATTTTTAAAATTTTTTTCCCATAAAACATGGTTATATTTTTCCATTTTGGGGGGGGGCTTCAGCCCGAAAGCCCCCCCCCGTAGATTCGCCCGTGATGAGATGTGGGGCCTAGCGTTGTCTCGGTGAAACACAAAACCTTCCGATCATTCATAACTCTTCCTAAGGATGTTCTCCAAATTTGATGTTATTATATCCGTTGGAAAGCAGAATTATTGCTCTTCAAAGCCATACGAATGGTTTTTTTATTTAATGCCTACATAAGGAATAAATAAACAACAAATCCTTATAGGTTTTTATTTTTATCTCCATTTGTAGTTTGTTTACGAAGGTACTGTTGATGTCATTTAGTATAGTTTATGTGGCCCTAAATAGTAGAGTGGTTAGTGCGCTGTACTAGTGAAGTAAAGATCATAAGATCGAATCCCAGTCCTAATATCCAATATGGCTGATCTCTGCGGAAAGTTAGAGCATCACCTTAATTAGGGGAGGCCTAAGAGGTTGTAAAATACTTGTAACAGGCTAGGAAAAATAATCCTGCTAAATTTCTTGTAGATAGCTAAAGTCGTATTGAAATTATAACATTTTTTTCGGAAAAAAATCATGTGAGGGACTCAAACATTAAGCCTGGAAACATAGCCGAGCTTGTGCAAATGTTTTTCTACACTTGTCTGCGACACATTTAGGGCTATGGCAACCTCTCGCACTGATTGGATGCGATTTTGATCTACAATGGTCTTATCATTGCACGTTTCAATTTAATATAGGCGACCAGACTGTTCAGCACAATTGATTACAAAATTTCCTGAATGAAATTTGGCAATTCAATTTTGACAGGTGCGTTCGGTTAACACATAATCCCCATAAACACTGTAAATTTTTCTATGAGCTTCTGCAGCACGCCTACCTTTTTTAATGTAACACAACAAAATACGCAAATAATGAATGATAATTTCTTCCATATTCATAGTGCAATAGCGAACAGAATACTAAGCTAGTTTCAACAAGAGTTAACAGATATAGTTGTTGACATATTACAAACAGGATAAACAATCCACTTCAGGGATTAATTCATCAGATAAGAAGTGTATCATAGTGACATAAAAATAAACAGAAAAACCGAAAGGACTTATTTGCCAACCCAATATATCGTTGGAAAGCGGAGAATTTTAGAAAAATAATATCAAATAAATAAAGTTGTAGAAGATAACAGAGAGTGACAAAAAAAATATAAATAATAATTTCGAAAACTAACATTATTTAACGTAAATCACATGTTTCCAAGGAAATTAAATGAAATTTTCTTACTAAATGTAAACTTTTAAATTTCTTTTTTAAGTTTGAAAAAAAACGTCTGCCAAGTAAGGTCAGTATAGCTTCCTCACCGTTTCCGTTGTATATTACAAGGTATACAATTTTTCGAATGAGAATAAAATCTCTGAGAGAAGCAGAATCGGAATAGCTGATTACAGTTACCCTTCAACATTCAACAACAGAGGGTCGTATTTGAATATTTCATACTTAATTATGCTTAATAAACAAATAAATAAATAAAAAAAAATGCATACTGAACATGAATTTCAATACTGTTAGTTCAAAAGGTCTTATGTATAAATTTATTTATTGTTTTACAAGAGTGCATAAAAACTCAATATTTCTTTATGCTTTATTAGAATAATTTCATATTTTATTTTCATCTGCTATTTTCCATAGTAGCAGACTACTTATATCAGTTGCAGACTACAAAATATCACCTTTAATACACATAGAATTAAAGTTGAAAATTATTACATACGAACTTATGCTCTAATAATAGTATATACATTACCGGAGGGGCTTCAGCACGAAAGATTTAAAATATATATATATATATATATATATATAACGATAATTAATTTGAAAAAAACCACTGCAAATTATTTCTCTTTTGCAAATTTTAATACCTTTGAAACATCTTATCGCAATATTGACATAAATGTGTATACTTCTTGAGTTATTCGGAATTTAATTTTACCATCCCTCGTAACTTTTTTTGAGCTTCTTTTCGTTGAGGTATGTAGTATAGATAAATTTAGAGGGCGTAGAGAAAATGACTTTAGCGAAGTTTCATCAAAATCGGTTCATTCGTTTAGGCGCTACAGTCTATAGCAACGCAGGTTTTTCGGCCGCCATTTTGAAACTAGAAGGCGAATAGTAATGTCGTTGAAGGAGGATGATCCTCGGGTGACCTCTGATTTTATATCCAAATTCGAAAAAAATCGGTCTAGTAGTTTCAGAAAAAATGCGCGGACGGCGGACGGTGGACTAGTTGTGCACATATAAGAGAAAGTGTTGGACGCAATTCAATGAAATTGACACTACATTATTTTTTCACCAAAGTCTACCTTTTATCTAACTTTGAGCCAAATTGAACGAGCCCTTTCTGAAATATTGGCATATCTAAAAATATACGTTTGCGCGTGCGTAAGCCTAAGTGCTGAGTGGACTTTGATAAAATTGATATGGGACCATCTAGGCACCGATCAGCATAATCCCTGAAAATTTCATGAAGATTGGATGAACGGTACTAGGTTATATGCCCGTCACATCGATTTGACTACAGACAGACTGACAGACAGACAGACAGACACCGAACCAAATTTGATCCTTGATGTCTGAAACGTAAAACGCGAGTGAAAATTTTCGATTCTGAGCAAAAAATTTTTTTTAATTTCTCGCACGAACACAATGCTTCCCTACCTTCGGTAGTGAGGAAGCAAAAATAGTTAAAGTCCACCGAATACTATTTCATTGTTACTTGCGTGAAAGAAGAAGTGAAATATAAAAATATTTCATGGATATGTTTTTAACCTTAAATACATTTACTGTAGTTTAATAACTCTAGATATATTATACTTAAATAATTAGGTATCTATTTGCCGTATATTCCAAAAATTCATCAAATAACCTTTAAGAAAATTAAATTAGTGAATATTTTGATGAATTTTCCCGTTGTAAAATCCCAACATTATGCACTTACGTTTAGTATTACAACTTTTGACCTATCCACGGCAGGCATTGAAAATCTCGTAATTTCATTTTAGTAAACTTTACAATGAAAAATAACTAATAGTCCTACAATCTATAATCATTTATAGGTTAAATGTTTAGATATACAATACTTTCAAATTTCTCTAGGCATATGTGAGCCTTTCGGTTGACAGAATGACTAAGTCCAATTTCAACATTGTTTATTATTAATTTTAGTGGTGTTTGTAGTGGCAAAATTTATACCTTCATTCACAGTTCTATATTTCAACTAGAAATATCACTAAAATGACATTACTCAAAAATGTTGAGATTTGAGATAGACATTCTGTCAAATGAAAGGCTCAGAGACTGAAGTTGTGTGGTTTATAGAAACAAGAATAACTTGATTTTTACTGTCTAACGTCGATTTAATAAATAGATTTTTTCTAATTTCAATGATCTTACTGATTTTTTATCTGTAAGCTTTAAGCTTTAGCTCCGTTTAAAATGCACTTCAAAATTTTATAATAACCCAACAATGCCAGAAAATAATTGCTAATCAAAGCAGAGAGGTAAGTGAAGATTTTGTGTTAAGCGCAACAGATTTTTTTCATTTTTCAGAAACGAATCTAATGATGCTTGTATTTCTTAAGTATTTAAAACAAAACAATTTATTAAAAGATTTTTATAACAATTTCATTCTGATGCAAATTAAAAATAAATTTTGTTTTTAATACAAGCTCAATAATGTTTTCAGTAATATAATGCATGCTATCCAAATAATTTATATAAATGAAAAGTTTTGAAGATTTGTTTGATTTTGTATACCAAATCATGGGGTTCTTGCTTAGCTAGCATATTCTCACAATGGTTAAACTAATTGTATACCCTGAATATTAAATATAAAAAGAAAGTATATAGGTCCAATCGCTTACTCAGGTATCTCTTACCTCCACTTGATCTCCATAGTCAATAACGATAAAGAGTTTGATTAATTAAGCTTGTATCGCGACGATGGCGACCGTGAAGGGTCAAAGAATCTAATGCTAAAACGCATTTCCATTTACAATAACCCCTTCAATCTTGTACGAAAATTATTACCAACATAAAAATGGGAATAACATATAAACATTAGTGTTGCCCAAATGCAAAACTAAGACGAGTCTTGGTCTTGTGCAAGAGTTTCGCAGTTGCCTATTAGCTTACCTCTATTTATTAAATATATTAATTTAGAACTAAAAAAACAACGCTAAGGAAACATTTAAATGTTTTATTGACATAAACGTAGTAAAGTCCAACCTAATTAATACAATTAACTTGACAATACATTTAAGACATTCTCAAGAAAAATAGTGTAGGCCTCCACCTTGGAATGTAAGAGTTTTGGAGTAAACACAATCTATTCAATGTCACGTGTTATTTAAATAAAAATCTGGTATGTCCACTCCATGACTTTCCTACCGATTTTAAACAATTTTAAAAATAACATAATTGAATTAGACTAATTTTCTTGATAACCGATCAGGGGTGCCTATACCCTCTCCCCAAGGCCGATGGCGCGTAAACCTTTCCCCATCCATCATCGCAACATATTTTATTCCTCTCTTGTTCTTAAAAACAGCGCCAACGAAAGTAGAATTTTAATATTCGTAAATAATATACAAATACATCTACTGCGGTCTGTACCGTGCTCCCAGTTCTCTTTTAAATTGAAACTTTTTGAAAATTCATAATCTCATCGAAATGTGTCCCCCTCAAAAAGTGAAAATCCCTGTCAAAAAGTACTTCTCTCATAAATTTTGAAACCCCCTTCTGGGCAACTCGATAACCGATCAGAGAAATTATTAGAGTACCAGTCTTGGTCTTGCAACAAGGTCAGTAGTGCCATACTCCTTCCTTCTCCTTCCCCCTCCCCTCACCCTCCTCCTAGGATAATTTATTACTCTCCTCGACGTTCAATTTTTAAATAGTTTGAGTAATTTTTATATTCTAAATAACATTATAAGGTTAATAACTTGTAGTAGGTTCACCGAACTATTTTTTTTTTTTATAATTAATAACTTATATTATAATTGTTTAAACAGCTCTTTTGAAATTCATGCGTGAAACAACTGATTAAGAAGTTCATCACAAATAAATATATAATTCTTTAATTTATTTTTTATTTTTTTTAATTTGGTTGAAATGTTTTTTCCAGTTTGTCCGTTTATGCACAGCGGCCCTTTAAGACTCAGCATACAGTCTATTGCATTGGTATAATCAACGCCACTGCTATCATCAATTTCCAAAATTCTTCTAAACTAACAAATCAGTTTCAATGAAATTTTCGAGTATACATAACTGTTAATTCAGAGAAAGAAGGACGGAAACAGTTTCGAGATTTAATCTTTGGGGGGAAGAGAAGCAGATATGGCCATTCAAAGTACAATCTCTTCTAAAAAGATAACTTCTGCAAATATAAAACAACTTAAGGCATATTTTACCCCCGGTTTTGGTTATTTACAAATTCAAAATTTATGTTACAAATGCCAACACGCCATACTGAAAAGTAATACCTTAATCAATTACTGTACTGAATACCTGAATACCTACTGAAATTACTGTACCTCCATTTTTACAAATTATTAAAACTGAAAATTGGACAAAAACTAAATGCTTGAACCTATATGAACACACGTCTCACAGATTTACGGTTCAGAAAAAAGTTCTACATCCTTGGAAGCTCTACTTGGCCTCCACAATCCCCATTATCAGGCCGGCTTCTCCGTTGTCTGATTTCCAACTTCTTTAAATCGTACTCAACATCATCGGCCCATCTCAGTCTGGACCTTCCTCTCTTTCTTTTGCCTCCTGGTTTGCAATATAACGGCTTTTTCGGGCATCGATCTTCTTCCATCCTTTTTACATTTCCAAACCATCTTATACGGCTCGCTTTAACATAAGTGACTATGTATACTTCATTATACAATTCCCGAAGTCCTCTACTGCTTTTAATTTCCCATTGGTCATTTATATATACTGGTCCAAAGATCTGTCGAATGACTTTCCTTTGCCAGATACGGAGGATCTTCTCGCATTCCTGTCAAACTTGGATAGTTTCATTCCTCGTAAGTGACAATTGGTCTCAAGATCGTTTTATTAAAAAGTAGCATTACCTTCCGTGACAGGGTTCGAAAACGCGATGTTTTCCGTATTTCAAAAAGACATCTGTTGCCTGCTGCGATTCTTGCTTTTATTTCTATTGTGATGTTATTTTTGCTCTTCACTGAAGCTCCAAGGTATTTGAAGCTGTCAACTTTCTTAAAAGTATGATGGAGAAGTTGCATGCTATTCTGTCCTTCCTGTCCCTCACTTTTTGAGGATATCATACATCGAGTTTTTTCTTACAAAAGCTACGTTTTCAAAAAAAGTCTTGGTATGTAAAAAACAAAATTCAACATACCGAATTTACAATCGCCCACTTACTTACTCTTTATTACAGTTTTATAACTAACTTGATGCATATATAGAACAACCCTCTGAATCGATAGAATGTTCTTTGTTTATTCTACCTTATGATAAACAAAAATAATTTTTGGATCTCCTAACTTAGGCCCTCAACCTAAATCTTTTCCTGGAGTCGGATTGAAAACGAAAATAACTTAAAATCTATATGAAATGGTACCCCTCTTTGTTAATGGCGTTTCTTTTATTAATTAAAAAAATACTCCGATTTTGAAGTTTTACTACTAAACATTTTCTAAACAGGTTGGATAAAATACTAAATGTAATAAAGATTCTACACATTTTACACAATAAAACACAAATATCAAAATATTTAAACTAGTAATAATAAAAAAAAAAAAAAAATCTGAGAAGAAATATTTATCAAGTTCACTAAAAAGTAAGAAAACACAAATTTAAAAAAAAAGTGATTAAAACAATAATTAAAATTAATAATTGTTAAAGTTTACGGGAACATGTGAAAGAAATGATACCAAAACTATTTTTAAAATTTGTTAATCATTATAATTGTAATAATGAAGTTATAATTACTTTTTTAAATGAAGTTCAAATTTAATCATTAAAGCTTTTATATTGCAGTTTTAATAAAACATACTTCTTTTACAGTCACAAACCATAAATAACTTTACGATCCCAGATTGGGCAAAAAAGGTTTATCCAGACACACTACACAAAATAGGTGGTTTTAGTTTTGCCCTACCGACAAGTACAACAATTCTGAAACGACTGCGAGGAGGTAGGTTTTGATAAAGTTTTGTAGACAATTAGAATTATATATTTTAAATTTTGATTTACCATTTAATAGGTCCACTATTGAAGGAAATAATAACTCATATGAAGCAGAAAAGAAATGGAATATTGTTTCCAAACAGAAATCTGTGGATCTATTCTGGACATGACGATACTGTAGCAGCTCTGCTCAACACTATGGGAGTCTTCGAACAACACATGCCACCTTTTACAGCAACAGTCATGGTAGATTTGAGGAAAAATAAAAACAACAAATTTTTTGTCGAGGTTTGTAAATGGATTCAACTATCTCATAGGTCGGTGTCAAATATGGATGCATTTAGTTCTTCCTATTGAATAAATTACTCTTTTCCTGTTGAAATGCTTTGTTTATATATAAAGGCTTGTAATACATAACCTAGAAGAAGTAGCATAAAGCCAATTTGTGTAGAAAAATATATTTAGATATGCAAATTTAAAATTTTTATGTTATAGATATATTACAAGAACTCAACAGAGGAACCGTTCCTCCTCACCATTCCAGGGTGTACTCCAACTTGCCCATTAGATGATTTTGAAGCACATTTATCAGAGGTCATTCCAGAAAACTGGGATGCTGAATGCCAAGTCAACTGATAAAACAGCCCACATTCCTAACAACGATACATTTAAAAGAAAAGTCATTTATAGTTAAAAGTACATAAGCAATATTTTTATGTTTTTAAATAGAATAAAGAGAAAGAAACTTGAATTAATTGATTCCTTTAATATTCTTAAATCCTAAACATTTCATTGATTCAAATAATAATAATAAAGATTGCCAGAATCTCTGAAGGCATAAACACATGAATATAACATTAAGTTGGATTGATAACTAATGAAATATATATTTTTTATTATTGGTGCTATGTTCCTGCAAGAACATGGCCTTCTCTTATAACCTTCATCCAATCTTGTTTAATATTCATCTCATTTCTGAAATCTGCTTAAAAAAAAAATGAAATCATGAAACTTCTCATGTTCATAACAAGATAACAATAAACACCTATAATATGCATTTACATCTGTAATACCAATAAAATGCTTAATTAACAGAGACAAATAAAATAGAATGAAAAATATAATAGTTAAGGAGGATATCATAAAAAATTTTTGGTAAGTATGGTATTATTAAATTAAGTATGGATATTAATATAGTGGACAGATCAATGGCATTATGTACACAATATTTCCAACCTTGGTTATTATAACTTTGAGGTATAGAAAATTATTTGTTTATAATAATAATTATTTATTTAAAATATTTAATAATATAAATTAATTACTTATAATAACAATTTCTAAAAGCAGGCTAAATTTTAAAGTTAATTCCTTTACTAAACCAACCTAAAAACAGTAAATACATACGAGATTAAGAAGCCAGTTCCCCATTTGTCATGAAACTTAATTAAAATGGAAAATCACAACACCTTCTAGATTGTCTATTTTTATTTTAGTTCACAGATAAAAATATTTCTTAAAGTGGAAGCATTCATATTATTATATACTTCCAAAAATAGACTATGCTATGCAAGACTATAATTTATAAATTATTCATGGCATGAGCTAATTGGTATACAAAAAAATAATTCATTTCTAAATTGTCACATGTGAAATACATTGAACTCAAATTCAATCTTCATTAGATAATTACCACATTAAAATATCTATACCTATATTGTAATAATTCAAATAATAAATAAAATTCTATTCAAACAGTTAAAAATAAAACAATAAATTCAAAAATTGTAAATGTGTCTTCCAACTGTAATATGGATTACATTAAGAAGAAAGCTGAAATAGTAGGCTTATTTTTAGATAATTATCTGTTGCAAAATTTATTGTGACTATTCGGATAATTCAAACCAAAAGTTGTACATGTACAGAAAAGAATTTTTTTTTCACAATTTAACACAAGAAAAAGTAACAGTGTAATATCTTTGGATCTCAAGAATTCTATCTCAACTTAGTAAGTGCATTAAACCTTTCAGTGCACTTACAAAGTTGAGGTAAAATTAAGCTGAAAAAGTAATACATTTTGCAAGCAAATTTTAGAAGAAAACTAGAGAGAAAAAATCAATCCTTCCAAAATAAAATGAAGTTTGATCTACCGTAACCTAAATTTGAGTTACTGGTTAAAAAGAGATTATTAATGTTAAATTGTTATAAACATTCAATGTTATTGAAAGCACTTCATGCATAGAATTGTTATCAATATTTTTAAAAGCAATCATATAGTTTTAATTAGCTAATTTTGTAGATATTATATTATTATTTAATTTCTTACTGATTATAAAAATAAATTACTCCTAAATTATTTTCCTGAAATAATAATAGAGCATGCTTCATTTGAAGCGAAGCAAAACAGAAAAAAACAAAAAAAAATTAAGATGAGAGAAATGAATTCTATTGACTGATATATACATTTATTTTCATCTTTCCTTGCCTCTCGGCAAGTTGTCTTAAGTGTTTATCATGGTTTGGCATTGTTTCCTATGTCTATTATAATAATGTTGAAGTTAAAACTAAAAAAATATATGTTGTCAATATTTTTGTCATTTAAATAATAAAAAAATTACGCTTAAAATATTGTACACATTATAATAAAAGGATGATGAAAAATCAAATAATGAACATACCTGATTCTACAGTAGGTCTTTTCTGAATCATGACCACCAGTAATATAACTGTCACCTTTGATTAATAATTAAGTACCATTAAAAAGTGTTTTGAATAAATATAACTGAAAGAACTTAAAAAAATAATATAACTGATTACAAAAAAACTTCAACAGTATATAAATGATGAAAGGGTTGAGTGAGGCAAGACTACTTGCTGAAAGTAAATTAAACTAGCAGGATAATCAAATCATATTAACTGTTTAAGGGAAAAACTAAAACAAATAAAATGAGATAAAAATAATCTCATGATGTACAAATCTAATCAAAAATTAAAGAAAGTAGTAAAATGATTATATACAAACAAATTCTTAAAGAAGACTTTCAAGAATGAATAAAAGCAAATATAAAATAAAAACATTAATTATTTCAACTCAATTTTTTGATAGGCCATTACCTGGTCTGAACCCAATACTCATTAGAACCCTTGATTTATAGAAAATATGGAAGCCATATATTGCTTCCTGCTCTCTGCAGTGTGTCCACATTAACAGCAGCTATACAGATTAAAATTGTGTATATAGATGTGTTAGTGTATGCTCTTGAATTAGATCATAGATCATATCATATACACTAAATATTCAATTAAGTCTTAAAACAGAATCTCCATATTATGTGCTTAATAATAGTTATAAAAATCATAAATGGTGGTTGGATAGATAACAAATATTTCAGAGCTAAAATAGAACATTATTTATTTTTAGTCAGGTGCCTGAACTGACTTATCAGTATACATGATGGATTCAACCTCTTATCACTTTATTTTGATGGCTTTAAGCAGAGGAAATATTGTTTAGCTGTTGAGGCCATATTGAGCACTTCTTCAGTTAAGATAAATTCAGAGAAGATAACAATAAAAATAAAACCTATTTTTATTAAGGACAATAATAACAAATAACAATGATTATGAAATCAAGAATTCAATTAAATTAATAAACGATTAAAATGAAAAATTGAACAATTCAATAAGTAAACAATTATTGCATAAGGTATGTTTAATTTTGGGTTTATAGTTTTTTTTTTAATTATACAAATTATAGATAAGGCCATAACGAGTTTTTATTATTCTTAGATGAATATAACAATAAATTTGGATGAAACAACAATCAAATTCTAATTATCTCATATCAACTGATTTCCGATATAACAATGGCTGAATGGTGAGACAACAGTAAGAAGGTACTCATATAAAAATAAAATAACATTTTTCATTTTCTGGAATTTACTCTGTAAGTGAAAAGAGAAATTATCAATAGATAGCATGTAGATTCATGATACTAAGGACATACAAAACCATGAAATCAACTTTTTATGGTGTTAGAAGTCTTTTAAAAAATTGTCATCATTGGATTAGATTTCTCAGATCATTAAGTTAGTAAGCGCTAAATCATTTCTTGTGCATACTTAAAAGTTAATACAAAGATTTATCATTCTTTCAGGAAAAATTGCAAAAACAATCTATAATTATAAAAGGACTTATAATTAGGAATAAAATTGAATATATGTGCGACTAATTCTCAAACAATGTGACAGAGGAAATTATTAAAATAATTGAATTACAAAATTAATAACATACCAAGAAATGGCACTGAAAACTAACCTCTTATTGTTTATTTATAACCGATCAAATTAATCAATACAATGTACTCAAAACTAGACAACGTGAACTAGTGTTATCTGTAAACATAACCTGGTCATCACCTAGCAACAGGTTTCTTGTTCTGATGTCTTGATAAAGTATTAAAAAGACTATAATGAATTTTAAAATAAATAAATAGATTAAGACAGTTTTAAATGTTATTTTCTAGAGTAACTGTATTCAGCATCGCCTCTGAAAGTCTAACGGCAATACAAACTATTTGTATATGTAGATAAGGATTCAAAAAACTGATAAGGCAGTGGTGGTTTTGACAGGCAACCGGTTGTAGACTGTTGAGCGCTGGGTTATTTGTAGGTTCGGTTGCCTTGGACTGCCATGAAATTGTAAATTAGAATTCGAAGTGTTGGAAGACATTCCATAACATTTAATCAACCGAGGAGGACTATTTAAAGTGTTTTGTAAACTATATTTCCCTAGAAATGAAGGGGTTCATAGTTCCTGTTTTAAACATATTGTTAATTTTTGTTCTAGACTCTAATTACGTTTTTAGTGAGAATCAACTTCCAGACAATGAAAGTGAACTTGTGTTTTCATCTATTGTGAGTAAACATCAGCTATATGTGTGGAGATTAAAAACTACCTATAAATATTTTTTAGCATTGAGAAACTTTATAATACAAAAATATAATGTTTTTTTTATACGTGGTTTTTATTTATCAATAATTATTTCTGTGGAATGTGTTTGTTTTCGTTATTTAAAAATATTTTATATTGTTGATTTAGTTGATAATTCTTCAGGACTTTCAGGACCTTATCGACTTACGAAGTTTCATTATTAATTTAATATTTCATTTATTTGTTTTGAATCTTGAGTTTTATCACCATTGAAGAGTTTATCACCATAACCTAATTATTTCAGCAATTGTTATTTGATATAAGGATTGTTTTTAATAAAGTTTTATTTTGTTTATTGAAGTAAGTTACTCTGTTTCTCAAGAGTTTATTTATTTCAGCTTTTTAGACATGGAGATCGAACACCCGAGAAACCATATGCTAAAGATCCATATGGTAACACTTCACTTTGGCCTGTCGGATGGGGAATGCTTACCAATGTAATTCAGCTGAATACTTTAATATTTTTTAAACCTTATTGTTGATATTTCTTTTTAATACCATCCTATTTCAGAAAGGAAAGGCTCAACACTACAAGCTTGGCCAATGGTTGAGAAAGCGATATGATAATTTGATCCCTGACCACAAATATTCTCATGAATTAATATACATACAAAGCACTGACGTGGATCGTACTTTAATGAGTGCCCTCTCGAATCTTGCTGGTATGTTCTACCCAACCCAGAAAGAAATGTGGAGTGATCTCAAATGGCAACCCATACCTGTTCATACTGTTCCCCAACATCTTGACAAGGTTTGCTATTTAAAAATATTCTCTATCTTAATTTCACCTTGTCATATTACAATAATTACAAAATATTTTTTAAGGTTCTTTCAATGAACTGCCCCTGTCCCAAATATGAAGAAGAGTATGAAGCGTTTAAAAGATCAGCCATAATTAGTACTTACAATGAGAAGCACAAAGAGTTGTATCGCTACCTAACAGAACATTCTGGTGATCCTATCCATGGTCCAGTTCATACTGAATATTTATACAGTAATTTATTTATTGAGGTATTTATTCATTTATATAATGGTTTATCATTTCTATGGTTCAAACTGGTTCTAACAAGAATATTATTTAAGGTTTTGCCTATTAGCGGTAAAACCACTTTAACATTATATTAGATTGCTCACTTACTATTTTATCTAAAAAAAAATAATTTATTTGTTGATAAGTTTAAATTATGTTTTAAGATTCATAATGAGGAGAATATATTTTTATTAATTTTAGAAAAAAATTCTCATGTTAGATGATTAACATTTCAAAAACAAATATTGAAAACAAAATTATTTTTATTTTTAAAGCACTCAATGAAAAAAAAAAGGCTGTTCAAATAGAGACTTCTTATTTGCTTTCTATCTCTTGTAATGTAAACATGATCTGATTACTAAATTTATTTTAGAGTTCTTAGTCCGTATAGGAAAATATTTTTATTTTGATGTTAGCTTTACAAATAATATGAAAATAAATTCAATAATAATTTTCTTCACATATTTTGATATCAAACAGTACCAATTTCGATTTTTTTTTTGGCTGATTAAACTCCATTAAAATATTTGTAGAAAAAAATATATTTATTTTTCTGTTATGCCAGAATAAAATTAGAGAATGTTATCTAACATAAAATATACCAAAAATGGTTTTAAATATATATTTATATAATTAATATGCTATCATTTTAAAAGAAATGTAACATTAATAAAAAAGATCTCAAGGTTTATGTGGCCTATTTAAATTCCTTCAATTTATTTTATTATTTCAGTACATAGAAATTTTGTGGAAAAAGTTCCCTATCATTGGATATTTTTTATCATAAATTTTAGTTATTCCCCTTTATTTTTGAGATTCTTGTTATTTAATAAATTATGGGTGGTTACATTGTTTTTTTTTTTATATAGTCAGAACCTACTCTACTGTCAGTATCTAAATAATAATCAATCATACAGGAAAATATATTTTTATTTTGTTTTAATATTTTATTTTATATTCCTTTTGGAATGAAGACATTTTATATTATATGATATGAGTGGCTTCATTTGTCATTTTCAGAAAGCGTAGAAAAAGTCAATTATTGTATTATAGATTCAACTCAAATTGTTTCTGATGATTTATTTTATTAATAAATGTTCAGAATAATGACAAAAAATCAATAGAATTCTTTTGAATTGAAGCTATTTTATAGAAAATTGACTTTTTCTCAACTTTTAAAAAATGACAGATGTCCATCTTTGATATGAAGCCATTCATATATTTTATCACAATTTTTCTTTCATAAATTAGAATTACACAGGAAAGTAGGTTATGTTTATGTAAATATTATTGTTTACTAATCTTTTTGAAACTGTCCAGTCAGCACAGTGACAGTGACATAAACTGTAATTACAAGACAAAAAATAATATTTATTTGATTTCAAGGGCACCCAATGTTCTCTTTAATTTTGCTATAGGAAGGGTAGAAACTGTCTCATTGGATAAATAATTGAGAAATTAATCAACAAGACTATCATCAAAATCCTATTGCCAACTGGATTATATTCAGCCTATAGTTCAGCCTAAAGTTTTGAAAAATGGAAAATGTTACATTTGATTTTTAAAGGTTTAATTTGATTTCAGAAGAATTTGGGCTGTTTAATTATTTATTAGATAAGGTTATAATAAATATGAATAATGAATAAATTTCTATTTAAGACATATTTTGTTGGTACAATAATACAGACTGTAAGAACTTCAATAGAAGTCTCAGGCCAAACAAATGAAGATTAAAAAAAAAAAACGTAAATGATTGTAATAAGTATTTTCAAAATCTGTAGAAGCTGCTAAATTTATTGAATGAATACTCACTGTAAAATGTGGTCGACTTCTCTTGATTCTATAGTAATAAGGATAACTTTTTTCATTAAAAAAATTACATATGTACATTGGAACTAAAAGCTTAAGGCACACTACATAGTATTTTTAATAACCGTCAAAGACGAGTCTACTAAAGCACAAATTTAAAAACATAAAATTATAAATAAACAAATTACATCTTGTAAATAATAAACACAACCATCTGACAAAAATAAATAATAAAAACATGTTAGGGTGATATAAAAAAAAATTAAATAGTTACTCTATATTCAAATTTAACATGGTGACTAATAATTGAATTCCTTTATAAATTGATACCTGCAATGTCAGGCTAATCTGCAATAACTAACAAGTTTATTTCACTTTTTACTATTCAAATAATTTTTAAACTCTAACAAATCTAATTTTGTTTTATTAAAATATTTTATTCTAAATTCAATCAGAATGGGGCACACTGAAATCAAATGAAAAATATCTTCTTTGACTTTCAGATTACACAGAGAGCATAATTTATTCTAATTATAGAACCTATATTTATTTAAGTATACATAAACAGTTCACCTCTTACTTCGACTATCGAACTGAGTGTGGTAAAGTCCAATTTACTATCATTAAATAGGTTTGATTAAAGTGTTAGCTGTTTATACAATATGATAATATTGTGTGATACCAGAAATCTTCCAATCTTTGAAAAATATCTTTCTTTTTGTTATTTCATTTACTTACTAATACATTAGAATATCTATCTTGCAGCAATGAAAGGTATTTTATAGTATATTTTAAGGTAATTTTACAGGCGATTAGTATATTTGTTTCTAGATATCATAAATAATTTAGGGTATTTAAAGGTAATTTAAATAATTTTCTTCATTCTGTATTTAGAACATATAATTTTTTCTTGGGAAGTAATATTGTTTTCAAAAGAAAACAACTGTTGAATTATCTCAAATAGTTTTATGTTATTCTTTATTAACACAATTTATAATATTAGTTCTTACTACTTTTTTAATTTACTACTAAGATTGATTAGTTTCACTAAATTTTCTTGCTAAATTATAAGATTCAAATGTCTTCATTGCTTACAAACAATATTTGTAGTTATTACTAAACCAATTTTTTCAAATTTAAAATTATTAAAATTTCTTTTTCCATATTTTAGACTATTAATAATTTTACACTACCTAATTGGACTGAAAGTGTCTTTCCCAACAAAATGTATTCAGTTGCTGCATTTAGTTTCGCTATGCCCACAATGACACGTACTTTGAAGAGACTAAAAGGAGGTGTGTATTTTAAGTGTACTTAAAATAAAATATTACTATAGTTATAACTTGCTCTTATCTATCTGTTATAATTTTCATAGGACCCCTTTTGAAAGAAATAATAACCCACATGAAACAAAAGAGAGCTGGAACATTGTCTCCTAACAGGAATCTTTGGGTTTATTCTGCTCATGACACAACTGTAGCCAATTTCCTCAATACTATCGGGGTTTTTGAAGTACACGCCCCTCCATTTGCTGCAACTGTCCTTGTTGAATTGAGAAAAAGCAAAACTAACGACTACTTTGTTTCAGTAAATATTACTAATTTCATTATATTTTATTTGCGTTTTTTTTAAAAAAGTGTCATTGATTCAGTTTTCATTTGATACTAATTCTAGGAAAACTTAACATTTTAACTAATTTATTATTATTTTGAAAAACAAAAAATTATTTTACAGGTATTTTATAAAAACACAACAGGGGAGCCAACATTATTAACTATTCCTGGATGTAATGCAGCTTGTCCCTTGGATAAATTCGCTTCACTTTTATCTGATGTCATTCCTGTTGATTGGGATTCGGAATGTCATGCACACCAACTATTTGATCTTACTTCTGATCAACCATACAATTCTCTTGCAATTTTCGGTAATAAAGAATTTCATAAAAATATAATTATGTCTTGAGGTATTAATTTTTTTATTATAAATATTTTTTATGGTTTAAATTTTTTTGATATATTTGTTTCTATTTTTCTGTTTAATAATAGCTGTGTTAAATATTACGAATATAAAGTTGGTGGGATAAATCAGTTATTTCAGAGGTGTTGAAAAGTGGTAGATTTGAAGTTCTTATTTGGGAATTATTACCTATGACCTTAATGTTCTAATATTTATTTAACTGTCCAATTAACAAGAACTGTTGATTTTCGGGCTCATATTTGTAAGAGGATTGATTCATATGTTTAGGGTCATATATTAATAATATATATAAACCAGAAGTAATAAAAAAGAACAAATTTATCTGCTAACTGATACTTTTTATGTGGTAATAAGATAAAAGTGAAAACAGCTATTTGAGAAATACCAAAATAACAATTTAAAAACATAAAAAATCAGTTTTTTAACATTGCTTCTGAAACATGGGTATTATGCTAACAAGACCAATTTTACACTTTAGTTTTTAAAAGAAAGAAATACAATGTATTGAGCCTGTAATGTAATGGTAGATCTATGAATATTGTTTCTTACCAAACATTCCTGACACTGAACTCAGCATTTATATTCTTCTCTTAAAAATGCATAGCAAATATATATTACCTTTATGAACATATAAAAAAGTTATTAAATTTTAAGTTTTAAAATTTATAAAATCCTAAAAGTATTTAGGATTCGGAAAAGATCTTTAAATGAAAACTTTAATTTACAAAATTCTGCTTTAAAGAAGAATTATTGATATTTGGTCAAAGAGGATATCTAAAAATGACACTTTTGCATAACTCAAAAAGTATGCATTTTTTTTCTCGATTGTACCCATTATAATTAGAAAGATTACTAAATTACCTACAAAATGAAAAAAAAAAATTTAAATCGGACAATTATTAACAAATATATATAGTACATTAGTTTTGGTATACTTAATGTCTTCCTGTTTAAAGCTATTGCATTTAGGAGTAGAATAGTCTAGTACACTTTTTTCCTGGCTGATATATTAACTTTATTATTTCTTAACGACATTTGGTCGTTCTTATATTTTTTTTATTTTTAATAATATAGAAAATTCCATGATCGGGGCATTATTTTGTCTTTATTACTTTTATTATCTTTACAGTCAGCGTTTAAAAATAGGTCCTAGCAAAGTAATTTGTACAAATATTTTGGTCTATTATGTTTAATGGAACTTAGTAATCGACCAAGGAAAAAACATTAATTCCTTCCTTACATAATACACATAAATTACTTATTTCCATATTGTTTTGCTGTTTCTTCACTAAACAACATTTTCTTTGAATTATTCACAAGGGCCAATTAGTATTAGTATATTGTGCTGGCATGTCTAAAAATCTCAAATAACTTGTCAGAGATTTGATATAAAAAATACCTATATTGGAACAATTTTTTTACTACTGTTTCTAATGATGTATAATTCTGTACAATTTGTATCTTTTGACTACATACAGTACTTATTATTGTCATTGTCATTCTTGATTGTTTTGATATTTTATTTGAACAAGTGTGAATAGTGGAAATTTTTGTTTAGATATATTTAGCATAAGATGCCTTATTTGATTGAAAATGTTTTATTAGTAATAAATATTAATGAAGACTGAGATTGCTAATTACTCTGATGACACAATTTAAAATATTACTTTTACGTTGTGATATTTGTTTTTAGCCTTGTCAGTCTTCAAAAATATTTATTTTAAAAACTTTTTTATTAATTATTCCATTGTTATTTTCATGGTCAATCAATGGTTCATCAGCCATGGTCACATCAACCCTCCTTGTCTTCCTTCTTTTGGCAATGACATCACTCTACTGGCATAAGCAAAAGCCTACTGTACATCTCTACAAAAAATTAAATATGGAAACTCTGTAAAACTTTTTTTGGCATTATTTTATTAATTACTAAGTCATTGTAAATTTCCTTTTTGAGTATAAGATAGTATTACTATCCACATGCAGAATACAGTAGACTCTTCCTTAACTGGTTTTGCTGGAACTCACTTAACACTGAATAATAGAAATCATCAATAAAACAAAAATATATATCAACAATAGCTGGATAACAATTGAAGCCAGCTAGGTAATAAGAATCAATTATTTAAAAATATTGACTTATTTGTCTGATCATTGTATTTTAAAATTTCATTTCTTTCTTATGTGGTATATTGCACAGAAATAGTTTATTTATTATCCTGGTAGCTTGTTTTCTTTTTGTTTATATACTTATTCTTTTACCTTATTAATTAAATGAATAAGTTGTTATTAATAATATTTTATTATTTTTTATGAGAATGACATTCATTTTCAGTTAAAAAAACAGTCAATGGACAATTAATATTTAGGATTAGGTTTGTTGTATGTTACTTCCTTATTTAATTTAACAAGAGTAGAAGGGAAGGTTATCCTATATTATTATAATTATAATGAGACTGGTGCTGTTTCTGACTAAAAAATGTAATGCTATAGTGTATCTAAGCTAAATTTGCGTGTAGAGGAAGAGAGCTCACGAGGCTTTCCCCCACTCAAGTTCCATCTCCCCAAGACTTTTCTCTAGCTCTACTTTCCCTCTTCATCATAGCAAGCACCTGATGCCGGGAAAGCTTCATTCCATTTTCTTAAATTTTTTATCAAAGGTAGGAATTTTAATTTTAAAATAAAACAATGGAAAGAAGGATTAAATAATCAAATTAAGAAATAAAATACTCCAAGTCTCTGTTGATGAATTGAATAGATATACTTCAAAATTACATTTTTTGTCTGAGAGTAGATAGTTTTCCCTCTACCGAGTTTACTTGACATAGTAAATGAAAATTGATAGAAGAAATGAAAAAAAAAAAAATATATATTAAAGACTTTTCTACTTGTGAAAAAAAATGTGCAAGTTTGTATGAATGAATAGAAAAGACAAAAGAGTGGGGGATTGACAGAAAAATGTTTTGCCACCGCGCGTCTCTCTCTACCTCTACCACCCGCAAACTTATCTTAGATAGAGTCTACCTCAACATTCCCGGTCACCACAGCCACTGTGATTATAGTTAACTAAACTAATTATTATGATATACATTATTATATTCTCCCTCTATGAAATTTCAGACAGATACCTTTGTTAGGTGCATGTGCGCTAAAAGGTTCTCCCTTGAGTTGTTTACTATAACTGCTCCAAAATATACATTTCTCTGTTTTAATTTCTTAAATTTAATATAATTTTTAATAGTTATTTTATTTTATTTTTTGTTGTTGATAAAAACATTTTATAAATTTTCGTCTTTTGTGGTCTACATTAATTAAAAAATGCCGCATAAGAAAGAGTTGACTGTAACCATTACTCCATGACAGTATAGTTGTACATGTCCTTTCATAGTAGCTCCAAGATTTTGAATATTGTTACCAACTCTTAGTTTTATTTTAAGTTTAAGCATAAAAGAAAAAGAATATTCTTTCTAAATAAAGCACAATTTTTTATTGATCTCATCACTTAAAAAAAAAAAGAAAATATAAAAAGGAAATTAAAAATTGTGATATTTAATAGTATGAATTTTTAAAATAGAAAGTCATAATTTTAAGTTGATTCCTATATGTAATTGTAACTTTTCTGGTAAAAGCTATCAGAATTCGTCAAACCATGCAATTAATTATCCTTCCAAGAAATGATTAATTATAAGAAACTTATCTGTACTTAGTTGAGTTAGTTGTGTCTGTTTAGTTAATTGTTGTTATTTATTTAATATTATTTTTTTAATTATGACTGATTAAAATTAAATAGACTTATTTTAGCCACTAAATATTAGCATAAATCAGTCAAAAAATCAGGCAGTAAATTTATTTTTTTCTCAATTAGTACCATAAGAAATGTGACTTATCTTGTTTAAAAGAAAAAACAAATAGATTTATTCAGACCCACTTATTTTTTTTTATATCTAAATACTATCAAACCCATATAATTAATTTTGACAATTAAAAAAAGCTCAAAAAAACTTTTTCCTGGTAAAATACTTAATGTCCCATAAATTTATATCTTCAAAAATGAAATGTTTGAACTATTCATTTGTTTTCTTATTTAATCAGATAAATTCATTATTATTTATTGCTGAAAACGGTTTTGGTATTTTTTAAATTTATGATCTACGAGTAAATTGTGCTCTCTAAGTGGTGTACTTTAAAGTTTGTCTAAAATCATTCCTTGGTATTTTTACCAATGTATGCTGGTAATGAAGCAAGTTTATATGAACGGATAATTTTTATTTATACTCGGGGTTTATTTTAAAGTATGTAAGAATATTACTAAGAATGTATTATTTACCACTTGATTTTAATTTCACAGTAGTAGACATTATTAATAAAATAATAACTTTATAAATGGTTTACATATATATATATATTTGTTTTTAGTGTTTATATTCTTAATTTTTCTTCTTACTTAAAAAAGATGTAATTAAATTAATTATATGTAGCATTACCCTACTATTGTCATTGGTTGGTTTGGTTCTGTCTTCCATTTCTCTGTTTTTTTTACAATTGATTAAAAATGCAGTACCTGAAGCAGTTTTCTATTGTAACTGATTCAATTGTAAATTAAACTGTCTGATTACTTCATTTATTTGTAATAAGAATAAAGAAGTGATTACAAAATTTATTTTCTTAGACTCCAATTTTTTAAAATGTGTTTTATTGAACATTGTTATTTTAATAAACATTGTTTCAATTTTAAATCAGAAAATTTGTTAAAAATATCTTAAAAACTTCATGCTGCAATGTCAATAGTTTATCTAAAGAAATATATGCTGAAGATGATAGAAGTTCACAGACTGAATGAAGAAGTTAGGTTCCTATGTATTTTCTGATGATTAGATCTCTCAAGATCACAACAAATGGAATCTTTAGTGTATGAATGAGTAGTAAGTAGTGAAAAACTTAAAATCCATACTGTTCTCTGGAGACTGAAGAAGTAGAAGTTGTAATTTTGGAAATATCAAAACTATAGTTGAATTATAAGAAGGAGTTGATTGGCGGAGGGGGGGGGGAGCAGCGCGGTCAAATAAATATTAAATATTTATATAAATAAATCCCCTCCCCCTCCCCCCCCCGATCAACTCCTTTTCATATTATATCACGGTCAACCATCTCTACATCATAATAGTTGAATTAAGTTTAAATGAAAACTATTCAAATAAAAAATATATATACATATATTCCTGAAAATGATGAAACATGGAAAAGAGGATGTTAATTCAGGGAGTGAGCTGTTGTGATCTGTTCCCAACATCATTATTAAATACATTCACAGAATTGTTGTCTTCTAACAATCCTTCAAAATTGTGGTACAGCTTTTTCCATTTTATTTATAATTTTTCCTCAATTGCTTTATTTAAACAATATTTTGATTTCATCAATTAGTAGCAAGTATCAATAAGTCATTATACACATACATTTTTCTAAGATACTCATCAAATTTATTATTATTATTTTTGTTTTTAATTTCATTATTAGTTTCTCTTCCAAAAATTTTAACTTTTATACTGCTTAACTATTTTGAAGAAGCTAGATGGTCTACTGGTCTCTCAGAAAGTCCAAAGTTGATAAATCTCTAGTCTCAAGGTAAGTTCACTCCCATTCCTTCTTTCAGCTTCTGTAATTCAATACTGTCCCTAATCCCTGCTTCTGTTGAGGGACAGCCCTGCAACAATACTTATCCACATCCTGCCTGGGTGTCCAGCGACCACGTGTTGTACCAGAATTTCTCGAATTGGGAATTGTACGGGAATTTAAAAAAAAAAAAGAGGGTACTTTCATTTTTTTTTGTACTGCTTTTGTGACAAAATAAATGAGCTTTTATTTACATACATAATAAAGAACATTGTATTCACATAATCTTAAGAATAAATATTTTTATTAATTATTAAACAGCCTTTGAACATTGTGGCAGTGTGTTTCCTTTGGAGTCGTTGACATTGTTTGGTTTTCCATGATGAAAATACTATCATCTCTATGGGTGGTCGGTCAGGGAAGCAATTATAGGATGCCTGGTGAGAAGGACATGGATTATGAAACTATTAATTTTTGCAAATTTAATTTAATATTATAAATTTGTGTAAAAATAAATGTATGATAAATACAGAAGAATGTCTCATCATAATTGTGTGGCAATATTATCTTGTTCGTTATCATTCCTGTAATTACAAGTGTAAGCATTTTTAAGGGCTTGTATTTTGATGCAAATATTTCTATGTAGACCAGTAAATTTGCTGTAATATTAATATTTAATTTTTAATTAAAAATATTTATATATACTTTTACGTGAATATAACAATATTCTTTATTACACATTTTCTATATACATTTTGGACGATTTTTTTCCCACAGTTTTTGTAGTTTTGTTAAGAGTTCAGATGTCCCCAGATAAGTTTATAATATTGAGATAGATGAATCAAATTTCTAAACTTGATAGCGAAATATAAAGTTAACATCCCCTCATCTTCTTATTTTGTGTGTGTGGTTTTAATTGCTTAACTATTTCTAGGGAAATGGACTCTTAGAGGGATTATGAGAACTTATCATTTTTTTTTTCTTCTAATTTTGATAATCTAGAGACCATATTTATATTTACAGGGTCGAAATTTATTTAATTTAAGTCAAAGTTACTTTAAAGTTCTGATATCCTTTCTAATAGTTCTAACAATTATCCCACTGAACCTTAGCTTTAAAATAGTTTATAATTCCTGTTGAAGCTGTTCTCAATTCCTGTCCTATCTGTAATATTCTTTGGATAGCCTGGATTACCTCACACCAGGACACTTTCTTCTAGGTCAATTCCTCCTAGCCAGACCAAAATAAGAATACGTATGTGTATTTCCTTTGACAAGCCGTTGGGAGATGATTTGCAAGACTCTTCGTAATTTTTGGAAGAGATGGTATAATGAGTACCTCCACAATCTGGTGCCTCCCAACAAGTGGTTTACTGACAGTGAAAATTTAAAAGAGAGAACCCTTTTTATTGTACATGAAAAAGATGTTCCACTGCAGAATTGGCGGCTTGTCAGAGAAATAGAGACATTTCCAGGGCCTGCCAATGTAGTTAGGGTGGTCAAATTGAGGACTGCTACAGTTACTTTGGTGCGACCAGTGCACAATTTAGTGTCTCTCCCTAATGGAGAAACCTTTTATTGATATGAATATATATTTTTATTTTGCTTGAATTTAATGAGGAGTCATTTTATTTAAAATTAATTGTAATTTATTATCCTATCTTTTATCTGGCTCATTTTATTTCTAATTTACAAAAATCTATTTTGAATAAGTTCTCTCTTTCTTTGTTGTAAACCAAGCAATTTTCCTCTCGTTTGTGCCTTGCTTGGCAACCACCAATCTCTGAATTTGTTTTTTTTTTCTTTTTTTGTTTGTGAAATGAGATATTTCTCGGTGGGGGATATGTTTGTGCAAAGATAGTGTCCAATTGTCTTGTTACGGCGAGTGGTGGGGGCAGATCAGATAAGCTCTGTATGATAAAATTTAATCTGTACCAGCTCCCGGTACGACTCGCATTCCATCTCCGAATTAGGCAGATACAATACCTGCCCGAGGGCGCCCTCAGGTAATGATGTCTGTACCAGTATAAAAATGGTAAGCTGTTTTTGCTCAATTCATATAACCTACCAATTCATTAAAATACAGTCCATTGTATAAATAAGTAGAATATTGCCTATTTTGAACTCATGAGAGTTATTTATCTTGCCTTAATTAAAATTTGGAAAGTTGCCAAAACAGGGTGTTTCATAGCGCAAGCTGCGCCATCATGGAGGATTATATTTTTGAGGGGGATACATTTTGATGAGATTGAGAACTTTTGAGGGAGCACATTTCGACAGATTATGAATTTTCGGAACGAAAAGTTTCAAACTATGGGGCAAGGGAAAACCTTGTAATAGACCGCAATAAGTATAATTGTATACGATCTACGATTTTTTAAAAATTTTCCTTTCACTTACACTCTTAATAAGAAGATTAAAGCAATATAATATCTCTGGAGGAGGTAGCAAATTTCATCCACCATGGAACTTGGAAGCAGGGGATGGGCACCCCTGCACGTGGTAAATTATTAAATTATATAGTCAACAATTGAGTGGCAAGCTATTCGCTGTAGGATAGCAGTGTTATGCTGGTCGTGACTTTAGTCCGGCCAGCCATCTGGTTTCAGTGTGCTGGTAAATGGTTGAAAGCTAGTATGGATAGAATTAGTCCTTTCCGTGAGTGCCCGTAGATACTTGCACCCGATTTGTCGTTGGAGGGAGAGGTGAGGTTGAGGGGCGGTTAAGATCTCCGAGTTAGATACCGCCCTCTTCCGATACCCGCACTTCGCATGTGGCCTATACTCTTGATCATTTTATTTAAGAATGATCAAGTTGAATCGTGGAAATAAATCATTAGAATTGGTTTAAATTAGAGCTATATTACAAAAATTGGCTTTTTCTCAATTTTTTAAAAATAAAATAAAATTTCTATCTCACCTCTGAGCATAATTGGTAATATACTCCGCAGTAAATCATAAATGAATGACTGCTAAGGCTTAACATCGGCAACCGGATACCACAAGAGGATGCCTGCGAATTCGTAATCGATGAGGGACGACAAGAACCAAGACTCAAGTCATAACCATCCCCAGAAATAAAATTATCAGAAACAATTTGAACTGAATCTATAAAGCGAAAATTGACTTTTTATTCACTTTATGAAAATGACAGATGTCTGTCTTTGATTTGAAGAAACTCAATTGGTTGTGTGACATTTTTAGGAGGTTTATAAAGGCTCATACTGCAAAATGCTAAAAGAATTTTAAGATTCTGATGATTTATTTCTATGATTCAACTTGAACATTCTTAAATAAAATGATCGAATATAGGTCGCATGCGAAGTCCAGGTATTGGTAGAGGGCCGTACCTAACCCGAAGGTCTTAACTGGCCCTAAACCTCACCTCTCCCTCCAACGACAAATCGGGTGCAAGCACAGGTGGATCTACAGGGGAGGGAGAGGCTTTCGGGCTGAAGTCCCTCCCCCCAAAAAATGGTAAAATATAACCATGTTTTATAGTAAAAAATATTAAAAACTATCTCTTAAAGTATTATTGTTCGTGTAATTATATGTAATAGGACTTCAAGAATCACTTAAATATCATGTCATATAGGTAGTTAGTTTCTTTCTTTTTTTTCAAATTAATTAACATAGTATATATGAAAGAAAAAAGCTTTAGGGCTGAATCCCCTTCCAAAATTAAATCCTGGATCTGCTAGTGGGTGCAAGTATCTACGGGCACTCACGGAAAGGACTAATCCTATTCACACTAGCTTTCAACCACTCACCAGCACACTGAAACCAGATGGCTGATCGGACTAAAGTCATGACCAGCACAACACTGCTATCCTACAGCGAGTAGCTGCAAACACACGACCACTACATTCGAGCGGTAACAAGCACTCATGATGTCCACACAATGCGCCTCTTTGTACCAATTCGGTCAAATAAAATTTCTATTTGACCTCCAAGCATAATTGGTACTATGCTTCGCAGTTATTCATAAATGATTGACCGCTACGGCTTAACATCCACCACCGATACCACAAAAGGATGCCTGTTAATCCGTGATAGATGAGGGACGACAAGAACCAAGGCTCAAGACATATCCGTCCCCGAAAATAAAATGATCAGTAACAGTTTGAGCTGAACATATATAGCAAAAATTGACTTTTTCTCCACTTTATGAAAATGATAGATGTCTGTCTTTGATACAAAGACACTCAATAGGTTGCGTGACATTTTTAGTAGGTTTATAAGGGCTTATAATGCAAAATGCTAAAAGAATTTTAAGATTCTAATTATGAAGTAATTTATAATTTAAATCACCAATATGTATTTTCTTACGACTGTTTGTTTTTAAAAATTATTTACACATTCAAATTAATAAAAACCAGCTACTGTAACTCAAAGTAAATAACTTACGTTAAGGACTAATCATACTTTGTAGTTTGTTCTTCATCGACTTCTTATCTCGATGTTATCATCGGTCACGTGTTGTATACATGTGGTGATAACAATGATCGTTTTACATTTGGCTGGTTTAAATTATTTTTAAATCAGAAAAATGTAGTCACTCCCACCAAAATGAAATATTTTCCTCCGTTCACATTAGAGTTAACGCTTGCACTGATTAAACCTCATGCTGCGAAAGTTCCCTATGTTGTAAAAGTGGGTTGTTCAAATTTCTTAAAATGACTAACTAGAGATTCAGTAAATGTCTATTATCAGTGTACTAACTACTACTTTTACTTCAGGCAATCGAACGAAAAATCATTAAAAATAAATTTTACATAGTGAAACGTTCTCATTGTGTTATGCATCTAGATCATGCAAGTAGAATGTATGAAGAACATAAAGGAAAATCATTTTATAAAAGATTGGTTGAAATGATGACTAGGTAATATGAGAATTTTCAGCTTGATTAAAAATTGCATTGCTATAAATAATTAATTTTATTCTCTATTTAAGTGGCCCAATAGAGGCCTTTATTTTAGCCCGTGAAGATGGTATTCGTACATGGAGAGGACTGATGGGACCAACTCGGGCTTTAGATGCTCAGTATACTCAACCTACATCACTTCGAGGATTATATGGACTTTCAAATACTCGAAATGCAACTCATGGATCTGGTAGGCCAAGCTACTTTATTTATAATGACAGTATTTAAAATTTTGTCGAAATGGTCATAAGCTACAAAATTTAAGCTATTTATTTTTGGTATATTTTCATTTTTAAACTTGTATGTAGTAACTTTTAGTAAAATAGCTTTGGTTCTACTTATAATTCTTGCTCCACTTTGAAGGTCGGGCAAACGACCTCATAATTACTCTAGAAATGGAATTTCGAGAATGGTTAAGTATGCTTGAAAGTAGGCGGAGATGACTGGTGACAACCCATCCTAAACTAAAAAGGATCCATCAGGGGTATGTTTATCTCTTTTGATTTGGTGTAGATTGATACCAGTGTTGTAATAAAAGCTAATTAAGGTTCTAATCTAACTGAAAAGAGCCAGTTGGGAGTTAGCAGAAGTCATAAAATAGCTATGTAAATAAAAGGAGTTATACTTGTCAACAGGTTCTCTATTCTAAGCCATTCTCAGAATTCCACTCATAGTGTAATAATCTGATCTTGCGCCTACACATCAAGTCGGAGCAATATTTGTAAAGTAATACCTGTAAAGCATTTTCTTCGCTGGTAATAGCTTAACTATTGTCTGTAGACCATCTGTTTTTGTTTTTAAGCATGCATTTTGTTTCATTCTTGGGTAGTAATTATTACAATAGACCTCAAGACCAAATATATCTCCTCTCCTCCCCCACACACCGTATAGGATGGAAGCAGGAAGATCAAAAACACAATAAGTTCATACATGAGGAAATTGTGTTATTGATCAGAAACAGCAGTTCCCTGGCTTCACCTTTGAAATGCAAGAGTGCACTAAATATGATCATATCCCACTTAGATAAATATATAATATATTGTTATTACAGGTACAGGATAAAAAAGATTGATAGAATAAAATAAATAAAGATAATAATAGACACTTATGGATAATAATATAGAATAGATAAATAAACTTTTAAAAAATCAATAATTGAATTGAAATTAATAAATAAATAAACTTTTAAAATTAAAAAAATAGTAATAATAAATCTGCAAGGATCATTAGTTATATTATATCATTAGTCAGTTAAGTTTATTTATTCTTCTTTTGATAGAATTCATGATTCTTGTTCATAGATTCTCCTCAATCTGTCTTCAAGGAAGCTGGGGTCTTCTTTCCATATTTTGATATTTGCGATTGGTATGATAAAGATGAAGAATATTTTCGAAATGGTTATGTAAGATTTTGTGATGAAACATCAGTTCACGTAAAGGATGAAAATGATGCGCCCAAAGATTTGAAAGTTAAATGTGATTAGATGGATTATATGAATTGCATGCAATGCTTTCTCCCATCATTCATAATAAAAATAATCCTTACTGTCATTTTGGATTGTTTTATTCTATTAAGTTCAGTCATTACATAACAGGTAGAATTAGTATGCTATTTCATGATTACTTTTAGAAAAAAAACAAATTACTTAGCATTAACGACCCACAACATTAAGTTCTCAAATTATTCTCTGTGTAAGGTTAACTGTTACTCATAATAACTTATAAAATACTCTTTTAATTCTCTCATCATCATTATGTTATTGTGTCTCGATTACACATTAATCGATGGTATGATGATATCGATATTAAAATCTTTAGTTTGTAATAACTTATTTATTTATTAATGTTTTCTGGAAAAAATATGAAATAAGTGACTTTCTGATCGAAGAAAAAAATATTTATTTAATAGAGCTTATTAATATTAAGTTCTATTCATACATATATATATATATATTTTTTTTTTCCCTTACAACTACAACCCATGAAGAGTCTTGGGTTCAGTACTATTTAGGGAATGAGCCGGGATTCGAATCTGGGACCTTTAGCATAGGAAGCTCAGTACCCTACTATGTTTTTCTCTCATTGCAGATTCCCCTCCCATGCTACTAAGGATGTTTTCTCTTCAATGGGGTGGGCCAATGCAATTGTATTAAATGTATCTATCATTGTTAACGATAATTGACCCTCGTTAGAATTAATATCTACTTGTACTGATCGTAATGTTCCTGCCATGATGGGTGAGACAACTTGTTTTACTACTGGAGGTTGTCGATCGCACTTTTATATAATCGTGTTCTGTCTGGCCCATATTTTTTTGAAATTATAGTGATTTCAGTGCTCGCATGGTCTCCTCCATTCCCAGATGGTTTGTTTTGCTAGTATGGTGATCATTAACAATTCTCTGTTGTACTACCAGTTCAGTGATTGCTTTGACTTGCTGTAAGCACTTAGACAATGAATAGCCCATTCATATTCTCTCTTGTTCCATTATCTACAATTACATGATTCAAAACATTTACATAATATATACGGCCAGGTAAACTGAACTCTGTGAATATCCATTCTAACTTGTCATCTATAGATGCCGTTGTATAGACTAAAATCATCAATAACCCCTGCATGTGTTCGTCAACTGAATAATAATTTTGTCGACTTCAGGTATTACTTGGGGTCTGACTGTTGGGCTTGTGCTCTCCCCTAATTCTCTAGTAATAGCCTCAGTGTCTCTTGTGTCTGCCGGGATTCTAAGAATTCTCTCTATCTATGGGTAGTCGTGCCTTTTGAATAGCTCTTACGTGTTCCTGATCTGGTCGTACCTCGCTGTGAGAAACTACATGTTCCAAAAATTTAATTTTCTGTCTATTGAATTTGGATTTTACTTGGGATTTGAGTCTGATTCGCATACCCTTCTGTTGTTATTAACCTCTTTGTCTCCTCGGCGATTTCAATTCTATTCAATCCGTGTCCTGTCTCTCTTGTGGGTTTTTTTCACATTCCTTAGAATGTATGTCATGTGCACATTTTAGTGATCTTGGTCTCTTGAGAGTAAAACGGGACGATCCTCATAATAATGGTTGTACCTTCAAAATTCCTGTTAGGAATTCCAGTTTTTGTGCTCTTCCCTTGGCCATAGGTTTCCACAATTTTTTCTGTCAATTTATTATATTGATTCGTTTGATGATTTATTTATGATTTCCAATACACTGCTTTATGGCGATTCTTGTAGGATACCCTAAATCTATTTCTATTGAAACTAACTAAGTTAATATTTATTTGTTGTAAAGATGTAGTGTATCATCACTTCTTCTCTAATGAATCCCTGCATGAGGTTTTTCACCAGTTGGTATAGATGGGTTTACAAAAAAGGCACCAATGGATTTGAAGTCTGGGACCCTTTTGAGAAACATTGTAATTCTTCCATAATGGCTCTGAAAAATACAATTTTTGTACAATAAGCTCATCATGTAACATGCCTTTCAGATCTTCTCAGATGCCTTTTGTAGCTTTTGGAACTTGATTCTCTTTTGGAATCTGTTTATTTTTTTATCCGGAGAAAAATAACTGAAGCTGCTTCGATGTTTTCAAGTCACATACTGTACACAATTTTTAAGGAAATAAATCACATCCTGTTATTTATGTGAAATCTGTAGGTCTTGCTGGGCTGAGACATCATTGATCATGTGAATTCCTTGAAGAAATTCTGTCACCCCATCTAGTCCAGGTCGAATTATTGTTGATCATCATTATCAATCTCTTTTTCATTTTTTAGTCGTTTTAATTGTTTAAATGTTACGTTAGGGAAATCCAGTGAAACTTGTCCCTTTGGGTCCTTACTAACTAAAGCATCATTCAATGCATTTTCAAGGTATTCAGCAACCGAATGTGTTAAAATACTAAGATGTCCATTTGTTGCTTTTGAGATATTTTGTTTAAAAATTCATCAAAACCCACAATAAATTCTGTGCAAAACTTCATTGTTTTTTCAAGCTAGTTTTGAAAATAATATCTAAGGCTGTTTATGATTAATTAAGTGATTATGATTGGTGTAAATTGAGGCCAGTAACTACCTAACTATCTGGGAACATGGTTTTATAAAAATCACTGCTATTAGCTGTAGCTTGCAAAAAATGGTGCCTGTAAATACTATGAAATCTCAGCTTTTATCATACTTTCCTTAGTCTGGTACATCTTATTTACTCTTGAAGGTTGAATTTAAAACATTAAATAATATAATAATCATATCATAGAAAAATAATTTTTCGTCATTCTTATTTTTTTAAAAACTTATTTGATTCACCGAGAAACCACATTCCAGATCTGCGTTTCTGTGTAATAAAATATTTCTTTCAGCATCTTCTAATAATTTTCACTTTTTTGCAAGTAATTATGCTTCTATTTGACTTACCTTCCTATTTCCAGAAAATATAGCTTCTTCATACCTGCAGTGACCATTCCTTGCTGTATGTACCATTGCAGTATCAAAAATGATTCTTTGGACTACAAGGTAGGTTTCAAACTTCTTTGAACACCTATAATCAACATTCCAGATTCGCATTTCCGGGCAATAAAATTAAAAAAATTTCGAGGATTTTCCACTGTTGCCAGCTTCCTTCAATATCAACCCAGAAATGATTAAATCTTTTGCAGCGGCTATATGCTTGAAGTTTTATTTTGATATGAGATGTCGAACATAACTCATTAAATCTTACCTTTGTTGTCACACCTTTCTTAGTCTGGTACATCTTTAAACTTAAAGTTAAACAGATATTGACTGTTTTGAACATCCAACACAGCTTTCAGGCATATCTGAAAATTGTAAAAAAAAAAAAATGTACAGAATACTTCAAGAAATTACCCCATCTAAAGCAATGTTATCACATTTAAAGTAGTCTCTATTAGATATTATATACTAATGTCTGGGCTTCTTCCAGTCTCCAAAACACTTCTGGAACTTGATCTTTGGAATAGCTTTAACTCTCTCAGTAACATACTTTACCTTCATCTATCCCTAAAAAAAACAATGGCCTTTTAAGGTTCTTTTTTGACCAGTAATGTATTGATGGATTAAAGATATATTTACCAACATTCAGTGCTGTAAAGTATACCTTCAATGTGGAGGATCATTTTGTAATATTCATCATCATGAGGATCATTTTTATGCCTAATAAAAATCAGTGATTATGACGCAATGAAATAATCAAGGATTATAGTTCTTGTTATGTCCAATGAAGGTATCTAACAGAACATGTGGATGTCAGTATTATCCTTGTTAAAATTGTCAGTTTTTTTCTGTAGGTATTCCTTTGTGTTAGAAAAAAAAAATTGATAATTTCCAAGAGCTAATTAGTTACAGATAGTTCCTGAAACCTTCCTGTTTTTCAAGTAGTGAGGAAGGTCTCAGGCCTAATTTTCCAGTCATCCTGGTACTTTACCAGGCGTTTTTAAAACTTCTGCAGTTCTCAAGTATTATTGAGACAGTGGTCAGCACTGTACTCCAGCTAACTGATATATTTCTTTTACCTTTTTGAAGGGGAGAGGGGAGGTACAAACAAATTAAATCATTGTTTTTATTCTAATAAGATTATTTAGTCTGTCAACATGCTGCTTAAACTAGTTTCATTCTAAATTGGAACCAACCCTCTGACTGGTAAACTCACTCTATCAGTTAAATTATTACAACAAATTGTTGTTTTTACATGTACTTTCAGAGAAAGTTTCTTACTATCTCTTTTAGCCTCCTATTTTTATGTTTTTATTACTTTGATGAAGAATTAAAGTTAAATTAGTTTTTATTTTTTTAAGCAGCTGAGTCACTTATTTCTGTTGTTTTAAGTATCAAATCTATTTATTTATAAAAATAAGTACAAATATTTAAGAGCAATTCTGTTTTGTAAAAATTGCTTGTAAAGTTCCTAGGTTTACCCAATTGCTTATGAACAAAAAAAAAAAAAAATACAATTCTAAAAAATAATATTTATTTATTTGAGTTTAAACATTATTAAAAAAATCAACATTTGTATCATACTATGGTTCTATATTTTTTTACTGTGTAGATAAGATTTGTTGATAATTTGTCAAAAATATCATTAATAAAATACAAATCTTATTGTACTATATGTTAGAGTTTGTAAATACATATTGTTGGTGTTCTAAACAAATTGTTGTCTTTTTGATTCACGATATCAATAGTTACAAATGAGTAAATATGGTGAATCTGAAACTTTCATATTCCTACATCTCGCTTAATGTTATGATTATGACATCACTTAAAAATGTCTTGTAAAATAGTAGTTGGTAGTAGTTCTCCTAAATAGTAGTTAAAAGTTGCATTTCCACTTTATAAAGAACACTAACGATATGCACTTACCTACTCCATTATTTGTTGTATGGTCATTTATCCATCTGTGATATTTATATATTGTTAAGGCTTTTTTTAGAAATATTTTTGTTACTAGTCATTGAAATAAAAATAAGAAATAATTGATTCAATCCATTTTTATAATTATATACAAACCCTACTGACATTTTCCTTTGGCTATACCTATCCTTTTGTTAGTGTTCACTTCAGTGAGGTCTGGTGTCTCTTGTTAGAGTTCTAAATATAAAATATTTCTGGCAACAACAAGATTTAGACAAAGCATTTATTGAAATCAGCTTCGCCTTTCATCTGCCATTCTATAAGTAGTGAAGTTTATAATAATCTGAAAAATTTGCTCATTTGATGAAGAAGTTATTCATCAAAAGTTCACTAACTGATTTTCTGCTACAGCTGATCTTAGATCTTACTTCAATTGTATCAGTCCATTCAAATAGGGCCAACAGCTTTACCCGGGAGACCAGCAGATAGAGGAGATGACATTGGCGATCCTGGAAACAAGGTGAAGAAAGGGCTAGGGTCTGTAAGCATGAGCCATGTGCATAGTTCTGTCCCACAGGTTAACCATGACCAGTTTTGTTAATTACAATAGCACAAATATGCTCTACACACTTAGCCAATTATCATCTGCATAGTGACTTAATGTTATTAGTTGGAAGCAGTCTGGTTACTTGACAACCACTCTATTCTTGTGATAGTTACTCATTTCATTGTACACTACCACCCTATTAGTCCGTGGTACCGACTCCTGTTTATTAAAACATTTGCCTGAAAAACTTCGTAAACAGTTTCATCTCATCATAACTTACAAATATTTTATTTCCAAAAATTCTAAGATTCTGGGACATTTTATTTTGGGAAATCGATTTACTTTGTCTAATTAATTAGGTACCAAAAGCTCATGACCAAACATTTGCTTTTCACTTGAATCGTAAGATAAATTTTCACAAAATCAGAAGAAAAAAAAAAGTGGCCACAAAAATATTTTGACATTTTAGGAGTTGAGGTTTTACCAAACGGCCCAATATTTTTGTAGGCTAACTTTAATTTTTTTTTTTTTTTTCAATTTTGCGATGATATCTTACGATTCAGGGGGAAAGCAAATATGTATTTGTGAGTTTTTAGTATCTAATTAAATAAAGGTTGCCGATGTTCAGATTGGAAACGCACCAATGCCGAGGATTTTAATAAAATATTTACAGGTTACAGTGAGATAAAGCTGTTTATGAAGTTCCAGGTGGATTTTAATAATTTGATAAAAAGGAGTCTGTATCACGGACTATAAGTAAGTTCACTAATTTTATTTAAAAAAAAAAACTGTCAAATAAGGATTTGAACAAGATTCATTTAGCTCTGGAACAGGTGAAGCTATCTGGTCCAATATTTTAAACGTACATGAAAAGTACTCTAAACTTTCAAATTCGACTGAATTTCTCAATAAAAAAAACTACCACTACAACCCATGAAGGGTCCTGGGCTCATTACTATGTTAGGAAGTGCTGTTTTCCTCTTAATTAATTATTTAATTAAGAATGCCCAATTTATTAGAGGCTAGGTGTGCCCCAGGATGGGTCCCCGACGGCAGGGTCGATCCATGGCCGATGAAACAATAAAAATCTGAATTACTCAATAATGATTTATTAAATAGAATAATGTACAAAGTACACAGTTATATTATTTAAATTATTGATTAATTTAAATTTAATCTACCTCTAATAAAAATACTAACAAATTTAATAAATACTTAATAAATATTTTATCAATACATGTATATTTGAAATGTATCTATTTAACTAAAATTCATTGCTTTCATTAATTGCACCTTTTTTTTTTTTCATAGAACCAAGAAATTGGAGTCTGATATGCTTTTTGATAATTTTTTATTTCGTTTTTAAGTCTTTAGTAATTTTTTATATACAATTTTTCTCTTGAGAAAAGTTTAATACCATCTTCTAACTTATGAAGAGTAGTTTCAATATGATCTCTTCTAGCTTGTGTTTTAGGAGTATCACAGTGCGTTGGGATAGCATTTAATTCTGTAACCAACTGGGCGTAGGCTGAAAGAACAAAAATAAGGAAGAGATGAGTATATATCACTCATGTTTATAAAATTCTTTATGTATATTTAATTAATTTTAGCTATTGATATTACAGAAAGCTAAACCATTACCGAAGTCAGGATACAAATAATATTTTTAGTGGATACTATAATATATATTTTTTATCATCAGTAAGACCATATTCTCCTTAATTATAGTTGAATATAATAAATTACTTTAGGAGTTTTCAGGCCAAATTTGAATCTTAATTCATTACCATAATTTGCTAGAATAAATATATATCCTGCCCAATTCAATTTTTTCACATTTATTTTTTACATTTAAATATGTAACACCTGTTACAATAATAACATAAAAGTGATTAGACAGACAGCGATGGCTATGATATAAAACCTAATGACAATATGGATGAGAGGGAAACAAAACTATATGAATCATAAACATATATGCGCTCTGCCAAGAACATAGAACATGAATCATTTGAGAGTAGAAACTCAGTGAGATATACACTGGTGTGAAAAAGTCTTTAAACAAACAAAACTTTTATAAAAATGATAAATATTTTTATTTTCTGAATTAACCTTTCAGACATTATTGTTGTTATATATATAAATTAGCATTATTTTCAATTAACAACAGGAGGTATTGAGATTATTTTCAGGAGCTGAGCACTGCTACCTTGCTTAAATGTCCTACTTTAATTTAATTTAACATTCCATATTTTATAATTTCTTTCCATTTTCTATTTTTTAATTTACTTTTATTTCAAAAAATAGTAAAATATTTTTTACTATTATCTTGGTATTTTTTACTATTATCGCATTTTTATCATTATTATTCGGGTTAGGGGTCAAATTTATAACTAAGCGTTATAACTGATCCCTAGGTTCGAACTAGAATAACGTTGAGTACTATATTTTGAAATAAACTTGCTTTTATTTCACTAAAACTTTGAACAGAGATTTTTAGAACTTTACACTTTTTGACTTTTTAGAACAACAACAATTAATTATTCACATATTATCCACATATGCCTATTTTAACAAAATGTGAAACAATTAAGTATTTATAACATAAATATAACTTTTGATTCCCAAACAATTATCTTGCTGCTAAAGCTCTGCCCAATCAGCTTAATCCCAGATGGTATTGCATGGAATGTAAAAATGCTTTGGTACAGTTTTGCAGCCAGTTGTTCACGAGAGGTCTCCAAGTCCAGGTCTAGAAACATACCTCAAAACCATTCAGAAGCCACCTCTGTATTTCACTGTTGGTTGCAATCATTCATTTGAAAATTCCACTCCAGATCTTCTCTAACATATTGATTCCTTTCGGAATAAAAAAATTCAAATTTTCGTTAATCTCTTCTTAAAAATTTGTTTCATTTTTCGTACGTCAAATTTTTATGTTCTCTGGCAAACTTATATTGCCTCCACTAGTTAAGAGACCAAAGAAATAGTTTTCTTCGGGAAACACAACTTTTAAGGCCTAATGACAGGAATTTTCTAGGGTTCGTGCCGAGGCGGCTATTCCTGAGCAAGTTTTCAGCTAAATTTTTAGCGGTTGTGCCAATATATATTACATATACATTACATCTAAAATGTTTTCTAGGTTAAATCTGTTTATAATTAAGAAGATAAAAAGACTTTTAAATTTAAACATTTATCATTTTTATAAAGATTTGGTTTGTTCGAAGACTTTGTCACACTACTGTACATTAAAAAAATATGCTTCAATTTGTTTACTTTTTGCTAGCATAGAAATACTACTATCATAAAACAGGGTAGAACATATTTTGCTAATAATCAAACAAAAATAGCTCAAATACTTGAAGATTTTCAAAAAGTGAGGAAACTTCTGTGGTAGCAGAGTAGGAGACTAGCTTAACTAGAATTCATGATAGATCGATCCTAAGACTGATCTCTCAAAGAAATATACATATCCTTTATCTATAGCTTTCAGTGCTAAATTATTAAAGATGTGTAAAATATCCCAATGGGTGATGATTGAATATAAAAATTTAATATTAGTTTGTCAGATCTAGAGATGGTATTCAAAGAATATAATTTCTCTTTGTCGCTTCACAGGACAATCTATAGTAAGCTGGCACAGAGAAAAGGGAGGAACTATATTGAAAGATTCTTTGTAAAGCATAAAAAGGGATATGAGTTAATAAAACCAAATTAAGTAAAAGAGATAAAATACCAGTTCTATTTATAAGCATTTTTACATCAACATTCTTTCATGATCAGAGAATGACTTAAGGCTGCTGAGAATATCAAAGCCCTTACACCCAGCCACCTTCACAATAATTTAAATCCTTATTACCTTTAAAAAATACCTCAAGGTTTCCTGTTATCAGTCATGTAACATTAATTTCATAACATATTATAAAATAAGATAAGTATTCAATCGATAATTAAATTTAAATCATATTTATCACCATCTGGCTAAAGATACAGGCACAAATATACATGCAGTATGTTCTGGTGATATATAATCTCTTTGTCTGTATCACTTAGGGATAATATATTATGTGTGACAGTGATGGTGAAATAGATAAAGACACAATTAGATCTTCATATACAGTGATATCGTATCACCGACACATTGTGAACATGAAATTTTGGTTTTAAACCAAATTCAAATAAAAGTGTTAGAAAAAAAATTACAGTAACGTAAAAATGAAATATCATTTTGCTTAACTACCACCCTGGATAAATTCAATACATGATTGATAAAATGCTGAGACATGGAGCTATTCACCTTAAAAGTGTTAAAGGAATAAAGACATGTAAAAATTCTTCAATATCTTACAATATTTGGCCATCATAATCTTTGTAAAAAAACATTTTATATGAAATTTTATAAGTTATGTTTAAAATAAGAGAAAAACAGAAACTTGAAATATGATTGTGGATCATTATAAAATAATGGATTAAACATAACCAATAATTGAGAACATAGTGACAATATAAATGATGACTTTTTAACAAGAAATAAACAAGTAAATATAAATATCCAAACCAAGAAAAAAATTATGGTAGATCAATAAAACCAAATAGTATAATTATTAAATACCAAATCTTATTTCTCTGAGACGCTCCTTTTTCTCTTCTTCACTTATAGCAATGTAATAATTCTCATCTAATTCATCAATCATCTCTACAAGACCTTTCTCTTGCACTTCTTCTACTTGCTGTTTTTTAGCTTCCCTTAAGTATCTGAAACAGTAATTAAATTGATAATTACTTTAACGTCAACACTTCCAAAATTTTAAGGATTCAAAACTTTTCATGAGCATAGTCCATATATAGGTAAGAGAAAGTAAGCATTTTAAATACAGATACTTACTTAGGCACAACTCCTCGTCGATAAGTAGGAGGCGCTTTGATTGGGTCGGATTTACCAGTAGATGTTTTTTTTTTGGGAGATATGAGCATATTTAGTCTAACAAAGTCAACTTTACCATCCTTCAAAAGAAAACAATAACACAAAGTAAATAAACTTTATTAAATATAATAATAAAACAACAAACAGCAAATTATTTAATAAATATATATATATATATGGGACTGGGGTAGCCGTGCGGGCTAAGGTGCTTGCAATAGGTAACCAAGTTAAGCAACGCTGAGCGTGGTTAGTACTTGGATGGGTGACCGTCCACCAGGGAAAGTCGCACTGCCCAAGACCCCCTCTCTCTCCCCCCTCCCCAAGGTTTGAGGCCAGTCAGCCTACTAAAGGCAACTCACACTGACCGGGCATAGGACTGATGACCCTACTCCCGTGTACTTAAATCAGGAATAGTTATGTGATCTAGAAGACCACATCTCGCGGTCAAAGATCTACAAGATCTGAAGCGCTAACCGAAAAAAAAAAATATATATATATTAAATAAGTCACTAAGTAACATTTCATCATGAAATTAAATCACTGAATATTTTGATGAATTTTCTCTCTGAAATGAGAACAGGGCTGTGTCATTTTTATGAACTTAATCTTTTATTGCATTAATAAATAAGGTTGAAATACCTAAAAATCTACTTGAAAGTTTAGCTCCATCGAAAATGTACTCAGTGACTTTTTGCAATAAACCAATGATATGAATTCTAAAATATACAACTGATAGGTCTTTTTAAAATTTATAATTGAAGGAGTGAGAGGATGAAGAGAGAATGTTTCATTACATTTTCTTTTTCAAATTGAGTTATTGTAAAGGATGAAGAAGGGCTGTATTGGTCTGTTTTTCATCAAATTTTTAAGTACTTTAAGCTAAGTGGGTGGGGTGGCCAAACGGGCTAACGTATGTGGACAGCACCACCATTGCCCGGCAACCTGATATATGAAATAAAATAGTCACGAGTTGGCGTCCTGGTGGTTGTCTTTTAAATCCCCGCCCTGGGGTGAGGTCAAGTGAATACTATTTTGGTATATAGTATTCATTTGACCGCACCCACCGACCAACTCCTTCTCATATATATTGTACAGTTGCTGATGTTATAGGAAATTTAAAATTTTTGATTTGTTAATGAGTGTGGCAGTTCTCAGATCAAAATCTAAGACAGGATCAAGGAGAAGCACCTGATGTCATAGTATAGGCAGGCTTCCAAAGAGATAAGGACCCCAAATTCAAAGCTATTACATGTGCAGCATCACAACTAGTACTGATGTGGAATTAAAGATGGATGTTATCAGTGAGCTTCACGTGGACAATATCTGTGGGAAAAGATGTAATGTAGGACTGGAAAAGTAGCCTGGATTCTTAAGTTATAGTGAAGGCAACCTACCTAGCAGAAGACCCTTATTGAAAATTCATGGGCTTCTGGGTACAGGGTGAGTCAGAGATGTAACAGTTAATGTATAACTCTAATGGGTTAATTATTATTATAAGTTATATATATAACTCATCAAATAATACCATTAAGTAGCCATCAGCTTCCAATTACTTGTTTATCAATATGATGATGACCAATGATAATATACCAATATTGCTTCCTATATAGGCCAATTTGATCCCGGAAGGAGCGAGAGTGGTCTCAGTCACTATTAACTCATGTTTATCATCAACACTTCATTCAGAAGAAGTTACATTAACCATTGAACTGATTTTAATGTCGGATTCTGAAATATGCTTAGTCTGCCTAGACCCAAGATTTGAGATTGCTTTTGGAACAGAACAACTAATACAAAACTGACATTACTATCATCAAGAAAATCATTCAATAGCCACAATTTTAGATTAAAATAAGTAAAATTTGCGTATTCACCAAATGCAAATCATAAAACTCATCATAAACAGTAACAAAGAAACATAAAAACAGTATAGTAGCTAATTATAAAGTGAGAAGGAATTGTGAAATTTATAAAATGATTAACAAAATAATATTTACATCTTTTACTGGCAACTGACGAGGAGCAATGACATTAGGTGCATTATTAGATTTATAAACTAGGTCAATCATTGGATTAACTTGAAGACTCATATTTTTTTTTCCTTCAGGTGGTGGTGGGGTCTTTAATCTCTCCTTTGGAAAACGAATCTGACCTCCATCTAAATGATTTGCTGATGTTTGGCACCCTGAAACAAATATTAGCTTACTTCCTTTATTAATATGTCTGCCACTGTAAAGTTCCTTATATAATATTAATATAACCTTGGTCCTTAAAGTCTATTATCTTTTCTATAGTTGATTTGTTAGTGCCTGTAATTATTTTGTCTTGTGTTAGAGAAATCTTAACTTCCTCAATCTTTTTAGTACTTTTTTTTCCAGAACTTTTTTTTATGTCACTCCTCTGAAAAATCAAATAGATAATTTTATGTACTATGAAAATAAACAGAGAAGCTTATAAAAGTACCTCTTTGGGTACAGCCTGCAGTTTCCTGGCCAACTTCATGTTTTCCTTGATGAAATTCTTTTTGGACTTATTAAATTTATCTATGAAAAATGCAAAAGAAAATAGTTGAAAACAAATAATAACCTAAATTACAGATACTTGTATTCATTAACTGTGTATTACCTGGGTACATATAATTTTGAATAGTTGACGTTAAAGCACTCATGTCCGATTAATTTATATAAACAAATTTATATACCGTCGCAATACTGATAATTTTTAATAGAAACTCTTCTTAGGAACTTACTGAAAATTCAAACAATTTCAAAATAAAACCGCTAAAATCAGCTGTGTCTTGGCATGATTACATAGAAACACCAAAGAGCTAAGAGTGATGAGGAGTTCAAAATTATCTCACTTCCTTTTCATTCCAACTGCAATACGGAACTTATTTAGATAGAGGTTTGAGTTAAAAGTTGTTAAACTTTAACTTGAATTCGTGGATGTTAACGATTACCAACTAGTAATGAGCTTTCAACAAGATTAATATATTTAACATGTAATTTAATGGCTAACATCAAATATTGCATATCACCTATATAAGTACTTCTAAGTCACAATCATTATAATTCTAGAAACAATTACAAAAAGTAATTCAGGAAAACATTTCAAACAAATGGCAGAATATTCACATTAATTTTCTGAATTATTTTATAGACTGATTTTTTTTTATTTTTATATAAATGGATTTTCTTTCGAATGCTTAGAAATTGTTAGTACTATGCACGGTCTCGAAAGCTATCCGAGTTATTATTTACTTAAAATTATTTGGGATATTCAAGATCTTGGATTTTAACAGATCTATTGATCTTTATCAGTTACGAGTTCTAGAAAACTGAAGCGATTGGTTAAACATGTCGTTCAACTTTTGTATTATAAAATCCCGTCAGAAGTGAATTTTGACTTTTCCAAATCGTGAAATAAGATTAACGTTGGATTTGACCAAGACAGCCTCGTTTGGAAATGTGTTTAAACAACTAGAAAGACTGTCCAATCTCAGAAAGAGAAAGAGTTGCTGTCCGTGACTACCAATGAGACCATTAATTATAATTTAAATGCAAATGAATTATTCTGAAGGCACAAGATTAACAAGAGGAAGTGTTGTGAATAATGGCTCGACCGTAACAACAAATCTTTAAGGGAGTGACTTGACGTTCACTGGTGCATACTATTTAAATTCACTGAAAGATCAAATAAGAAGTTATATAGTACTAAAATATAATTATTTAGTGGTAAGATGTGATCTTGGATCCACCAGTTATTTTCGAAGTTGATTAATCTTATACAAAAAACAGGACAATAAAAAATATAAACTTGAAAAATATAAAAATCTGGTGCGGTGCACGCACCGCACAACTTTCAGTTACCAATCTTGGAGTAGATTGGTATTTTCATATTTAGGGAAGACAAAGTGAAAATGACGGTGTAAGTTCATTTAAAACAATTAATTACAATGTTTTTCCTGCCCATCGAATCTGTTAAATTTATACGTTTGCGTCCCTTCGAAAAAAAGATTTTTTGGAAAAATCATGAGTTTTATCAGAAACAGTTATCACGAAACTCGTCGAAAGAATAACTCAACGGTAGTAAATATTGTATATCAGTAGGTTTATATAAGTAGATTCTCAACATATCGCTTGAAAATCTCTTTAGAAAAGTATGGGTAAGTGATACATAAAAGTTAAACAAACAACATGAAAGTCCTGTACAAAGGGGTATCGGGTATCTGTAAAGAAGAGAGGGGATATGAAAAGGTCGGGCGCTCTCGACTGTTTCCGTATAGATTCCAACCCTTATTTCTTCGTTGTTTACTAATCAATTTTCTTCATTTATCATATTTAACCGTTTTATATCTACTTTTAATGTGAAATGATTTATCAAATAAAAAAAATAAAGGTACTTTAGAGAAAGAAAATTTGAAGATTATTCATTAAAATCCCACTAGAAAACATCAATGAAAATAAGTTAATTAATTTAATTTTACACTGATATGATGAATATACTTAAAACCGTTACATCCGTTTTCGATAAAATCGTAAAATCGAGGATGTAAAGTGATGGTTACCTGATTTTGACGAAAAAGTTGCTGTAACAGCCCAGGCATGCACAAACCTCTAATACGCAATTTCAGTTCCATATGACTTTTCGTTTTTGAGCTAGACTGTTAATACACGCAGAACATTTTGCGGGACTTGGTTATTTGAACCTCAAGTATTCTCAAACATGTATTTCCGTTTGAAACTCAGATTCGAAATTTTTCACGATCACAATACTTTCCCTTACTTTATAGGTAAGTGAAAGTAAAATTGCTGTTAGTGTTCAGCTAAAGATGTATACCAACGATAATTCACAGTCGTGAGATTTTTCCGAGTAACATAGAATATAAACAAAGCTTGCTGGAATGAAATGTCAGGGACTTTTCGTAAATAAAATATTTGTAGGTTACGATGAGATGATGCTATTTACGAAGTTTCAGACGGATGTTAATAATTTGATAAAAAGGGGCCTGTACCACAGACTACTGTGGCTAATGATTGAATCCACAACATACAAAATCTAGCACTCTGGGATCCTCGCCTCCAATTCCTCATAGGTGTAAGGTTATCCCTGGAGTGTATGAGGAAGCTATATCCCATTAAACAACAAAAAGGCTTACTGGAATATTTTATATAGATTATCCCCTTTTTTTAAGGCATCTTTATAGGCTAGAATCAATGTTCAGATAATCGATTTATAAAGCAATCGTTTATATAAAAAAAACATAACCATTCGGTCGTAACCTTTTGATGATTCTATTATAAACCTATTATTACAATTGCTATTGAAAGTAATAATTTATTTATGGAGCAGCAGAAGCCCAGCATAAGTATAAGTGAAACAAAACCAGAACGTAAAGAAATTAAAAAAAGAAAGTCAGTGAAATATGTTTATGAACATTACCCTTACATGCCGTAAGATTTTTTATTTTTTTTAATGCCATATAATAATATAGTATTGTTATTTTCAAATTATTCAAACAAAAATTAACTTTACCGCTCTCCTTGTTATTGATCTCATCAATTAAAAGATTAGAGAGAACTACAACAACATTGCACGGCTGCTCAACTATGTTGAGTTACTAAATAACGCAGCATACCCATCAGTCAATAGATAATACTGTAAAAAATTACAATTAAAAAAATTATAATTAAACTAATATATATTTTATGCATATAGTTTAAGCACATAGTGCAATCAATCATATATACGTGGGCGATTCTCATTTTAGGGGTAAGTTTTAGTCAATTATAACTTTTACGTGATTAGTTAAGTCTACCTTGATTTTTTCCCCCACTGCCATACGGTGAAGAAGTATTTCTTCATAGTGAAATATTAAAAATTAAAATATTAAAGGATTATGTGATTTTATAATTACTGATACTACTAGAATTTCATTAAAACGTATTGTCCCACTCAGATTTCTAGTAAACGTTTATTATTTTTTTTTCGAAACCTATGTAAAATGACAGTAAAGGTATTTTGAATTACATATATTTTGTAAGTTTTATTAACAGTGAAGTATGTTTATGTATTTTCGAACATGGTTCCATCACTTTGATGTCATTACCAAGCAAAAAACATAACATCAGATATTTAAGAGCTGAAAAGAGGGAACAGTGGGAAAATTTCTTCAGAGTGTAGTAGTAGCCATGGAGTTAAAGGGGAGCCTCTACTCATCCGTTTCTTGTACGGTGAGCAAGTACCTTCATTGTTGTTCTTACCACCGCGTATATTATCTCACTACCAGTTCAAATGATTTCATTCATAATTTATGTTTGACTATGGTTTGTAGCAAGTCAGTTGACAGAAATTACCAAGTTGAAAACTCGTGTCATTTCTCCCTCTCCCCTTCCCCGAATGATTAACTTTACCTACTTTAATTACTGAGCATAAAGCTCTTTTGATTTTTGCCATTTGCTCTGATTAACAGCTCAGTGGAAATAGGAGGTGAGGAATTTGCAAAATTTTATTTAAATGGCGTCAAAATTATTTAAATTAACGAAAATTGCCCCGTAATCTGAGAATCACCCCTATGGGTGTGCAAGTAGATAGATTTAATTTATATCTAAATTGAAAATTAATTAATTTTAGGGCGGAAGTGGAGATAGAAGCAGAAGTTAACATGATGATCATGCAGATAAGAGAAGAGATTTGTGAAAAATCAATAGAAAAAGCTTTTAACAGCTATTTCGATTCGCAAGTTATACCCTTTACTGTGCATTGCATTAAACTATCTTTGCGAAGAATTATAAACGTAATAAAATATATATTTAGTAAATTTAGTTTAAATAGTTAAAACGATGAAAACAGAATCTCAATGCATATTAATCTAAAACGTTTAATTTACGTTCGAAGGCACACAAATCATAAATCATTCTTTTTGACTTTTTCTGGCTGGTAAAGATGGTGTAAGGGGTTTGTAGACAATAATTAAGGATGCCTTTTCCACCAAAAACTCATCTTCCTTAACGATTTAAAATGTATGCGATAAGCGTTATCTTCACCGAAAACCATTTTCTAACAGCAATCGACTCAATGATGTTTGTTATCAAAATAGTAATAAATAAAACCAAACAGAAAACTTCTTGCTAATATTACATTTGTATTTATGTTTTTGAGTAAGAAGAGCAATAAATGTTATAAATTTTGTTCGAAATTATGGTCAAAATCAACTGTCGCATTTTTACCAACTTTGCTAGAATTTCGAATGTATGTATGTCTAAAAGCATTTATACTCCATGGAATCGGTTGTTCTAAGTGTAAAAACATCAGTTATAAAATGTATTAAGCATTAAATTTTGCATCGAAAGGGTACCTAACATTACAGTTTTATTCTACGATAATGATCGAAACACTATAATTTTTACCGATTTAGGCAAGGTATCCAATGAAGTGACTTCCAAAAACACGCACCATGGAAACGGCTGTTCTTATTAACTCGCTGAACACGTAGCCTGGTGCTAAACAAATTTTATGCTAAAAACTTTTTATTTAGAACAGCCGTTGTCATGGTTCATCCGTTTGGATTACATTACATATCTTGGCTAAGTTGGTAAAAATTATAGTTTTTCGACCATCGATTTCGACCTTTTTCGTTGACCGAAATTGTGATTATAAGTACCAAATAGCCTCAAAATTTAATGATTAATAACGTTTATATATTTTGTTCAAAACATTGAACAGCCGTTTCAATGATATATGCGTTTATAGTCATACATTCGAAATTCTGACAGAGTTGGTAAAAATGCGACTGCGACCAAATTTATAATGTTTGTTACTCTTCTGAGCAAAATTTAATGTTCAGTTCTTTAAATATTGAAATGAAAATGTTTCCTCTTGGAAGCATCGCACGGAAAAATTTCGAGTTTATTTATGTGCTATGATTTAAACTTGTGTTGAATGACCAAGCGGGACTTGTCCAATCTTTATAACGTCAGATAAAACATAAAAACGATCTCCTATTTTGCACCGTTCACTGTAACAGATGGTCCACACAGAATCTAACTTCACTGGCCTGTGTACATTTAATATTATAAAGATATAAAACGACAAATAAAAAAAAGAAACGTTGAATAAAAAGTTTGTTAAGAAACTAATGAATTTAAACCGTATAAGATTCAATGGAATTCTTAGGCCGACGAAAAAAAATATCAATTTAATACTCCAATTATGAACGATTAATGTTTTACTAAAAGCTGCATAAATAATTAATTGCCATTATTCTTAAGCTACAAATTAAAATACAGATATTTGCAAGTGTTGCGAATGTGCAAGACCGTGGAGAAATTCTTCATTCAAAGTTAACCTTTATTTATATGGAATGTTCAACAAATATATTAGAAAAGATATGTCGTAATTCTTATATATTATATGTAATGTTTTAATTAAAGAAATAATTTGAAAGTAAAATATAAAATCCGTTCGACCGGATCCGTTTCTTGGCGCCACAGCCTCGTCGTGCCTGCGTATCTGAGTGACTTGAGATTTCACTAGTAAAGTGTATATTTTACCGGTGCTATTTTTTTTTGTCACTAAATACACATACATACATTTAAATTATTTCCAAATTATCTTTACTTATATAATTAATTATAGTACTAGAATAATAAACATCGCACAAAAACGTTTGAAGGCCGTATGTTGGGAGTTGAGTTGGGCGTTTCTGCTACTTTTGAAAAACGTAAATGAACTGTTCGTTGACAAATAACAATGGTTCTTAAGAACTGTTGAAAAAAAATAGTTCATAGAACATCGCAACGATTCATGTAAGACCTATTCGTTTGATAACAGTCTTATTCGTTTTAAAACGGATTCAATCCGTTTAATGACAAGTCTGGAAATAAATGAGACGTTTTATGTATAAAGTTTGGTATTGTTCGAGCTTGAAATTGATAACCTTTTAATTTATTTTTAATATTAGCTTAATCTTAAAAAATCCTTAAAAAAACTAATTAAAATCGAAAATTATTTTTTACGCATAGAACACTTTTTATTTTAATAATATTTTAACTTTCTTGTATTAATCTGGTGGTTATGATTTTGGACAAGTTCCTAAACTCTCAACGATGAGCTTATTGATAAATTCTTTCGCCCAGCATAAAGATGGATCCGATGCTATCGATGAGCTCAGCGCTGAGCTTAGGAATTATTCCTTTTTCAAACAAATGTGTTATAAATGTTTTGCCATATTTATTAATCAAGTGTTGATCTTAGTTTGAAATTACGCTGCTTGGTCATTATAAGTCATTTAACTGTAGTTCAAAAATGTTTTCAACTGTTTGCCTTTTTCAATTTTTATAGAACATAATATATAATGGTTGATTTATGTGAATATGATCAATCATAAAAATTATTTTTGGTTTGCAAGACACTAATATAGATAGATACATCTAAAAACATAAACCAATTTTGCCTACAAGTATGCTTAAGTTAATTTAGTAATGTAGATTTTTTTCTTTTTTTTTTTTTTCTAACCCCTCAAAATGTTTATTTAATCAAATTACATATATAGTATTAAATTACATAACAATAAAATATATATATATATATATATATTTTATTTTTGTTTTAGTAGTTTAGTAACTATAATCAAAGTTTTTATTTATTCCTAGCCTTCATTAATAATGGGAGCTAAAAATTACATCCCTACTAAACATACCAGTTGAAACATGTCTTATAAAAAAAAAAAACTGTTGGGTTATTTTCATGATGAACTGATAGATTAGTTGGAAAACAGAAAGAGCTTCTGTTTCGTTTGGAAAAAACGAAACGAAAAGCAGATCAAACAGCAACTCGATGACAAACGGGTGAACTAAAAAAAAAACAACAACTGTTGTTATCCGTTTGGAAGAACAGTTCATTCGTTTGAGATCAAGAACTATTCTTTTTAAACGTTTGGCGTTTTCTCTTCCACCCCTACCTATGTGGCCACCGGGGCCGCTACTACGCCTCGGAGGCCACATGCGGCCTCCGAGGGCGCTGTTTCTCAACGTATTAAACTCTCGAATATTTTAGGGAATGCATTTGGTAAAAGAAGATCAAGACCAAGCTATTACATGGCAGGCTGGTCCAGAACCAAAGCCTACTCCGATCGATGGTTTCTGTTCCGGTGTTGTACCTAATTTGGAAGAAGGATTTCAGGCAGTATTCTTCGATGAAGTGCCTCAAGTTGATGATGTTGACCGATCCCTTGGTAGCATTTCATCCTTTTCTTATGCGTTACAAGAAGAGATCCATACGGTAAGAATTACAGCTATTATAAGTAAATAGTTATTGTTTGTTTACCTTGGGCTTTCGACTCAGTTCGGGGCTGTGTTGGCCTGATTGGGGATAGATTCAGACTTGTCGCATAATAGTGAGTTGTGCAATTAGACAGATTCTGTTTTGATATGGTGTAATAACTAACCAAATTTTAACATTTTTATAAGAATATAAATTAAGAAAATCAATAAATAATAAAAATAAAAATTGCCGAACCGTTATATTTCACTATCTTTGATTTTTCAAATAATTTATTCTCTATACTAATTCACACTTTGAAAAGATGTTTCTAATTATAAACAGGTTTTGGCTATTGTTAGAAATGAAGTTACTAAGATCTATTAAAAAAGAAAAAAACGTAAATAATATTTCATAATATTTTAAATAATCATTTATTTTTACAAAATTATGGCGAAGTCAATCGAAGGTAACATAAGTTACATCTATTATCATCATTACACACATTATCGTCTTAGTTTGGCAAAATTCAAACTATAATAATATTTTATGGATTTTACAACAGAAAAAAAGGAAGAAGAAGCCGAAATCTAAGACAGTTGGAACAGAGTCAGAGGTAGAACCTGTTTCTAATAAGCCCTCTGTATCAGTAAGTACGAAATCAAAAAGCATATACAGCAAATCTATGGGTTTTGGCGATTCCAGAAGCCAGAGGCATAATAAATATGTGCGGCAGTTAGCGAATTACATCCATCCTAAGAATTTCCAACGGAACCTGTGAGTAGTATTTTTAAAATTTTGAACTTTATAGTAATATTTTAGTCGCATACAATAGTCCAGTCAATGAACTGCAAAAAAAGGCTAGAATGCACGGAGGATGGACAAGCAACTGACTTTTGGAATTTGTTGGGGGCTCTTAGGAGATAAACATACTAAAAGTTCCCGCGCCTACCCATTCCGCTTCATGGTGTGGGGGCGTCGCAAAGATAACTTTTCCATATTTTCTCATACATATTGAAACAGAGGTGTCGTAAACGAAACATTGTCGTATAAAAAAGTAAAGCTGATAAAATTTCCTTTAAGCAACTTATGTTCATGATATTCGCTAACCTAAATTCCAAGACTGTTTAAAGGTTTCTAATGGTACAGGATTTTATTTTATTTTAAAATCGGTTTCTGTGCAGAAATGCTGCATAAGATGCTTACACCATCTGTTTTCAATCTATACTGTTGAGGTATTAAACTGAAATGTATCATTTCATTCTCAAAATTTCAAATTAAGTTTTCTTGTCATTCTGGAAAAGAATAAGATAGAAGTACTAAAGGGTCAAATAAAATAATCCAAAAATGACTTGATTTTTTATAACAAAAATTTATTTGGCTTACTTTACTGGAAGCGCCTTTTTGTTTTTTTAATTTATGATACATTAGAACTCATTCAATACAATAGTCAATATTTTTTTTTAATCAGCAAAAAGAAATAAATCGATTGATATATAATAAATATGGCCCAGATCTGAAGATCTAAATTTACCAAGGAATAGATCGTAAACGATCTAATGGGTTCCATGGAAGGTTAACATTCTTGAAAGGTTACTTAACGCATGAAAAAAAAAGTTTGAAGAAATATCCACCTACTGAATCCTTAAATTTAAAACGAATATAAACAGGACAAATTGCTAAACTCAGCGCTGAGCTCATCAATGGTGTCATTTCGTGTAGAGACTGATTTTGCAGTATAGAGACTGATCCAATGTCATCGAAGAGTTCAACGCTGAGTTAAGGAACTTGCTCATATAGATAGAAAGTAAATATAGAAATATGTGAAGTAAATTGAAATATATCCTCACGCGGGCTCATAACCGCGCCTGAGAAGGAGAACGCGCCATGGGTGGCAGATGTGGGGTTGATCGCTGGAAATTCCTTGGAAGTTCCTCCCGGCTAAGTCCGATGGACTCGCTGACCAACAATGAGAGGGACCCTCTTCTTTGTCTCGGAACTTAAAAATTAGGATATATAAAATCATTATCCTGCCTACGGTTCTTTATGGTAGCGAAACGTGGCCGCTTACATCATGGGATGAGCAACGTCTTAAGGTTTTTGAAAATAAAGTTTTGAGTAGAATATTTGGACCGAAGAAGGATTAGTTAATTGGAGAGTTCAGGCGGTTACACAACGCTGAATTGCATGAACTATAACCGGTTAAATTTGATGTGATTACATCTCAGTGAATCAAATGGGCTTGTAAAATTGTTGGGATTAGTAACAAG